TAACCCTAACCCTAACCCTAACCCTAACCCTAACCCTAAACCCTAACCCTAACCCTAACCCTAACCCTAACCCTAATATCCTAGATGGGATTAAACATCCAGATGAAGACATTCACCATGTGCAATGGATTCACTCTAATACATCCTAGATGGGATTAAACATCCAGTTGAAGACATTCACCATGTGCAATGGATTCACTGTAATACATCCTAGATGGGATTAAACATCCAGATGAAGACATTCACAAACTTATAGTTTGTGCAATGGATTCGCTCTCTCTTTTTTTTGTGTTGACTGACGCCGCGCCCCATATCTCTGTGGATACACTTCCGATTGCCAAGATTTTTATATATTCAGAATCAGCTCAAAAATGCTCCCAGGATACACTAGACTTGGATCATTTGGTAGTGTATCCACAGTGCAGCAGACCAAATGAGCAAAAACGAGCCCTAATCGGTGCTCGGACATGGCCCTATCTCGGCAACCGGTGATCGGATCGCTTGGGTGTGGCTGTACAAAATGATCCTAGACTCCTGAAACACTGAGTATACGAATGTGAGCGGGTTGGCGCATGAGGTCGAAACGACGGTGTGTTGCGTCTGATTTCAACGTGCAGCAAGGGTAGGCGCTACCGCGAAAACCGCGATCCGCTGCGTAAGGTGACGCAGAACGTCCATGTCAGGGCGCAGGTTGAGCGCGTGAGAGAGGCTCTGGTGTGCATGCGGCGCGAGATCTAGAGTCGGCGGACAGTGGAGTAAAGGTGCTGGGAAACGCACCTGGAGACTGTGTGCGCAGGCAGAGTGCGGGTGATGCCGCAAAAGGCCCTGATTGACTTGCGGTGGGCGCGCGTCTGGTTCCAAGTTGCACGATGAGCGCCCAACATGGCGCAATACGTCGAGAGCTATTGGCGGACAGAGTGAGGTCAAGTGGGCATGGATACGGAAAAGAAACGCACCTGCGGAAAGTGTTCCAAAATCCTCTCCCAGCGCTGTGACCACTCGTCCATCTCACTCTGCTCTCGTGCGTCAGGGTTCCAGATCCTCGGGTCTCTGTTTCACTTGCCGGAATTCGGTGCATTCGATCTAATGGTGCTCGTACAGCTTGCGCAGGTCTGAGCGATGGCCCCAATGTGCAAACGTGAGGTGACGGCGCGGCTCCGATTTGGTGCATGCGCCACCCGCTGTTGAGTCGTTCTGATGGGAATGTGTCCCGGTTTGCTGACTGAGGAGACCGGGGCGGACGATAAAGCGCCCGGCGCGATGGCAGCTAGCGGTAGAAAGCATGTATTCAAGCGCCATTATGCGGACATGTAAGCTATTTGTGCCCTCGCGCGCCTGAGTGATTGCGTCGAGCGAATGAGGCAGGGGTGAGGTGTGTACGCGCCCGCTGGAGGCGTCGCGTTGTTTCGGGATGTGAGGGCTGGGTCAGCTGGCATGGTGAGCACTCACCTGTAGTCCCCCCCTCCTTGCATGAACTCTGCCTCCACTCGGCCCATGCACTCTGCTGCCCGTGCCCTAGCCCTGGCTCCCCAGCCAATCTAGCCCACACCTGTTCGTTGCTGGCCGCGGTTGCCCGATCGGATGGTTGAGCAGACTTGTCTGAGTCGCGGTTGATGGCTGGGAGCAGATGTGACGTGGCGTGACAGAGCGATCGCAAAGACTTGCAACAGTCGATGGCGACGTTCTCAGCGAATAAAGACACGATGGCTTTGGTATTTCAGTAGAACGATATTAGGCTGTGAATGAACATTTCTGCTGATTCGGATTTAGATTTGAAGCCCGGCGACCACATGATCGAGATGAGGATGGCTAGGAGCAGATGTGGTGTGACGTAACAGACCGATCGCAAAGACTTGCAACAGTCGATGGCGTCGTTCTCAACGAATAAAGACACTATGGGTATGCTATTTCGGCACAACGATATTAGGATGTGAATGAACATTTCTGCTGATTCGGATTCAGATTTGAAGCCCGGCGACCACATGATCGAGACGAAAACATTTCATGGATGTCAGTGTGGCTGTGACAAGGAAAGATTCGTCTATATCTCGGGCTGTGGCACTCAGAAAAATACGAAACTTTCAGGGGATGTCCCAGGGGCTATTTGGAGCCATCCTAGATGTTGCCGACCACTTTGTGGAAAGAATTGAGCTCGGCGACCACGCCATCAGAGAACATTTGATTTTTGGTCGGGCTGAAAACATACGCTCTGATGGATGGTTTCTGGGGGACGCAATTATGCACGAAAAGTGGTCGCCGAACCTGGGATGGGTGGAGGGGACCTTTGGGCACATGTGTATGTATTTTTCGACATATTTTATTACTAAAAATTGTTCACCGACCGCGTTTCCAATGGGCTTGCAAATCAGGACAGGGATAGCTACTAGGGGCATCACCAGGTATGTTATCACATCAGTACGATCACTGATCCAGTCATCAGATTTCCTCTGTTGGCATCAGTGCTTGACAATATTTGCCAGTCTGTCTATCAGATCTGATGAACAGGTGATGCGGCAGTGTTGATTCGTTTTGTTTGCTTTGCGTTCAGTCCAGGCCCTAGTGGCCCTTTGGTCAGGCTTGGACTGATGCGGCATCAATTCATCGCACAGCTACTGATCCCTAGTAATCTTATCTTGATTAGATATGATAGGCAATCTTATTGTCTCGCGTCGTCGATCAAGGTCTATTGTCTCTATTGTCCTATTGTTCTTATTGTTCTAGGACTGCACTATTGTTGTGCGCATGTAATCTGAATGTGTAAGCAGGACCTGAAGAGCTTATCAGCAAAACAGGTGAGCCGGTGAGTCTTCACCAGCCTGTTGTCCTGCAGCAGCTTCCCTCTTCTTGTGTGTTTCAGCTACTAAACCACCCTAACCCTGGGCGCCAGCGCGTGCGGCTTCAGGCGCGGGTATGGTGGGGGACATGACTTGATGTCACATCGCAATTTTGGGAATTTCGGGTCGAAACCTAGCCAGATCTTCATGAAATACCCAAGAGTGGGCCGAATCCAAAGTTTTAGATCGTGGGAAAATATTCTCGGCTAAATGGCCAAATTCGCGCCTAAGACTCAACCTTTTATAGGTAATTGGAGGGCGGTGTGTTAATGTGTGAAGTGTCCGGCAGTATCTTGGGCACGGCGGGTGCCTCTCTTTTGGGGTGCCATGGTAGTGGAATGAGTTTCGGAAGATCCCAGAAGGGCCTTGGTCACTGCCGAGCACAGCGATCACGCAATTTCCTTTTGGGACGGCCAAATCTGAGGCCAAATTTTGCCAGGTCATAATTTTGAAAATCTAATCCATGGGATTGAAAGTACATCTCAATAGCTATCTATTTACAAGGTTTGAAGAAAATTCATGTTGACTGAGGGTCACTATATGCACGGCAAGGATTGATGGAATCACTTGTCACGAAGTGATGTCCCCCACCATACGCAAGAACCATATACGCCTTGTCGGACTCAGACAGACTGGCGTTCACGGGAATCTGCACGCGCTTCTCGTTGAGCGCAGGGGGCAGGAGTAAAGATATCCACCATGCGCGTTTAGCCAACCACTTGCCTCTCTCGCTGCCATCACCTTCGCCGTCCACTTCGTCTCGCACGTGAAGAACTTGACGAATTTGATCGACGCGACAAGCTCGCTGAACAGCCCCATGCGCTCGTCCGCCGCCTGCAACCGCGCGCGGCTGATTGCCGTGCCTTGTTGCGAGTAGAACTTGTTCAGCCGCTAGCTGGCCAGGAACACCACGAAGCCGGCAAACGGGCTCCGGGTGAGGATTTGGTACAGGAAGATCACCCCGACTACGATCTGGATAGGAGATCCACAGAGGATTAATAGTAGCTGCGGGCGGTTGAGCGCGGCCCCCTGAGAGGAGACTGAGTGCGCATCGAAATCATGGTGGACACCTGCTCTGCATCTGTTGACATCATGTTCATAATCTTACCCGTATCTACCCAGTTCCATGTGGTTAGCACGGCCCTCCCAAGCAGTCGCTCCGAATCAACACACCTGCGGCCTATTTGGCCCCGTCCACTGACTTCTTAACAGAGCTGCGGTCCCTCCGCCGCAGTGTCTTGTCATAGATCGCCGCCATCAGCTCGGAGCGCATTCGGAGCGACGCCTGGCATTGGTACCCTGCAGCGAGGTTCATAAATGGGAAGAGCAGTTAGGCGCGACTGACAGAGATGCTCGACAGACAGCTCCGCATTCACCAGCCCCAGCCCAAAGATGGCCTCCGCGTAGATATACGCAAGCGACCGGTCGACCGAGTCAGGTGCGGTTGGTCCAGTAGTCGAGCAGACATCTGCGGGTCATCAGTAATTCGTAGAAAGGCGTATGAAATGAACGGAGAATGACTTGAGGAACTACGGGTTTGGTAAATACAAGGCAATGCAAACCAGCGTCCCAAGAAACTTGATCGTGAGATCGAGCGCGGTGGTGAGCGATTTTCATCAACAGGGGCATGGCACTGTCCAAATGGGAGTCAGGCAAACACAATGCGCGTGAACTGAAAGAAACACGCACGATGTCTGCTGGAACGTTGAGAACACCGCCCGCAACACATGGGTCGCGCTGAGCTCCCACACATCTTTGAAGTCCAAAGTCGAGTGCGAGCCCTGATTCGCTGGTTCAGCCGATACACCGGTATCCCGAAAGATAGATCCTCACGCGTCTGATCTAGGGGCACACCCAGCTGAACACGACCCAGCCCCACAGCAACGTGTAGTCCTCCGGCGAGACCGAGACCCCGATATTGACCTTGCCGACCCGCGTCGACGGGACGCCCACGGGCATGCGCAGGACCACGACAAGAAGCAGCGCCGCGACGAGCGTTGACGCTGACAACGCCCACGCGAGAGGAAAGGACCGGTGGACAGCGAGCATCGGGTGGTTCATCGAGATCTTGTGTGGGGGCGAGTCGACGCACCGCTCTACGTCTGCATCCGAAAGAACAGCGCGCGCTCAGGGCACCCTAGTCTGGAGTAAGCGCCTCGTCCTCTTCGTCATCGACACCGAAGCCAAGGGCATCTCCTGAGGCCACAGCCTTGGTTGTAGGGGCTGCTGCTGCGAATGACGTATTGAGCTTGACCGGCCCACCGCTATCCACCAACATTCCTGCCTTCCTTGCCTCCTCCTCGCCGCGTCGCAAACCATCCATTTGCTGCTGCAAGAACATCTCGCTCGCCTGCTCAAGCTCAGACTTCTCCCTTTCTTCGTCTGCTCGATCCGTGGCGTCGTCTCGTACCTTCTGCGCTAGGATGTGTGCTCAAGAATCCCGCCAGCGTGCGCGATCCGCATGGTATGGGTCCGATTGTTCGGTTTCAGAGTCATCGTCGTACGACGCCAGACGCTTCAACATGTCTGATTTGACTTGCGCGTGTGATGACTTGGTCGCACGATCCCGTGTAATTGCCCGTTCCAGTGCAGCCAGCCGTTGTCGTTCTCGCGGTTCGTATCGACGGTCTTGCTGCGTGAGAAGTCAGCCGAAGTAAAAGCTGCGACAGCCCTAACGTACATCTCTGGATGATTGCTCCCCCTTTTTTCTTCTTGCTTCCTTTCTCCCAGCCTCCATTTGTTTGTCGGTCTGTGTAGGTGTACTAGCACTGCTTGCCCCTTTGACAAACTCCATGGGTTTGCCATACCCTTGGGCATCATCTCCGAACGCCCTGCTTCCGAGTCCGGGTCCGAGCCTCTCTGTCCAGTCTGCGCACCGCCGCCCGCGCCACCACCAGAGCCCGCGCCCCACTGATTCGGTGCAGCAGGTGCGGCTGAAGCCGCAATTTGGCTCCGCATCTGTATTTCCAGTTCCTTCATCTTTTCCCGCTCCTGCTTCGCCGCCCGCTCCCGAAACTACGCGATCTCGCTCACGACCAGCTCGCGCTGCGTCTCTGGCAGATCCGCCTCCTGCAGATTGTGCAAATGCGGCGGAATGACTTATTTCCCCTTCTCCCTGCCTAGCGCGGCCTGTGCCACCCGGGAGAGGTCGTCGAGCACAGCATCAATGAGTTGCTTCGCTGTCTGGGAGTTTGCGGTCGGTGCGCGCCGTGTCGACGCGTAGGTGTTCAAGAACGCGGTCGTTTTTTCTTCGGATTCGATCTTCAGTGCGCATTTTGAGATGCAAGAGGGAAGGATGAGGAGGGAAATACTGGTAACTTCTTGTTTGCGCACCCTTCCTCGAGCGCCGGCAGCTCGATTCCATTGGGCAGTGCAAGCGCCAACAGCGCGCCATCCGCTGTCTCGAATTCCGCGAATCCAAATCCCCGCGGCTTTCCAGCTGGTGTGATGAGCCTCTTGGAGCTTGATATTGGCCCACACGCGGTCAAGAGTGCATTGAGTGTTGTGTCGGTGACGCCGCCTGAAATAGATCCTATGAAGAGTGTTGTCTGTTTCAGAGGCTGGCCACCCGGGTTTTGATTCTGAAGCGCGAGCGTAGAGAAGGAGGGTCCTTGTCCGCCAGAAGGAAGTGGTGGTCGAAGAAGTGCAGGTACTTCATCCCAGGTGTCGTCGGCGTGCTCTCGATCACCTCGTCAGCATAATCGCATCGATGAACCAGAACCCGCGGCACTGCCTCCCTCTCCTCCTCGCCCAGCTGCTCCCGAATGACGCGCTCCAGGTCCTCGACCGTCACACCACTCGGCTGCAGCACACGGATCGCGCCGTCCGGATGCAGCCCGTCGACGACAGTGCTCCCCACCCCCAGGCTGCCCGCCCCGCCGTCCAGGACGATCGCAACGCGCTCCTCGAGACCGCGCACGACGTGCTCCGTGCGTGTGGTACTTGGCTTCCCCGAAGAGTTCGCGATCAGCGCGGCGAGGGGAGGGCAATGAGCACGCGCGCGACGGGGTGCGAAGGCATGCGGACCGCCACCGTCTTCTGGCCCGCTAACCCGGCGGATCGGTAAACGGATCTTCGACGCGGTGTAATCGAGGAGGACCGCGTGTCCCCATACGTTCGAAAAAGTGGCGACAGCGACAGAGGAGCGGCAGACGCTTCCTCCGCGTGCTCGGTTGTGCCGATAGGCGCAGAAAGCGAAGCGGTTGCGCAATGGATTGGCTGGTTGCCTCTGAGATGCGCCGGGCATCTTCCCGGACGACGCAAATGGTCCTGTGAAGTGTGAGATGTGGGACAGCGGTGTATCTGTCGGACTGACTCCAAAGGTTTTTGCATTGGGATGTGTGTACGCACACCGAGTACACGAGAAAACGCCCGCGTCGTTGCAATTGAAAATAAAGGTCTGCGCGTCGTCCGGGAACATGGCTCCGAGCTGAGCCTGATGAAATACGCGGCCATCTTTTTTTGCAGTGGTCCCATCCAGAGAGAGATCAGCCTGATATAGCTCACAGTGAAACATTTCATGGAGGGGCATTGCGACGACGAGAGAGCTCAAGGACAGACATGTGCGGCAGAATCCGGCCCAAGTTGTCCACTGAGAAGCCCAGGGCGGACAGAACAGCGCCGACCGCGATAGAAGACGCATATAGCAGGAATGGATTCAAGAACTATTACGTAGACATGTAGCCTATGAGCGCCCTTGCGCGCATGAACGCACGCGTCGGGCGATAGTGGCGTGAGGGAGGTGTATGCGCGTCTGCCGTAGGCGTTGTGTTGGCTCGAGATCTGAGGGTTGGGTGAGCTGGCATGGTGGGTACTCACCTGTAGTCCCCTTCTTCGCCTGAACTCTCCCTCCACTCGCCCTCATCCCTCTGCCGCCCAAGACCAAGCCCTAGCTCCCCAGCCCATCCATCCCACACCCGTTCGTTGGTGGCCGCGGTGACCTGGTCGGATGTACGAGCAGAGCGATGATGGTGCAGGGTGATGTGACGGGGTCACAAGAGGTGACGCGAGAGATGTTCGACGAGGTTATCTCGTCTCGTACTCTCCATAACGCAGTATATGTATTATTTTGAGTGAGCGATATGTATTATAAGATTCTATAAGAACTTCCTGCTGTCTTAGATGGCCCACAGACCCCCTGCGTCCCCATATATTGAGCTGTTGGCTTCAACTGATGGCTGGGCGGAGATCGTGATATTCTGAAAGGGCCGTTGATGCTAAGACCGTAAAATTCGGAATCTAATATCCTCAAATATGCAGCTAATGTTACGTGCAAGAAAAATACGAATGTTGAGTGAAGTGACCTCTGCGTCTCCGTCCCATCAAACGCGCTGATGGGAATTGATCGTTTTGAGACCCTCCGCGGGATTGGATGTGAGACAATTGACCGGAAGTGGGACGCCGGCGTGCGCTTTCATTTTTGAGACCATTAGCTAAGATTTCACACTTTTTTCAAAATTTTCGGACGAGGAATGAGGCCGGCGTCTCGAAAAGATACTATGGTCCCAATTGGAGGTGCGATAGATACTAGCAAATCCAGCAAGGCCGAAAGTGCAGACGATTAGTCATTGGATGGCGCGAGAGCTTCTACATGGCCAGTTCGAGCTGGGGAGACAGTACAAATGATACATATAATGAGAGATAAGTACGTGCAAGAGTATACACAGATATCACAAACAGTTATGCCACGAAAGTCAGATTGAATCCGCACGAGGAAGACTCGGAGGTCGTGGGAGCGGCCTGGGAGGACGGACAGTGGACGGTGTTGCTGCAAGAGGCCCTGGGAACTCCTCGAAAGGCTCCTCCACGATGGGGGTCTGGAGCGGAGACGAAGAGCTGAAGAAAGTGCCGGTCCCCGTGCTGACACCAGTGCTGACACTCCCGGACCGCTTCACCCTCCCCACGACTTCGCCGAGCTGCGCAAGCCCTTCCTGCGTCAGTCCGGCATTCGTCGCCGCCCTGAGTTCCGCAATACTGAAGCTCAGGCTGTTCGCCCGGCTCGGGGTCCCATCGCTGTGCGTGTCCCGATCCGTCATCGCTCTCGTCGGCGGGCGGGAAACAGTGTGAAGACTACTGATCCGTTCCTGATACAATGAAGATGCGGCGACGCTCGTCCCTGCTGTCATGGTCATCTCTCTGGAGCCAATGCTCTCGATGGTAGGCATTCGTCGGATGTACGAGTTGAGAATCCGGATGTGCTCCTCTGGGGGATACGGGCGGCCAAATTCGTCGTAACCGATGCTGGCTCGATACGCAGGCTCCGCCAATTGCGCCGACAATCTGGGTTCTTGCTCGTCTTCTCGTGCCTGCGCGACCAGTGAGCGGAGTCGCTCGACGAATGTATGCAGCCCTTCGTCTGCAGAGTCTGGCTGCTCGGCATAGGGATCGAAGTCATCTTCTTGCGGCAAACGCGCGTCTTCCGAAGAGGGCGACGGGGTTGTCCTCACGGACGGAGTGCGAGAGCTGCGTAGAGAGCGACGCTGCGAATTGGCATGCGTTATGGTGGACGTGGATGGTTGATGACTGTGGGAAGGCGGCAGCAATGGATCTGCTGACATTGGCGGGGAGCCGACGGTTGTAGATCCAGCAACCGAGGGTTTCCTTCGGGAGGGCCGTCGCGTGTAATGATATGCTCGAACGCAGACGTGATAGACAATCTGAAGTCCTTCATGAGCAAACTAAGTCCTTGAATAGATGGACAGGCAGTCGTACCAGAAACAGCAGTGTGACAATCATCCGCACTACAACCAATGTGAACCAGGCCCCCTGGAAAGAACAGCCATCATGCCAGACCACATCAATGTCCAGCTTACATCGTCGGAGTGTGTTATCCTTCCACACAACGACCAGTGCCAAGTTGACGATAGCGGGTGACACGAGAAGGAACGATGCAAAGAAACGGAGGAAGTGACGCAGGGTCGGAAGAAGACCGACGGAACCTTTATACCGTAGAGCATAGTCTTGAATGAGAGGAATCGAAGAAGAGATAACGATCACGGCGAAAGCGGCGATACTGCACGTCCCAAGAGCCAGTGCCTCAGCTTTGCCCGTTGTGGTGTAAGCGAGGAAGTACCGCACGGTCGTGTATACCGACCAGCAGACTATTTTAATGGTGAGAAATGCGTATCAGTAGCCTGTGAGCACGCACCCATGATAATTTCCATCACTGCCATTGCCCGTTTGAGTCCCCTCAATCGCTTCCGCACCAGCCTATCCATACGTTCCTTTTCGCTACGCGCATTTGTCGGGTCTCCATCAAAGTGCAATGAGAAAGGCGCGCTCGGAGGCTCGTTGGGATGACTTGGCTGGCGCGACAAGAGGTCGAGGTACGCGACAGACGCTTCGGAGTCGAAGGAAGCCGAATGGGTCAGGAGAGGTCGGTGAGTCTGGTCGGAGCTTTGCAGACTCTGAATGGTGGCGGCAGAAATGGTTCTCGTGTGAGGCGCATGGGTAGGCGTCACCGAATCGGGAGTCTCAGGAATCCAGATCGAGTTGTGAAGGTAGAGGGCGGCCATGCATGAATGGGGGATCTCCTCTCAATCCTTGTCCATGGGCCGGGCTGGAAGGGAAGGCCGAAGGGGTCCTGAAGGATCAGCAAAAAAGTAAAAAAGACAAGGGGAGAGGCGGAGAAGGTCAAACGGGTTTCGACGCCAAGTCAACGAGACATAGCAAATTCGATTGACATGACAGCTCATCAGACCGATCACGGCAATCACTCTTGCGTCCTTTGATAATTTGACACGGCACCTCACCTATGAGCCAGGAGGAACCCGCGCCACGATTAATATCGGTGCTCCAAAGCATGGCAGATGAGATAAGTAGTCTCCTTTAGGGCTAGAGACTGCTCTTACGCATAAACGCTCTGAGTCATCCTCACTGCCCCGCGAACTTCCAAGGCTGTGTTAGAATTCCTAGTCATCAGTCTCGCTCATCCACTATCACAAGACACGCTCTACTCCACAGGGCAGTGGGGGTCAGGTTGACCACCTTCGACGGCTTCTCTTATACTCAGAAATATCACAGACTAAGGGCCCGCTCAGTCATCGGGCAGACATCTCGTTGGCGCAGTCTGTATGTTCTTTGACTCTCGCTATCAAATACGTTCGTCATCTGGGACGCTGAGTCGATTCGTCCGAGGATGGAAATGAGGCCGTGCCGGACTCCGGCTTGGGGAACAATTCCAGGCACAACGAAAGATTAACTTCTCAAAGAGAATTGATTTCTGGGTGCTATTCGAAATCTGCGAGGTGAATGAACAATTTTCTTACGTTCCATTTCCATACGTATTACCTATTGTATGCATTACCTGTGCCATGCGCTCCCATTCCCGACGTCTGCGTCGCGATCGAATGCCGGCGAGTGATTGAGAGATAGTTTAATTAAGCTAGGAGTATGGTAAGAATCTGGGTCTCACTACAGGAATATTTTTCATCAACTTGGGGACTGATTGAGTTTATTCCAGAACCCACTTATGAACAAGTGTGAAACCAGAATCCGAGAGGAAAGACGTATGACGTATGGATGGCACATCATTGATCCAGGTGTTGCGGCTAACATGAGTTACGTGCATGCCACCTATGAAGCACAAATCCCGGCAACGATTGAGAAACTAGTGTGGTTAGCAATAGGTTCGAAATCATTCGCCGGACAAATTTCGTGAGTCGAAGCACTATATCTGAGAAAAGCAGGCCGCTCAAATCAGCAGACTGCTTGTCGACCATTCGTTCTGTCCCCGCGTGCTCAGGCAGTTATTTTGCCATTGAGAAACCCCCTCTCTGGACACACGACTAGCACTTTTTTTCTTTTGTCTCTCTTGAACCTTTCTGGACTCTTTCTTTCACAATCCGTATCCTAGATCACGTGTTGTTTGTGTCTTCATTGCAGATACCCTAGTACGACAAGATAGTCGACGTTCACTAGGGGCTCGGCACCCGGTCTCGCTGGATGTGACTCCGGATGCGAGCGTCGCTCTCTTCAATCCTGCAATGGATGTACCAAAGTTTGACGAGCTCATGCCACAATCTCGATCCACATGGCCCTAGAAGGCTTGGCCGAGCTCTTCTGAAACAATTCACTGAAGGCGTCGAAAATGGTCACCAAGGACGGCTAGGTTCCGTATTCCTGTAGTTCTCGACAACTGGCGGCGAATCGCTACCGTCGTCACGGTGTCATGTCCGATATCTGAATTCTCGTTGTTGCAATCCGGAGTGGATCTCCGGTCCAAGATCCTGGTCGACCGACCCTGAGCTTCACAATGGTAGTAAATCGTTCCATGCATGTATTTCCGTTGATAGAACATCACCATAATCGAAACGCCCGAAATTCGGGGGCCTTTGGCCTGCGAGCTCCCGTTAAATCCGCGAGATCATCACCTCGTTCTGACACGCGCATTCACCAAGCAAATGATCTAATCCTCGCGGCGCCGAGCCTCTGAACGATGGCACGGCTGTTCTCGAAGCGGCAAAATGCGGCGGTGCGCCTGATCTTCGACACCGCTTGTCGAGACATGTCAGCCCCGAAGTCGCACTAGGAGAAATCGGCGAGAACGATGGGTTAGTTTGTGGACCGGAAGAACATTCACCGGTCATGACCGCGCGCGTGCGAATCTGCTTCGAGAATGGCCGGTGCCGATCAGTTAGCCCGACTGTAACGCGTTTAAAGGCTACGTTTGTTCGGAGACTGAGCTTGATCGATAGCCTGCCGCTGTAAGTCGATGCAAAGAAAGGATGCCTGCAACGAGGACGATCGCCTTCTCAGCCTCGCTTCTCCGCAACGGGTCAGAATGGAAATAACTGGCCAATGACCCGTCTCCGATAAGCGGTTGACAGTTTGCGTCTTGCTTACCATCGATTCACGCAGCATGTAGAGATCACAATCGTACCGAGTCTCGACTATCCTGGTGAGTTGTTTGCTCTCGAATTGGATCTGAACACGACCTGGTTACAAAGGAGATACGGCTCACTCGATACCTCGATACCTTTTCGTACGCGGAATTTTCCTCGAGTCTGGCACCTGTTACTCACTGGAGCGTTCTGGAGCAGTTGCACGGTCTAATTCATTAGCAGCCTGCTAATCGAAGAGTGAAGACTCATTGTTCGTCTGCATCCGATTCCGCACTTCTCTGTTTTCTCACTTTCTTCTTCCGACTATTAACCGGCCCGTCAGGCTCAGTCGAATCTGCCGCTCTCGGTCGCTTGACCTTGACGCTGTCGGTTTTGTGAGTCGGCTCGTCGACGCGGTCGGGTTTCATGAATCCGGAATGGGTGTTTTGTGAATTCGACATCTTTGTTTGCCTCGGGCCTAGGCTGACGGCGGAGTTATCGAAGATCGCATCTCTTGCCGACTTTCGGGTCGGCTTCGTAGGCTTTGCCTTCCAAGAATCACGAGTTGCCTGACCCTGTCCGGAAGAGATCTGTCGTGGCTTGGAAGATGATGAGTGCTGTGCGGATTTCGACTCCGGTCCTTGATGCTGGGCCGTAGCAACGGTGGGCTATCGCGATCGACGTCGGTGCCGAGTGGGAGTGCGTTGATGAGAAAACAGACGCGCACCTCGATCCCAGAAATCTCCCGCCCACTCTTGAAGACTCGTCTGCCTTTTGGCGGAGACTTGGTCGCCGAGGGAGAGTGATCCGTAGCATCGTCTGACGCGAACAGGAACGGTAGGTACGACGCTTCATAGCTGACAGCTTGCCTGCATTGGAGTGTCGGTCGCGGTAAAAAATTGGAAAGATGATGATAGATATTTCGGAATCAGTGGCAGAAAGCTAGCGAGATGGCCGGACTCGCGTTGAGGTTTCTCCGGCTCCCATGCCCCATGCATCGCGCATTTCCTGCCCTATTTCCCATTCCCCGTCATCTCTGACCTCCGCCTTGTCGAGCTCAACTTGTTGTACATTCTTTGCACGGTAGGCATTCTGCATGAACTTGAGACTGAGCGTGCTCGTGCTCAGTGATTTGGCTGCCATAACCGTCGAAGGAAAGCTCTGGCTGTTTGCTCCTGTCAATGATCGCAATTGATGAACCACGTGAAAGGCCGGCAGGTGACCTTCCTCTAGGCGTTGATCGTGACCCGTTTTTCGTCTTGAAGATCATCATCTCCCGTGTCACCGAACCTCCCAACTTCCGCCCAGATGAATTGATACCACCCGGGCCAAGTCCAGACTCAATGGCTCGTCTCGATTCTACAATAAGCGACTCGGCTCGGTTTTACAGGGGAGCGGTTCAAGTCATGGTGTATTTTGGTAAGCTCATCCCCCCTTTTCTAGCATTCCCGGTATGTTAGCCCGTGGAAATTCATCCCAATTCCGCTGGCTTCGGATATCTATGGATTGTCTCACTACTTTCCACGCAGAGTTTTGTCACAGGCGCTCTGCAATCACCAATCATCATCGAGAGCGATCCGAAGGACAGGCGACTGCATAAATCGTGTAACATGCCGCAGATCTCGCCAGCTTTAGACCTTCAGTCCCCGAAGCTCAAGTACTTATGTGCAGTGGCATGCCGTGCTTAATACGTCCCGATGTCTTGTCTACTGCGGCCTACCGCGGCTGTCGGCTGATCCATTCGAATGCACTGTGTGAACTCATGTTTCTTGTTGACCTGACCTGATGCAGGATGGTCTCCTTGGGCTATGGATCCCAAGGATGTGAACGCTAACGAAATGAAGTACTTCTGACCGCACGTTGACCCTCAGGTCCCCAGCACCGGACAAGCCATCGGCGATTGGAATCGAATGGGACGGACCGTCATCGGGGCTTACCACATTTACACGCCAGACAAAGTAAGCCGGGGACCTTACGCTCGATCCTCTGTCAATCAGCATCGCGGGAGTGACTCAACTTGATCGTTGGTGCTTGAAACTATATCATGCCTCACCTCATTGTCTTGCCGTCCGTTCTATTCTACTGCCAGATGCGACGTCCGATCCGCAGACACCGGTTGATGAAGATGCCAGCGTGATCGAGATTGGGGACAAAAGATTACTAGGAAACCCATCCGTGTTCGAGACTGGGCTTTATCGAGGTATTGGCGACAGCGCCAGGGTGATACCCGCTTGAGCCGCGTGATACTGACGCCATCGATGGAGCCACTAAGGCGGCTCGATCCGATGTGAAGGTCCTCTCAACTCCCTCGGAGAGAGTCTGCAAGATTCTTGACAGGTCTTCATAGCGCCGTGTCAATCATTCAGGTCCTCTGTTGACTTGACTTGATCTCTCATATGCCTGATGAGCATCAACCAACCCGTCGCGGTCGGACTCAGACGGGGGGAGATATAAATGATACGTCCCCTGCATTCGAAGCAGGGCGCAAAATCTCACGCGGTTTCGCGAAAACTCGGCAAAAGCTTCGTGGAAGCGCTGCTGCCTCGCTGGTCGTGATGGGTGGATGGGCTTGTGATTAGCATTCCCTGGATCCATTGCGGAGCCTTTTGTGCGATTTCATGTCCGTGCATGGAAGACATATCGGCCGGAGCCACGTGTATGCAAGTCGCTATCAACACCGCGCCCAGAAATCTGCCTTTCTGACTGATTCACAGCGCGATCATCGACTCATTCGGCATGACTTTCTCAGCTACCAGCAGAAGCGTTGGCCAAGTCTCTATCGTCTGTGCGGGGGGTTTTGTCTATGATAGTATTTACGCGGGTAGAATCAATTCCAGGACAAACCACGGATTCGATTGACGTTTACAAAAAATTAAAGTATATATGCTTGTACGAGAAAAACATCGAAGTAGAATTGATACCTAACTTTGACGTCGTGAGTAGTGTTTCCGGTTTCAGACTACGCCACCGCATGTAAATGAACGGAATCAAGCAGTGGAGAAGAGGATCGATCATGATGAGATTTGCGTGACTTTTACTCGGCTACCTGGGAGCTCCAGCTGCCGGTGGCAAGTAGGGCAAGTAGGCATCTCAAGAGAAGAAAAGGATGCATACGGAGCGTGCTCTTCAAACGCACAGACGCCGTATATCTCGATTCCGATGCTTCTCCCAGGGTTTTGCGCCACACTAGACACGACCGCAACCTTCTCGGCAGCGAGACACCTCCCCCAGTGACAAGGCCAATCCAGCACCTCGCACGTCGACACTTACGTTATGTCCATCAAAATCAAAACACTGGGCTTGACGTCTTACATTCGTGAGTTCACTGTGCGCGGAGGGTCGTAAGGCTAGTGACCGACATACGTAACACGGACGGACAAAAGGGGATGGCTCGATAATGCTACATTTGTGCTGTGATTATGCGTATATGTACCGTGCAAGTAGAGATGAGGATAGCGAGAAGGGAAGCAAAGGAAGCGGCAGGGCTGTAGCGGTCGTAAAACGGGGAGAACGGCAACGGTGACGGAGAGAAAGTGGAGTAGTCACGTCAAAGCGGACTACTTGAGAGTAGTGAGGAAGCCGCGAGCAGCATCGAGCCGGCATTGGCGATACCAGAATCGCTACGCCCGATGTACGACGACCCGCCGAGTATGTTTCCCGGACCTCCTGCGCTCGTTCAATGCCATGGGTCGCCGCCACGCATCGTCAGAGTCCATGTCCTCGGCTATGGGGTGCGATGGAGACGATGCGGACGGGGGTACGTCAGGCGGTGGAAGCCGGGGCGATGCATGCGACTGGCGCGCCTGGTGCGCCGGGAGATGATGGCCAGGCCCTGCACCAGGCTGCGGATGAGGCGGAAGGGGGAATGGAGGTAACGCAACGCGCTCTCGATCTCGCCCGCCAGCTGCGCTGCTGTTGGGCCTCTCCGCGCGTCTCTTTCCTGCGCTCGGTCCCGCATACTCATCTTCGCCAGTGGGGTTTCCAAAGCCGATGGTCCCCCGGGCAAAGAAGGCCCGCTCTTGCCGAGCAAACCACCCACTCGTCGGGCCGGGTCGGAGTTCGTCTAGTGAGGGTGCTTGGGGAGGGAAGAGAGCCATGAGGTCGTGACCTGTAAGGCCGCGTGGTCGCCCAGGATGAGATAAGGCGCGGGGCGAAGAAAGCTGTGGACTATCGACGGAATGGGGCCGAGAGTGAGCAGCCATGGGCGGAATATCAAGCTCGCGAAGACGTCTGGTATTTGCTGTGTTGGCGGGGGAGATGGGTGTTGTCACTGTTGTCGCGTTTGTCGTGGTCGGAGAAGAGTTAGTGCCGGTGGGCGAGGGCGGAGTAGAGGTGGACACGGGACGGAGGCTGAAGCTCTTAGAGGGCGTGCTCGTGCTCCGCGTGGCACTCAGGGTAGGTGTTGTCATTAACACAGCGCGGTGACTGACGGCGGCGCTCAGCCCCGGCGACGGTGGATGAGGGCGGAGGGACATACCAAATATCAGGCGGAGGCGATGTCAAAGGGGATGTTTTCTCCTCCCCGTCCCGCTTTTATGCTCCTCGTTACCGGATCCGCCCAAGGAAGGCCTGGCACAAGAAGACGCCAAATGCCAAAGAAGATGTGCTGTAAGAAACAAGATTGAGGCTCAGCAGATGGCGTAAGTCGTATTTTCTTCGCGCGGTCCGTATCCCATATCGGGCTGCCTCTCAATCCGTCCATAACAGATCGAGATGAACGGGTAAAAAGCAGATCTGCCTCGTGGGAATTCGCCGAGGGCTTGGTCGACTTGACAGAAACCATCAAACACCGGAGATTGCCGACAGTGCCGAAGGGATTGAGCTGCTTGAATTGCGCGCGGGGGTGATGCATTGATGCTTGCATATCCAGTTCGTAAAAGGAAAACAAGTTTGATATTGAAAAAATGGATCGCGTTCAAGTTCTAGAAAAAAGAGACTGCTCCGGCAGACATAGACAACGGCGGTTGAACAGTCAAGAAATTTATCTAACGCCAACGGCTTCGTTTTCGGAACATTAAGCGAAAGCGCTGCAGTAATGGATCTCCGATGGATAGATCTGAAGATTTCAAGGCACCTGGAACTGGCGCTGTCAAAGCAATGTAAGTTCATGCTGACGTGGAGAGCCGAGACCTCTGAGGCCGAATTTTGGTCTGTCGCTTCTCGCTCTCGAGCGCAGGTCAGTCTTAATAATTAACAGAACTCGAGAAGTACCAAGTACCACACAGGAACATTCACGGGAACTGTGCGTGGTTTGAGTGCTCCGATCTCCGAAGTCGGCGTGTGGGAATTGCCGAGTCACAGGTGTGACATTACTTTCAAGCTGCTCTGGTCAACGACGTCGCTTTGGGCGGGTTTCGCGCTCTTGACGACTCTCTTGTATCGCATTGTTCTATATAGAGTGTGTGATATCTTGCTCTCCTCTCGGCCTGGACCGCGGTCTTACGAACCCATCCTGCTTGTGTTCCACCTTCCTTATCCGCTCGATCGTTTCGACCTCATACATTGCTCATTCAAGCACGCAAACCGACTTGCGATGGTTGACCGCAAGATGGAGGAGAATATCGCCCAGTTCTGCGGTGTCACCGGAGCCTCGTGCGTCGCGTTCTGGGCCCACCCGCCGCTGATGCTGACCAAGCCCCCGCCCGACCAGCGTCAAAGACGCCAAGAAGTTTCTGGAAGCGTACAAGCGCTCCGATGTCGCTATCGATGCTTATTTCAATGACCCTCGCGACCCGCGCGTGTTCGGTTCTGGCGTGAAGACACCTGTCGTCGCTGCCTCGACCAGCAAGCTCAATTCGCTTTTCGACAAGTACAAAGACCCCGATGGGGTGGAGATCACCGTCAACGGGACCATACAGCTCTGTGCAGATTTGGGCGTCGACCCTGAGGACGTAGTTCTGCTGGCAGTTGCGTACGAGCTGAAGAGTCCCCGCGTGGGCGAATGGAATCGCGCCGGGTGGACGGAAGGATGGAAGAACCTGGGGCAAGTCTGGCGGCTCCTTTTCTGTTTTACATCAATGCTCAACATACTGCTCCTCTTCTACTTATCTGTGCGCTGTCGTCGCTACCCGATCGCATGCGATCATACAAACAGATGCGACTCTCTATCAGCCATGAAGGCATCGCTTCCGAAGCTGAAAGCGAAGCTGGCTCAAGATGCAGCGTACTTCCAGAAGGTGTACAATCACACCTTTGACTTTGCAAAGTCAGAGGGACAGAGGAGTATCGGTGGGCTTTCGGTTCCTTCCCCAGATCAATTCCGATTGACTCACCGGTGTATACCACAGCTATTGACACAGCCCAGGCCTTCTGGTCCCTACTACTGCCTCATGGCATGTCAGGTGCTGCGCTCTCGCATGTAGATTCGTCTGGAGACAGGTCAGTAGCATCTGTCATGCACCCTCTCCTCTGGTCCTGACCCTTCGTGCCAGCGATATGACTGGTGACGGAGGATGGCAGCCTCAATTTGTTGACTGGTGGTTTGAGTTCCTGAACGAAAAGGGCGGCAAGGGCGTCAGCAAAGACACTTGGGTGATGGTAAGTCACGACGCTGTCTTTCCAGTCTTCATATCTTTGCTCCCGTCCGGCGAATCGCATGTTGCTGCTGTCCAGCATCGAGCGCCACTCCAGAGTGCTGCTGATGCACATGCTCTTCTGTTCAGCACGTCCCCTTTGGACTTGACGTGCATACTGGCTGCCAGATCAAGCATTCAAAGCTGCTCGCACTGGGTTCTCCCCCGCTTCCCCTGTTGTGTGTGTTGACTGAAACGTCATTCTGGAGACTTTGACACTGTCGTGTCGGTTCCTTGGGAGCTGCTCGAGATTGTTCGAGATCGGCTCGCTGCTCCGATCTGTTGCGACATGATACGTCTGTTCTCGCTGTCAATGTCCAGGTGCAGCACTGATGTGGGCATGTGTTGCATTGCAGCTGGCGTGCAGCTTCTTCTTTTGGTCCCTTTCGACATTCCTGTTCTGACTTGCTTCTCGTAGTTCCTTGACTTCGTCAGGACGATCGACTCCCGTTTCCAGACATACGATATCGAAGCCGCCTGGCCGTCGGCCATTGACGATTTCGTCGATTGGGCTAAAACGAAGCTTAAGCAGTAATGGATGTAAGACTATATCGTGACTGTTCTACCTCTACCGTGTCTCTGTCAATTGTATATGTCAACTTGTGGGCTCTGGCTGTAGATTCTTATGTACTGACTTGACCATCACCTAGCTCGTGTGCGAGTTTCACTGACTCGTATGCGGAGCTGATGTCAAAGGTCCCATGTATAGGTCGGCTCGGTGTATCTTGCAATCAACGTTGTCCAGCAGACCCAGTGTTGAATGTCTTGATGGCCCCGATCTGGAGACTTTCCCGAAGGTGAATTTATGATCGAGACTCGGCTCGATCCTTCGTCGAGATTGCGGCACGTTCGATACAGATCGTCGCGGAACTGCTCGGTAATCAAGTATGTGAATAGCGTAGCCCTCCATCTAGTTATTGACCGATCCTTCGTGTCCCTTGAAAGACGTGGGAGAGTGTGTCTTTCGGCATGCGTCGAGGATCTGCATCCAGGGTCGATCCACCGCGCAGATTTCACATGTGTTAGCTAGAGATAAGGGCTGCTGACATGTACAGAAGGCGACGAAGCTTTCTGTGGGAGCTCGACGACATGGACGGTGCTTGCAGGTTCTGCCGGTGTTTCATGGGAATCACCCTGATATCTCGGCCAAGCCCGGTCCCAAAAATTGAAAGGGAAGCAGGATATGCGGTTATACCCCACAGCGGCAGACAAAACAATTAGTTCTGCGTTCGGACATCATTCATCATCAGAGCCTAGGATATTTAACCCATCATGCATGAGTGGCTTATTATATCTACGTTTTTACTCTGACCGTTGGCTCCAATAATCACGCTTACTCGAGAGAAGTGGTGGGTTTTGCGTGCTCAGTAGACGACTTTGTCGCGTGATTGAGTCAACTGTCGGATTCTTGCAGGACCTTTCGGCCAAAGCCGAACCAACGAGCATCAAACATATTAATCATAAGATGTCCACCTGGAGTGGAAAAGGAGAAGCTGAATCTGCCCAGAAACGTGTGCGGTGAAGAGTCATTTGGAATGCCGGATTCTCACGAGAAGAGGGTGCTTGCGCATGCCACGCAAGCAGATGCAATTAAGTGAGGGAACAGTGATCAGAAAGACGACTCTTCCTTTCGAACTCGGGCACATCTGCTGAGAGAACTGGACCTGAACCAATAAGAGAATGAGCATGATAGGTGAATGACGAATCGGAATACTGAACGCAGCGTGGCAGCGCTCACAGAGCCGCCCCCTCGTGTTTAAACGGCGTCTACGCAATTTCTGGTGGATTTTGAACGGAGTGATCAGAGGAGATACTTACAATTTGACGCGGAGAATTCAATCGAACCTTCCGATGCACTGGGCTTCGATCAAATTAAATGCTCAGTATGATTCCACACTCATCCTAGCTATAATTATAAAGGGCTCCATGCCCCACTTTCAAGTTCAAATGAACAGATTTCGCGGTCTTGTTCACAATAGTGAGAGTATCTTGGCTCAGCACAAGCGTGTGATTTGTCACATGACCGTGATACTGCATTGCCACATCGCTTGGCTGTTTTTACTTTGTTGAGAACATCTCTCCTCTTCTGGCGTTCCATGGCATATTCGGCGAAAGGCTCCGCACGCAACAGGTTCTTTGGTTTTTTGAAAGGTGGATGGACGGCAGTCGATGAACTTCGGCATGGGAGCTGCTGGCAAGCATGTTAGACAAACGATCATCGACTTCCCTGCTACCGGCACACATCTTTCCTCTCTTTCTTGTACACCTAGCCTGCTTGAACGTGTTCGAGGACCCATGAATAACACAGTCTTGGAAGTCTTGGGGCGATCTGATGCAGCAGGGCCCACACGGCGACGTAAAAGATGATGGAGGACGCATTGGGAGGCACATGACCTGAGAAGTAGTCCTGATCGTCAGTGTTGCTCTGTTCCGGATCGCAGGCATCGCTTCTGCGTGCCATTCCACCGAATCTCTTCCTCCTTATCGAGCTGCGATATCTGGCCATCTCTCTTTCGGGAAAGTCGACCGGTCGATACGAAAGACTAATGGTGCTGGGAGGATTCATCGGCGAAGTGTGGTCATTGGGACTGTGCGTATTCTCTTCTTCACCAGCTCTGACTCAATGATTCTCCGATCCCGAGCATTTAACTCACTATGCTCAGATTTGTGGATGCGCTTGCTCGTCTGCATCGACGTCCGTATATCTCCGCAAGCTTTGACGATCAAGCGTGCTAGCCCTGCTGAGCCAAACCTACTTGGACCATATTCGCACCGGACTCCGTTTTCAGTTCAAAGTGCGCAGAGAGGGTGTCCCTGCAGTAGCTGTGCAATCGTGCACCTGGGCTAATTTAGCCCTTACTCTAGGTCACATAGGCCAAGATTTCGACGCTGTGGTAGCACGACCTTTAGCACCGTCCAGGGCCTGCATGCGTCAGCCTCACCTTACCTATCTGGACTCAATCGACTGACGAGCGTCCAACGGGTAACTGGACCTGCCTTGTCGTCCGACTTTTCGTCGCGCTTTTCTTGCTGCCGTTGGAAGCAACTGCATGAAGCAGAACGGGATGATGATGTGAAACCCATTTAGAAGAGCAAGAACGGCTTGGTAACAATGCAGTATGCCTGCTTCGTCGTTAATCCTCACACTGGCCGCTATCTCATGTATTCAAGACCATGTCGCACAACACAGCGGCTCTGTCGGATGCAAACCGACCATCCGACTCTCCCTGCCGCTCCTCGGCCCTTCGTGCTCGCGTCGCGCACTGCCATCGCCTTGGCACTCACCAACAAGATTGACAGCAGCAGTCCGCTCTGAATATCGACGTAATCTGGCGCAACGGGTGCAGCGCATGCGTTCTCACTCCCGACATACGTTCACTACCTCCTCTTTCTGCCTGTTCGCAAGCACGAGAAGCCCGGGGTATCTTGTCTCCTTCTGGATCATAAGAGACGAGGGCGCGTACCACCTGGCTGGCGCCGGATGTGTTGTCACTTACTGCGGATATACTACCCGGAAGCTCGGATGGGTTTCATGCGTTGATGGCCGAAGCTGGAAAAGCACTGTTCTTCCGCACTCAGCGCTACTGGTGCTCGCGCATTCTCAGATTGAAGCAGGGACTAAGGCAATCCGGTGCTGCCTACGGGCGTTCAAGTGCTTCTGGTGCGGCCCGTGAAACCCCACCGGTGTCGACGAATGATGCAAAATCCTCTTCCGACAGTTCAGAATGTGGACAATGGAAGCCCGCAGGACTTCCGCTTGATTGTAGGGCTGACTCTCGTTTCATCTTGGGGGATTCGCTTCTGGGCATCACGGGTTCCTCTCTTCCGTGTACTTTGCCGCCTGTGGAGGTCGCCCACTCGGACGTAAAGATGATGCTGCGTCTAGATATGGGCAGTGCGTGCTCTTTCCTGCCCTATCGACTGCTTTACCGATGTCCTTCAGCGCACATACGGCATCATCTTCAAGACAATCTTGCCTTGATCAAGTCCCCGATGACCATCGCTTGCCAGCAAGATCTTCCTAATCAAGCCAGGGCTACGAGGGACCGGAAATCCGATGCTTTGTCGCAGGCTTTCACTTCCCAATACCGAATCGCTGTTCGCATGCGGACCTTTCAGCTGGCTTCCTAGTCGGCCGGGATCACTCTGGCGAAGACCAGGGGCGCAATTCTATGACACTCTACATTCAGTTCAGCCACATACCGAATGTCGCACAGATCGAGACCTACGCACTTCTACAGTATGACCCACGCCAGCACTCATCTGTACTGTACACTCACATTTGATCGTAGTCTGCTCTGCCGTTGCCCTGTCTGACGGTGCGCTGCGGCCCGATGTGTCGCCATAAGACCAATGGGCAGCGAAAACGGGTGCTTTCGGTCGTCGCTCGCCTATCTTTATCCTACCTGCCATCGGCATGGCTCGGCCATGTCCTTAGACGACCGATGCCGACGTCTGCATGATTGGCCTTTCTCGTCGCGATGCGCAAAATCAGACCTCAATCCTTCGGACTTCTGAGGGACAGCACTGCCCCTTAACCAGGCTCGGAAATCGCCAGAGTCCACATCTTGTCTCACATCCGCATCGCTAGTCAATGAAGCCTCTGCCAGTAGAGGCCCTGGATCCGTTGGTACTTCTCCAGCGTGTTAGAAATCTTTGTCCAACTCTGAAGCTTGCCGACAACCCGTTCGGGCTACGACGCGAAAGATGTACGAGAAGCTGCACGCGGCGTAGTCGAAGCCACTCCACATCTGTGTCTGTCCGATGCAGCCAACGTGGAGCACGTTTACCGGCCGACTCGAGGAATGGGCCAGAACAAGCTGACCCACGTTGGGTCGGCCGGAAGGAGATACTAGTATCCGGCCGCAGCCCTGAAGGTCGCCCAGGGAACCACGATGATGCCATACTGTGGGCGTGAATGAAGGAACAACGATGAATGTACTGATCTGTACGTCGGGGGAGGGAACCGGTGGATCGCATACTTACAACGCCGACGACGATGACGGGACATAGAAACTGGAAACATCGCGCTGACCCCTTCAACTAAACGTGAGAAATGCACACTATCCGCAGGTTTCTGCTACCGTTCTGTAGAAAGTCTATCTAGTTTTCTGTAGATCCATCCCTTCCGGTTAGGCATTTTGTGCTAGGGCAGTGAATAACCAAGTGAATACGATGAGGCCCGGCAAAGATACAGCTGGGCTTTTGTGTCGTCTCCCCGACCACCCCCGGCCACCGCGATGCATCAGATCCCCTTCATCCGCAACGAGTGCGACATCCCCGTACCACACTCGTACTCGCTGCAGCTCAGGACATTGGGTGATTTGCCCAGCAATCTGGTACACGCTGAAAGTCCTAGTCCCAGCAGGGATTTGAAGACACGTTCTGGGACATTCCCAGACCTTTGCGCCGTTGCTGTTTGCCGTACAATCGATGAGGACACGGAAGTGTTGGGTCTCCGGCCAGCTTTGCGAGACCGTGGGCTCCTGATTCGCCTGGAGCAAAGAGAACAACTGAGCAGAAAACATCCACAGTAAAGGTCGGCGGGCATGGAATGCCTGCGTCTCGCGGAGCCCGACGTGGATGTTCGCCGAGTTGTCGTAGGTGCCCATTTCGAAGCCAGCGACATGTGCTAACCCAGCGATATGTGCTCCGGCCCTGCGAGAAGCTGGCTTGTCGATCTCTTTCTGCGCAAACTCGAACCCGCCAGCCTTCGCAGTCGGCCATCCAACCGCAATATCTGATGCACGGCATTCCAAATCCACCGCGAATTGAGTGGCCGCGCAAGCGAGATGAGCTGGGAATCTTCGATATGCGGCCAGGGCCTCCAGGCATTCATCGCTCCTGGACTCTTTCTCTGTTGTTGAATGTGCGCCCTCTGCCCATGATGGTAGGGCTGCCGGCTAAAGATGCTGTGAAGGGGATGAGCATCGGGCTTAGTTGATCAACGAGAACGTATCGGTAACGTGCTCCCTTTGGGCTTGTTTTGTCATAGATACTATGAAGGACCTCGTTGCGCCGTGTCCGGGTTCTTAGCCCATCCCTGAAGACACCATTTGTTAGCTTGAACACGATGCTTAGAGGAGGATACTCGCCCTTCTGATACTGCACGTCATTTACGCCCAACAAGATTGTACCGTCACGAATCAGGTGTAACAGAGCAAGGGGATTGGTCAGATGGAGCCCCCCCTCGTTCTTCCCTTGATAGAGATTGTGGCGGTTCCAGATGATCCACCGCACCGTGGAGTGTACCTAGCCCATTCCTACAATCGAAACTTGTCAGCTTGTGCATCATGCTCAGGGAATACTTACCGTTTCAAGACTTCATGACATCTGTGCAGCACCAGATGCACGGCAGCTTGCAGAACGTGTCCAGAACGAGCGACGGGGCGAATACGAGGCAGAAGGCATCGCATCTACCATCATCGGGGTGTTCCAAGCCGAGAAAACCGCGAGGTACAGGTTTGGGGCTAACACTTATGAAGCCGCATTAGCTCTCCTCTCATTACGCGCTCCCTACTCGTCCAGCTTGTTCCCAGCCCATTCTATCAATATCTCGTTGGGTGATGGATACAATGGATGTCGGAAGATTCCGTCACGCTCCTCCTCTCATGTAGCACAGGGAGCATAGGATTTATGACGCATGCGTCTATGAATCTTGACGCCGAAACCAACGTTGCTGGAGCCAGAGGATGAGGGAACAGATAGAGCAGAGCCAAAAAGAATGAGATAAGACCGGCGTCTGAAGCGGATGGTGGGGTTCTGGGCCGATCGAAGTGTCGAGAACAAAGCAGAATCGAGGACTCGGGGGACAGGGCAGCCGCCATCAGCGCTGCGGCTGACGTGCCGCTCTGATCCAATCATCCACGGGTCGGTCCGGTGACCATCAATGATGAATTGATCTTTCACTCAGGATGTTTCCATTGCTGTTGTAAGTAACGCAATTTCTTGACATCACTCTCCGCGTCAAACAGTAATAGGTTTAATGCAAAATACCGAGGAAACCCCGCCTCATAATAAATTTTTCCTCAGCGAAATTCCAGTGCTCTTACTTGCTCGTCTCTCAAATCGGGTGCGATTCTTCACGCGATAATACCAGCCCACTTCTCCCGGATTTTGGCTATTTGTGCCTCGCTTCGTGGACGGATGGATATCGGAAACGGTGCTGGCTCTCTGCGATGGGAATTCAGCTCGGACGCGCACACAGCTACCACTTGAGCTTACATGTTGACTCCGTCTAGCCAGGGTGTCGTGTCTGGATGGACGGAAATGGGTAGTCCCGTCACAGGGCTTATTGCGTCGGTAATGTCAAAACACCATAAAAGACCGGCGATAGCCTGCCAGCAGACTTCCACAGCGAATAGATTCGCTGGACACTGTCTACGGCCGAAGCTGGCAAGCAATCAAAATCAGCATCTGGATAAGTAGTATGTGTGCGTCCATCTTTGCGCACCCAAATGTCCAATGGCCCTCATTCAATCGAGCTGAATCCTTGACAAACCCATTCTCGTCCGGATCGTACCATCTCATAGGATCAAATACTTCACCCTCGGAGAACACTTGAGCACTCTTATGCATATTCCAGATTGAAGGCTGGAGTGACTGTGAGCGGGTCATCGAGACATCTGGCGTTTGCCTCACGATGATGTAAGTTCCTGCTCGAATCTTACAAAGATAAGATTGATCCTAGGCTAAACAGACAAAGGGGACCAACCATGTAGCCTTTGTACTCTTGATCCAGATCACATCGATGAGGAAAAGCTAGCGGTGTGACCGGAATCCATCAGAGGGCCTCCTTGACCACGGCCCAAGTATATGGCAATCGACGCAGATGTGCAAAACTCGGTATTTCGTCCGATCCCACCACCTGATCGAGTTCGTTCTGGGCGGTGGCAATAAATGCCGGTTGGGAGATACATGCTAGCAAAAATGTATGCAGAAGGCACGCGGTGACCGATGTTCTGTGCAGCAGTGTCAGAAAACGATATTTTGAAATGGTTGGGTTATACCTGGCTTCAAAAGCGCTTCCTCCTAGCTAGTAACTGAAGTCAGCAGATGAGGTGGAGAACATTCGAGACCCGCACGTATGCTACAGTTTCGCTATCAATTTGCTGTTTCTCTTGAGCGTCCCAGACGGATGCAACAAATGACTCTTGCGCATCGATATCGCCTGCGTGCCGGCGCTCTTGCACCTGAGTGGCTAGACGAGCAAACAACTGAACAGACACAAGTCAATACTAAGATATCACAAGCATCAAAGATCAAAGCACTCACATCCAGTTCTTCAATATGTTTTCGTTTAGCATCAGCACGCCAAGGAGCCAGCCAGTCAGGCAGCCGATCAAGTATGGGGAACGAGCTACCAAGAACTTCAAACAGAGTTTCTCAGATTGTCACAACGACCGTACTCAACGAGATGGGCACCTGGGAGTGCCTTGCAGCCGTTCAGAAAGAACACCGTATATGGATGCTGAATCACATACATCGAGATTAAAGCTATCATTCGAGTCCAAAATCGCCTTCAAATCCTCGTCCGCTCCGATGAGTCCAGATCCGTAAGTGATGCGCATGATCAAACCAGCTGTGAAGCGGTAAAGATGCTCCCGATATTTGCCTGGATCTTGGGGGCCGTCAATGAGATCCAGTAGAAGCTTGGTGGTGTGCTGCTCAATGCGGGGTCGATGAGAGACGAGGGCTGCAGAATGCTTTCAGCATCTTTCAAGGACGTAAAGGAGTGAGACGAAAACCTTTGGGCCGCAATAGTAGCTTGAACACAGCTCGCTGTTTCTTGAGATCGTCGCCGTGCGGGAGGAGGAGCATACGTTTGTTGTTCGAACGGTATTTCGCAGCGAATATGCTCTGTGGGCGCCCAGAGAAAGTAGCGGACCGTTTGAAAAGCTGAACATCCGTATCAGTTCAAAGAATCAGAGCCTGGAAGAAATTCAAAGCATACCAGTGCTTCAGCATCTTCCGGATCGCTCAATAGAATATAATCGTCCCCGGCAAAGTTCAAGGTGACAATGGGACCGAATCGGATGTATATTTTCTCGAGCCACTCCCACATTCTGCTGGCCGGAACGTCAAGTGTATTCCCTGCAGAGGTGAACAAGTCTCAAAGTATTATGCTTAGGTATCCTACCAAGAAGGGGCAGCCCCCAAGGTCCCGGAAGCTGCTTTCTTCTGGAAAACAGAGCCCGGACAAGCCCGAGGCCGATGCTTGCACCGAGCGCAAAAGACGCGCAATAAGCGGCATTAGAAGGCAGCATCCCGCTGGATATCGCGGCCAGCATACTTCTGAACAGCTAGAGGAGTGAGCTACGAGCCTGTGAGCGCAGGGGGGTACCACAGAAGTGTTTCTTTGTGCGCACAGGAAAAACCATCATCAAAGCCTGCACGGGAGAACACATCAGGGCGGTCCTTCTCCCGCTGAGAATGGAGAGAAGTTTGGAGCCGGCGTGATTCCACGGTTGTCTCAACTGAGGTGATATGGTTTCAGAGTGCGCAACGCTATCAAAAGGGAGACAGATCTTCTGAGCCCGCTTAGTTTCCTCCGGGCTGCTCAGTCAGCGAACGTAATGTCAGACAGGAATAGATAGTCTCGTCGTGGTTACATGTGCAGATTTTGGGCTCAAACACGGGAGGGAATCTTTGATTAGTCGTTGAAGCAAAAGATAGCGGAAGCTATACATAGTTGTGAGAGGATCTGCGATGACGTTGATAGGCTGGCTACCAGACGCGCTCTGCACCAACTCTGTAAGGGCGTATTTTTGCGCTTTTTACAGAGTTTACTCTCGAACCACTCGGTGTATCGTGTCGCGGATGACAGTGTTGCGCTCAGTAGGACTTGAGGGTCTACTGCCCAGTCGACGACTGTGGATAGTGTCGACGATAGCAAGGCAGTCAGACCACTACTGTGGAACTGGTCTTATGAGTCTATACCAGGCTCAGGGCCATTAGTGACGAACGCTTGGACCGCGAACATTCCCCAAAAAGGGATCTGTCGTTGCGTCGACTTCTCAAAGAGGGTCATTCTCTGCAGATAGGAACGTGGGCTGAAGGGCTGAGCAATGTGCGACGTTCTCAATAATACAACTACTACTGGACAGGACTCGGCGTTACGAGATTGAACCAATCTTGTCGCGGCAACTCCCGGTTTTGAGTTGGACGTTTCCTCAGACCATGCCACGACGACGACTTGTCACATGTCAGGATCCATTCGATCACGGGACATTGTGGACGCGTCGCGGTGACACTTCTAAGGGTCACGGCGAGTCGCGCCCATACCCAAACACACTAAAATTGACACGGCTAGATCCGTGAACCGAACCATGTGGGGGACGACTGGCGTGCCTAGGGCCATACGGCTTCTTGGGACGCCCACGTTGGTCTCACTTGCCAAGACATACCCGTTGGCCAATCCAACACGTCGTATTCCAAAAGTATGACGCAGTGGGTTGACCCACATCAAAAGTATCATATGGACTATGGGGCGGGGTCCTGATCACTCAGGACCTGTCCGATCGTTCAACTTTTCAATTACCCTAAAAGGCAACCGATCTTAGATAGCGTAGCTACTATGCAGTTGTACAGGACTTTACTAAGCATAGTCGTAGACAGTATAAGTAGCACGTCGTTTCTTTGTATTAGAAGCTTTCCCCCGGACTGTGAATCACTCTCATTTCAGATTGTTTTGTACAATTTGCGTGCCGCGTGATTCCACCCTAAGAAGTTCTGCTACCCCTGCCCGGTCGCGACAAGTTGCTCCCTGAGCACTTGTAGCTACTGTGATTTGAGTTTTGAGTTGAGAAATCAGAAAGTCGGATTCGCCGCATCTGGTTTAGTCGCGGCATTTAGTGTCGTCGCCCTTTGGGCTTTGTTGAGATCGTTCCACACCTCTAGCTTGGCAGTGCGTCGACTAGTTGTGCTTGGGTTGTTTTGGTCAGTTGGCAGTGCGTCGACTTGAGAACTTTGGTTCCACACTTCTTGCTTGGCAGTGCGTCGACAAGTTGTGCTCGGGTTTTGGACATTGGATATTGGCTGTTAGTTGGCAGTGCGTCGACGCGGCATTTTGGTTTACTAGTTGGCAGTGCGTCGACTCAGTACTTTTGGTTGTGTCAGTTGGCAGTGCGTCGACTTGACATTTTGGTTCTACTAGTTGGCAGTGCGTCGACTCAGTATATTGGTTGTATTGGTTGGCAGTGCGTCGACTTGATATTTGGGCTTTGCGTCACCATCTAGGCGCTGTCGCTACAAGGGATCTTAATACTTCGTATTAAGTTCTGACTTGTTATATTGTTGGTTGTGGATTGGATTAGTGTTGGTTGTGTTCGTATAGAAGATATTGGTTGAGACACCATTGTTTGCTATATATATATTCTTGTCGTCGACTTCGTCTTCCGCAACTATTGGATCTGCGTCTATTGAGAGTTGTGATACTGGTGCTCTGTCCGCCCCGAAGCCCTCGCATCTTTCACACACTGAGAAGCTGATTACGAGGAGTGTGAACGTGTTTATATTTGGGTTTACTTTCATAGTAGATTCACCTGTGAGCACGCCCTCAGCATTTCAACGTTATCGAGTCGCGTGACGAACAGGGATGCTCGTGACGCAGGCGCAGCGAAACTTACTTACCTGCGAAGCTGTAAAGCTTAGGAATGTATTTTCTCTGATCAGAGATACCGAGCTACATCCGAGCTTCATTTTTGAAAGTTTTGTGAACGACGATCGCAGATTCGAAGGAGATATGAAAGCGGTGCCCCACGACCATATGTTGTCTGATTGTCTCCCAGAACTTAGAAGATGTCGTTGTCCAGGGCAAGCGGAAACCCTCGGCCGTAAGTAAGCGATTATAGATTGAGACTCTGCGTTAGATCAATTCTACTAACTTTGGAAAAGAGGATCTAAATTGCACGTTCACGCAGCATTGGACTACACTGATGTAGACTATGCGCCTTTGTAGTAATAATCCAGAAACAGTCCGAACCAGATGATCACCCCCATGTTTCCGTTGGCCTGCAAAAAGGGCTGATGTAAGAAGAGCAATCTATGGGGTAAAAAGACCCATACCTCAAATTTAGCCCCGCAGTCGGCCACGTTTCTAAAATCCCAAGTGGTGAACACCCAGGTAAAAAATAATGCTGTGCCTCCGATGCTGATCGAGAAGAAATAGATACCTATGGCACAAAGAACGTTTCGGCCTTGTTGAGAATCTTGATCCAAAAAAACTTACCTTGGCCATTCAAAAATCCAGAGTACGCCATTGCAGCCAAAAACAATGTGGCAAAACCGACTAAAATTGGTCGGACCATTGATCCAAATAGAATGGAAGTTGATTTGATGCCTGCTTTCAGATCATCTTGTATATCCTGGCAGCCGTAGATTGTATCATAGACGATGCTCCAACTGTTGCTCAGATGAGTAAGGAGATATACAGAGCGAGAGGGTTGTTCCATACCAAACTGTCCCTGCAAAGAAAGTTCCAACGACTGGCCAATCCATGGCTGAAGTGACTGCAAGCCAGGCTGTCGGATATCCCCAGTTCATCGCGAGACCGAGCCATGCTTGGGGCCAATACGTCCATCGCTTCATGAGGGGATACAATGCATGGAGAGGGAAGAGGCCGATGAGACCGTATCGGAAACTGGAGTGCATGTAAGAGCTTGTAACCGAGAAAGAATCTGAGCTCTCACGCAGTGCCATTCGTCAGGAAGAGCAAACCAACGCTCCCGGAAGTCAGAAATATCAGCCAAACCGAAGCTGCAAATATCGAGATCGAGCCGCGTGCCAGCGGTCGATTTCTTGTTCGCTCTGAGCATGTTGACATAAGAGGTGAGTAGTCGCCAAGAGAGAACTTGCGCACCGACTTGTCGATCAAGATCGACATCGCAGATATCGTTCAGCACGCACGCTGCGCTGTGAAGCAGAGTGCTTCCGACGGCAAAGAGAAGGGTCTTGACGAGGATGTCGTTCAGCGGTGTGTGGGCTCGATATGCGGCCATGAGCAGCCCCCACGCGCATGGCCAGAAGACGAGAATGTTTCCCAGAGGGAATTTGTGCAGTCTTGCGAGCTCGTAATAATCATACCATGTCGCAGGAGGGATTTCGGATTGCGCCAGGAGAGGAGTGCTTTCTTCGGAGCTCATGGTGTCGATATTCCGGGAGTTATTGAGGTTAGCGTGGCACGAGCACGGACGCTATACATATGAAGCGGAAATCAGCAGAGCCTCACTCTTTTGCATACGCATCTGACCACCTATTTTTGTGTCTCAGCCTTACCGCGGTTGCAACTCAGTTGTTCAAGCATTATTCCCTTTTGATCATCTACGAAGAGCTTTCTCTACGCATGAGATCGCAGCCGAGAATGTAGACATCAGTGCGGAAATCAATCTTTCATGTTCAAGAAGTGAAAAGACTTCCAGTCATGTCGGAGAAGCCGGTACGTCTATTAAGATACCGATCTTTACCTGGGAAGCCAGGGAACTCAATTGGGAAGTTTTCACAACGCAGCGCCCGAGTTGCGAACCTTGAGTTGTGAGACGTTGGATGGTTATCGCAGCTTCTTGTGCTACCTGGAGACTGAGGGTAGAATCGGTTCACTTGCTGTGGCTGTCGTGACGCCAAGATCCGAATGGTGATGAGAAGGAACGGACAGCCGTCACGGTCACCACCCGCTTCATCTCATTGACTGTGACCCAGCTACAACGGCTTTGGTGAGTCACGCACGCCTTCCTCTCGATACAATGCTATTCGGGCACTCATTATCCTTGGGCGATACTCAATATGCCTTCTTGCTCCTCTCAGGCGTGTCACTTATCGTGTGCTTGCACATCGCTCGATCCTTGAACTCTGGACCACCGGCACGGCATCCTCCTGGACCACGTCCTCATCCGCTCGTCGGCCATACGCTTCAAGTACCGACCATACAGACGTGGAAGTACTTCGAAAGACTTTCTCATCAATATGGTGCGTACACTCACCCCAGACTCGACGATCATCGATTTTCATGCGCTCTGCCAGGGCCCATCGTCCGACTATCCTTAGCTGGAGACAACGTAGTTGTGTTGAGTGATCCTAGGGATGCTGAAGAGCTGGTACGGCTAGGTCCTGTTTCCTGCTGCAGTCATCTTATGACATAAAACACAGCTGGGACGTCGCTTGCACAACTACTCGTCACGCCCACAACTCATCTATGCTGGGAAGTATCAGTCGAATAATCAGCGGATGGTCCTTCTGCCTTACGGCGAAGTGCTCAAACGTCAGAGATCCGCCTTTCACCAGATGCTCCAGCCCTGCGGTAAGCCTCTTGCAATCCAGCCGCCTCATGCTCATCCCACCTAGTCGTCGGTGCCTACGAAGACATGCAAGAAACAGAATCTCTTCAGCCTCTCCACGACCTTGTCTCGTTGCCCGAAGACGCGTTCAAGCACTGTGGTCGCTTTGCCGCCTCCCTCGTATTCACGCTGAGCTACGGCGAACGTCTCAAGTCTGACGGGAAGGATCTAGAAGCTGTCCAGTCCGTTCTTCAGGGCTTTGTCAAGGACACCTATCCCTGGCTCACACCTCGTGGACACCTTTCCTGTTCTTGACCTCTTACCGGACTGGCTCGCACCTTGGAGATCCGAAGCGCGAAGAAAACATGACTTTGAGGTCGAGGTGAGGCTCCGCATCATGCTATGGTTTCATTTCAGAATCTTGATATCCTTGCAGCTGTATACCTGTTTGTCAGGCGACGTCAAGGCACGCATGCGTCGAGATATCGGAACGGAGTGCTTCTCTGCTCGGCTGTGGGAACAGCAGGAGAAGATGAAACTTTCTGACGAGGAGCTGTCTTACGGTGCGTTTTTCATCTCACCGCTTCTCTGCGGACCGTCTGATTTACATGCTCAGTCGCTGGCTCTGCGTTCGAAGCTGGTATGGATACCACGACGGGCACGGTCCTCTGGTTTCTCATGGTAGCCTTGCTCTTCCCTGAAACTGTCAAGAGGGCGCAAGCCGAAATTGACTCTGCAGTCGACGAAGACACCGTGCCTGGATTCGCGGTTTACCGAGAACTTCCGTACTGTGCTGCATTCATGAAGGAGCTTTTCAGATGGGCGCCTGCGGCGCTTGGTGGTTTCCCACATGTCGCAGATGCGGATGACGAGTATCAAGGCTTCGAGGTGAGCTCCTTCTTTGCTGTGTTCGCTTTCCGCGGAGTTGATTGTGAGGTGCCAGATACGCAAAGGCACGATGGTTATTCCATGCATCTGGAATATGGTGCGACTCTCATGCCATGTTGTTCTAGCTCTGATGCGACTTTCCCGCAGCATCACAATGAAAAGGAGTTCCCGGAATCATACACGTTCAATCCATCACGATTTCTGAGCTCCGACTTGTCGACTGGGGAGGAGCATGTGTTTGATCTCACTGAAGGGCACTACGGGTTCGGATTTGGGAGGTACTTCACAAGGCTCTGTCCAACCGTGGGATGCGTGACTCAGCCTACCGCAGGCGAGTGTGCCCCGGCAAATACATGGCAACGAAGACGATCTGGATCGCAGTCGTGCGCATCCTTTGGGCGTTCAATCTCGAGTTGCCTGAGAACGCAGATTTACCCAAGCCAGAGTGTTGCACTTCGGGAATGACGTCGTGAGTGCTCTTCGACTCGAATATCGCGCTCCAATCGCTCTAATACCCCTTCCCACAGAAAACCCCTTGATTTTCCAATCCGCATCACCGCGAGAAGCGCGGCGAGGTTGATGGCTATAAGACGGGAGTTTCTCGCGGCTGTTCAGAATTGATGGTTTCGAGGAGGATCTATCTATATCCATCTTTGACAAATCCAGTAGTGTACTTTTTGAATTCTATCTCTGATCTGTTTATTCTTGGTATCCCCGGAATTCGTAGATAGTGTTGAGGAAGGCGACATGGACACTGTCGCTGATATCAAATCAGATTGATCACGCGCCTACTGTATGTATGCCGTATTGTGTGTACTCTGACCATTACAACTAGCTAGTAAATAAGATATAGTTTTTCGGCTTCCACCTTCATCAGATAGGACTTTTACTCACGAGTCTGACTCAAACGCGATGTCAATCCAAACTCCTCAGCTGCACGCGCCAGTTAGTGATGAACAGACAGAAGAAGCAGCGAAGCTGGTTGTCCAATGATGCAATCAAGGGGTGGATATCTGGACCAAAGGAACTGTTCCTACTTATAGCCCTTGCGCCATGATTGGAGGTGCATCAAGCTGCCCCTTGGCCAATCTTCTTCCTTCAGAACGGACAATCAGAACTTGCAATGGGAGAATTCGACACCACACTCGGTGCACTGTGCGTCGCATACATGCTGGCTTGGGGGTGCGTTCTGCGTGATTCAGCATGCATTTACATACCTGCTGACACCTGCGGTGCCCAGCTTGTTCGGGGTCATGTCAATGCAGACCTATCGCTACTACCATATCTTTATAAAGGATGCGATGTGGATCAAGACTTTGGTTGGCGGTCTCTGGTTGGAGTCCCGCACACAATGGCTTACACACGAAGAGTTGACTATCAATTGTTAGGATTTTGGATACCTTGCAGCTTGTTCTGACCGGATCCTGCTTGTATTTCTGGTATGTTTTGGCGGACCGCTGAGACTGTATTGGCTTGATCTGAATTTGGTCACAGGGTCATCACCAACTACGTGAATCCCGCTGTCCTTGCGAATTCCACCTGGACTTTCAATGTACGTCATTTATACATTCTACGGCGATTCCAGTTGAGCTTAATTTCCTCTTTGTAGATCGGGATTCTGGTAACGAATTCGATCGTCATTATCGTTCAATTGTCAGTCGTCCTATTCTTGCTGAGCAATCGTGCTGATGCGCAATCATCAGCTTCCTTGCTCGTCGAGTCTGGATTCGTGCGCGTCTTTTGCTCATTTTCTGTAAACTGAAACCAAGCGAGCACAGTGAGCAACAGGAATTTCCTATTGACAGGGCTGATCGTTAGCTTGTCTTGCTGCTACTATGGATTTGAAATGGGTGCGAGGCCCCCGAATCGTTAGCAGTTCTTCCTTATTCAGATGTTGCAGCCCAAGCTGATCCTCTATGCAATGAACACAGGAACCCTGACTGCGTTTGTTCCCTTCGAGTCGAAACTGGATATTCCTCGCTGACAGACGCCCAGAATTGTTGTCCTGATCGACATGATTTGCGTGTGCCACCTTTTCTCTATGTCCCTCCCGCCTTTTACTAAATCACCCCAAAGTTCCTGACGATGCCAAATAATTTGATCCACATCGCATTCAATCTGGTATCGGGCAAGCTGTACACTAACAGTCTGCTCGCGACGCTCAACTACCGGGACACTGTCTGCTCGCATGCTCCGCGCGCCATGAATATGAACACGACCATCAGCCTTTCCCACATGAGCGGAGCGACGGCTCCTATGGGTGGGAGCGGCGTCGGCACCGCTCCTGTGTTCGCGCCCAACTCCAAATTTCATAGCACTGCATCGACTGGCGATCATACTGTGAGTATCAGTCGTCACCGATACACTTTATTCTGTTGCTCTCAGCTCTGACTTGTTTTCCAGTTGGCTGTTACCGCTTCAGAAATGGAAGATTACACCATTTCCAATGCTTCGGAGCTCAAGGTGTGTGATCTTCATCTCTTCGATCAGTCCACTGAACTCAATGACAAACCAGTTTATTAACGCGGTTTGAGCAGTCAGGCTTTTCCTGTTCCTGGACGGGCGCGGGGCTGATTCTCGTCTTTTCTGTTGTCGTTGAGTTGTATGTTGGTTCACTGGCAGTACCGTGTACTGTGACAAATCTATTGGTTATACAAAGAGATGCATCATTCAAAGTCTTGTGGTACAACCCGACAGCTTAAAGTTCGAAATATTCACAAGCTACTTCGAGCCACACGGAGTCAAATACTGTCACTGATGCACATGGCCCCACCATTTCTCAATGAACTCCTGTGGTTGCATAAACTTATGCACAACGGCGTGGTCAAAGGTTGAATCGAATGTGAAACGGCCTGAAATCAGAATGAGGCTGAGCTGTGTCGCGAGGTTGACGTAGAGCGACGGCGGATTAGGGACCAGCGACGCCGTGTATTGTTCCGCTGAGCAATATTCCACTTCGAAGGAACACCCTAGATTGCAATATGAGCCTGACCAAGTAAACAAAGACTGAGTGAGACGAAACGCACCGCGCACTCTTTCAGCCATCCGCACCAACTCGTTGTGCGTGACCTTGGCCCCGACGATGTGGAAAGATCTCGGCCACTCCTTGTTCGAATCAAGCGCCTTGGCTATGAAAGCGCCAACGTCCTCGACCGCGGTGTACGCCAAGGGGATGTTTCCGTCGCCAGGGATCACAGCCTTGCACTGCTCCACGTCGATCCAGAACTTGAGGGGCTTCAAGTACGCGATACCCTTCGAGGGAGTCGCGAAGTAGTTCAAGAAGATCCCGTTCTCGGGATGCGACCACTTCATCAACGTCTGCGCGCGGAGAGCGTCAAGCACCGGCTGCTTGTACCGGTAGAGTTCGACCTCCTCGATCGATCCTGCGGCAACATTGGCCGCAGACCACCCACTCGGCACGAAGCGCGCGACACCGGCGGCGCACGCGGCGTGGACGAGCGCGAGCTGGGCAGACGCGGACTTGCTGTGGTCCCCGATGGTGCTGATGACGGTGTGCACGCCATCCAGACCGCGTGCGATAGACGCGGGATCGGAGTAATCCACTGTGGTGATGAGGGCACCGCGAGACGAGAGGAATGGGATATCCGCAGAGCGCGAGAGGACAACGAGAGTGTGGTTGCCGTTGGCGAGAATCGCCTCGGCGATACATCGTCCAACGCCAGCACCAGCACCTGCGAGTGCCACTTTCATTGTGAGTCAGGTAAACGAGGGGCCGTTGCTCACGAATCAGACCCAAACCCTCCATGTAACACAGCTCATTCCAATAATATCGTTCACACAGCTGCCAGTCTCGAAACACATTCGACAATGTAATCTATCTTTCAGCGGGATTCGAAGATGGAAGTTGGTCAGTGTCACCAGGCCATCACAAGTCACCCGATCCTTCTACTGAGCCGCGAACTCACCGGCAACACGGCGCCCTTCGAGACCTCCCTCTTTCTTCCTCCATTCCAAAATAGACTGCATAATCTCATTGTGATCTTCTCCCGCTCCTATGCCGGCGGTAAGCCCTTGATCCAGCTGCAGGATGCTGCATGGTCAGTGAGTGCTGCGCCTTTCCTCATCCTGTCCCTCGACTCACATGGCCGATACCCAGGAGGCAGGCTTAGACTCGTCTGTACCGGGATCTCCTTCACAGCGATCGACATGGAAGTCGGTGCTCTTGGTCGCAACATGCACCCTTGCGATGATCACGAATGTACGCAGTCTCGCTACGTATCTATGCTTGACAATGACATTTTCTTGCTGTACCCCGCCAGCTTGCCTCTTCTACCGCCGTTTCCTCGCACCCCAGGGACCTCCAATTATTACGTAAAATGGCTTCGAGGCCCCCTCCGGAGGCCATCAAACCACCCCCTACCCCCCCTGATCGGAGGCCATCCTGGAGGCGCCTTCCTAATTGGTACTCTGCCCAGCCATTCATCCACAGCCAGCATGGTAGGCTAGGCATTGACCCGAGTGTTTATATATGCTGTAGTAGTCAGTATAAAGCCTCAGACAATGTCTTAGCTCACAAAAGCTTGTATTTCTTGCTTGCAAATGGTAGACCACTGGGCGCACAAAATTCGGGATTTGAGCACATGAGCACTCCTCAGGTGCATAGAGCGGCAGTATATATGTTAATTCGAGATTGAGCATGAGGTAGCTGTGCCCACACGCAAAAATGAGATGTTGCTGAAGGGGTGGTTTATGGCCTCCACAACCTCCCAGGGGCAGAAAAAAAGGTGTTGGGTAGCCCACAGGCCCTTGAATTCTGCTACAATAGATCAATTTGATGCTTATGCTTTGTCAAAACAACAGCCCAGCATGTAAATTGGATGCTGGAGCAGTGGCAGAACAAGCCTCCACCGCCTCCAGGGCTGGGGACCAAAAGCGGTTATTGTAGATTCAGCCACATAAACCATATTTCTGATGTTGTTTGTCCTAGTCAGAATTTCTGGGTATTCCAGAGAGACAGGTGGCTACATAGATCAGATGCTAGCACTAATAGCAGAACCGGCCTCCATGGCCTCCACAGCCAGTGACCAAAAGTGGTTTTTTGGGTTCAGCCACATAAACCATGTCCATGATGTTGAAGGTCTTCATTATAATTATGAGGGTCCTTTAGTTAAATGTCTCACTACATGAATCAGATGCTGGAGCAAATGGCAGAACTGGCCTCCGCTGCCTCCACAGGTTATCACTTGAAGAGTCTGAATGAGATGACAATGTAAGAGATATATATTCTCCTGGCTGACCGCATTCTGTCATTTCCACCTCTACATGCTAGTTTAATTGCTGCAGAATGTTAAAATTAGAGGATGGGAGACCCTGGAGGCACTGGAGGCACATGCAAGATCCAATCAATGTCATCAATATCATCAGTGCCATCAATAGCATCAAGAGCATCACCGATCATTGGTAGATTGATCAGCCAATCAGATGATGAATAAACATCGAACATCTAGTATGTTCATTCCTGAGAGACACAGACTACATGTATGCTCATACTGAAAGTGGATTAGTGGTCCCAGGACATGCCCCAATGACATATTGCATGCTTGTCTCAGGGACATATGATTAAAAATCGGAGTTGGCAAATGAGCTGAAAGTACTCCACTGTACCAAACATGAGTGGTACAGTGGAGTACTTTCAGCTCATTTGCCAACTCCGATTTTTAATCATATGTCCCTGAGACAAGCATGCAATATGTCATTGGGGCATGTCCTGGGACCACTAATCCACTTTCAGTATGAGCATACATGTAGTCTGTGTCTCTCAGGAATGAACATACTAGATGTTCGATGTTTATTCATCATCTGATTGGCTGATCAATCTACCAATGATCGGTGATGCTCTTGATGCTATTGATGGCACTGATGATATTGATGACATTGATTGGATCTTGCATGTGCCTCCAGTGCCTCCAGGGTCTCCCATCCTCTAATTTTAACATTCTGCAGCAATTAAACTAGCATGTAGAGGTGGAAATGACAGAATGCGGTCAGCCAGGAGAATATATATCTCTTACATTGTCATCTCATTCAGACTCTTCAAGTGATAACCTGTGGAGGCAGCGGAGGCCAGTTCTGCCATTTGCTCCAGCATCTGATTCATGTAGTGAGACATTTAACTAAAGGACCCTCATAATTATAATGAAGACCTTCAACATCATGGACATGGTTTATGTGGCTGAACCCAAAAAACCACTTTTGGTCACTGGCTGTGGAGGCCATGGAGGCCGGTTCTGCTATTAGTGCTAGCATCTGATCTATGTAGCCACCTGTCTCTCTGGAATACCCAGAAATTCTGACTAGGACAAACAACATCAGAAATATGGTTTATGTGGCTGAATCTACAATAACCGCTTTTGGTCCCCAGCCCTGGAGGCGGTGGAGGCTTGTTCTGCCACTGCTCCAGCATCCAATTTACATGCTGGGCTGTTGTTTTGACAAAGCATAAGCATCAAATTGATCTATTGTAGCAGAATTCAAGGGCCTGTGGGCTACCCAACACCTTTTTTTCTGCCCCTGGGAGGTTGTGGAGGCCATAAACCACCCCTTCAGCAACATCTCATTTTTGCGTGTGGGCACAGCTACCTCATGCTCAATCTCGAATTAACATATATACTGCCGCTCTATGCACCTGAGGAGTGCTCATGTGCTCAAATCCCGAATTTTGTGCGCCCAGTGGTCTACCATTTGCAAGCAAGAAATACAAGCTTTTGTGAGCTAAGACATTGTCTGAGGCTTTATACTGACTACTACAGCATATATAAACACTCGGGTCAATGCCTAGCCTACCATGCTGGCTGTGGATGAATGGCTGGGCAGAGTACCAATTAGGAAGGCGCCTCCAGGATGGCCTCCGATCAGGGGGGGTAGGGGGTGGTTTGATGGCCTCCGGAGGGGGCCTCGAAGCCATTTTACGTAATAATTGGAGGTCCCTGGGGTGTTTCCTCGTTCCTTCCGGTCGTCACGCGAGATCTACAAATACCGGAGACTCAGCTCCAATGGCTAGTTTCCGCGTTTTCTCTGTCCTCTGTATGTCCTACGCGTCAGCTGCCGTGTCGATGACCAATTCGACTGGCAGGGATGCCTCCTACTCCTCCTCGGCCGACTGGCCGACCTTTGGGGCCGGAAGCAATTCTTCGTCATCGGGACATCCTGGCTCGCCGTATTCTTGCTCGGATGCGGCTTTGCGCGTGATTCGACGACGTTGTACATTCTACGGGGTCTGCAGGGCGTCGGCCCTGCAGCTTTCCTTCCCGCCTGTGTATGTCGTGTTTCTCGTTAAACTTACTGTCTGACCACCCACTTACCTGATCCGCCCCTAGGGCAGTTGGGCATCCTGGCACATGGTTTCCCCGAATCAGGTGCACGAAACATTGCCTTTGCTACTTTTTCTGCTGGTGCGCCCATTGGTGGAGCTCTCGGAACGCAGATTGGTGCTTTACTCGCTCAGAAGACCCAGTACGCAGTTCATTCGATCTTGTAATCCCACTGACAAGGAGACCCTGTAGTGCATCTTGGCGCTCTCTGTTCTATTTGTTCGCTGGGCTCTCTGCTCTTTGTGTTCTTGGCGGAGTACTCGCTATCGACGACGACATCCCTAGTTTGGAAGCGGACAAGCGTGTCGATTGGATCGGGGCGTTCTTGGTGACGGCAGGGCTTGTGCTCTTGTTGTTTGTGCTCGGGCAAGGCCAGCTCGCCACGCGAGGCTGGAAGACTCCATGTGCGTGTCGCGGGATCTCCTGTTCCATTCGTCATGTAGGCTCATATGGTCTCGCAGACATCATCACACTTCTACTTGTCGGGCTCCTGTTCATTGCCCTCTTTCTTGCATGGCAGCACCATCTAGAGAAGAACTCGGAACGGAGCAAATACCTGCCTCCGCCGTTGATGAAGCTGTCGTTGTGGTCCCGCGCAAACGGCAAGTTTGCTGTTATGCAAGTCATCGCGTTCTTGGAATGGGCTGCTTTCTTGTCCTGGTTCTTTTGGTCTCAGGTGCGTACATATGGAGCTCACAAGGGAGCGCATGCATTGAAGTATGCATACTTAGGTCTATTACGAAGACTACGTGAAGCTCGATCCGATCTTCACTGCATTGCGGATGTTGCCAATGACAGTGGCTGGATTCCTGTGCAACGTTTTTGTTGTGTTTCTCGTAAGCCGGGTTGATCTAGTCTACCTCGTTGGTGCGCTCGAATCCATTCAGTCTCCTTGATCATTCATGACTCCGCGGACAGTCTTTGGGACAACGTTCACCGGAGTCGGAGCCTTGTTGATGGCGCTGATACATCCGGGCGCACCGTACTGGGCCTATGGCTTCCCATCTCCGATCGTCTCTGTTTTCGGCGGTGACTTCGTCTTGGCTGCGGGGACACTGTTCATCGCCAAGATCTCGCTACCTCACGAACAGAGTCTGTCCGGCGGTATCTTCCAGATGGTGATGCAGGTACATTGGCCCTTTTGGTCTGACCACCATTAACTGAAACTGCTTGATAGCTGGGAACCGCGTTCGGACTGGCAATTACGAGCATTGTGCACACATCTGTTGGTAAAAGTCGCAGCGGAGAGATAGGTGCTCCACTTGTAGCATACCATGCCGCACAATGGACTGCTTTTGGCATGGCAATAGGCTGTACGTGTCTTTGATCATCTCTCCGCAGCAGGCCTTCTTTGATTCACGCGCGTGCAGGCTCTGTTTTAGCCGTGGTCTTCCTGCGGGGAGTGAAGCCCGTTGGCATCTCAGCTGTTACAGTGGTGGTACCTGATGAATCAAGCGTCGATGAAGCGGTTAAATCTTAGCCTTCTCTTATAGAACAGAGCTAAGTACGAGTATTAATAGCTTGTGTGAACTGATCTACTGCTGTTGACGATCCATACCAAATTCCTACTTATCAAGCGGCCAATCGTCTTCATCCTCATCGAGTCTCCCAAATGGTCCTCAAGCTCTACGGCTTCCCGCTTTCCAGCTGCACGCGCCGCATTGCCGTTGTCTGCAAAGAGATCGGTGCTCCCTTTGAGCTCATCTCCGTCAACATCGCCAAAGGGGAGCAGAAATCGGCAGAGCATCTCGCCAGACAGCCCTTCGGTGTTGTCCCTGTGATCGACGTGCGATTCTCATCCTCTTTGCTGCACTCAGTACAGTCAATGACGCCGAGCTCGATGTAACAGGACGATGGGTTCACGCTCTTCGAGAGCCGTGCGATTGCGCGATACGTCGTCGCCAAGTACGGCAACGGCAGCACACTCGTCCCCGACCCGAAGGACATCGCGGCGACGGCCAAGTTTGAGCAGGCTGTGAGCATAGAGAACAACAACTTCGATGCGATCGCGGGCCCGATTATGCTCGAGAAGGTCATGAAGCCGTGCGTGTCCCTCCATCATTCACGGTAGTCGCTCTCTGATTATGATGGTTCAGCATGAGGGGTATGACAACGGATGAGGCCAAGTTGACGTCCCTCATCGAGAGCCTGAGTGCCAAATTGGATGTCTACGAGCAGATCCTATCCAAGCAGAAGTATCTCGCCGGGAACGTACGTTTCTATTGGCTGACCGACAGATTGTACTTCTTAATAACCATCTACGCATAGACCCTGACCATCGCTGACCTTTTCCACCTTCCGTGGCTCTACGGTCTCACAACGGTGCGTGCCCCATCTATACCGTGTTAATATCATTGACGATTGGTCTACAGGCGGCCAAATTGGACCTGATTACCAGCCGTCCAAACGTGAACCGTTGGTAGGAGGATATCAGCTCCCGTGAGAGCTGGAAAGCCGTCAAGGATGGGGCATTCTAAGTCACAATACTGATTCTGATCTGATGCTGAGCAAAATAATATGAGACCACAATGAAATTAGAGGCTAACCTGCATAACATCGGTATCCAGTACCCCCGAGGGGACATGTGGCAACATCGATATCCAGTTATCGCACTAACAGCGGGGCCGTGATGTCTGAGACCGCAGAAGTCTGTACGTGCTTGAGAGCACTGACTCTTGTACAGTGGGCAGGATCGGTAAGTTGTCGCAGTTTTCATCTGCTAGAGATGAAGATGAGGGTAAAAAGATCTTTGAAATTGAAGCCCAACCCATCCGCATCGTTGACTGTGATGACATAATTGCTTTCGAGGTGCTTCCTATTCAGCCGCACCCCAGGGACCTCTAATTATTACGTAAAATGGCTTCGAGGCCCCCTCCGGAGGCCATCAAACCACCCCCTACCCCCCCTGATCGGAGGCCATCCTGGAGGCGCCTTCCTAATTGGGACGCTGCCTGGCCATTTGTCCACCGCTTGCATGGTATGCTAGGGATCGGCCTGAGTGCTGATATATGCTGTAGTAGTCATTATAAAGCCTCAGACAATGTCTGACCTCTCAAAAGCATGTATTTCTTGCTTGCAAATGGCAGACCACTGGGTGCACACAATTTGGGATCTGAGTACGTGAGCACTCCTCAGGTGCATAGAGCAACAGTCTATGTATTAATTTGAGATTGAGCATGAGGTAGCTGTGCCCACACGCAAAAATGAGATGTTGCTGAAGGGATGGTTTATGGCCTCCACAACCTCCCAGGTGCAGAAAAAAAGGTGTTGGGTAGCCCACAGGCCCTTGAATTCCACTTCAATAGAACAATTTGATGCTTATGCTTTGTCAAAACAACAGCTCAGCGTATAAATTGGATGTTGGAGCAGTGACAGAACAAGCCTCCACCGCCTCCAGGGCTGGGGATCAAAAGCGGTTACTGTAGATTCAGCCACACAAACTGTGTTCATGACATTATTTATCTTCATTGAGATGCACAGGATCCTTTAGAGCGATGGCTCAACATGTGAATTGGATGCTAGAGCAGATTACAGAAAAGCTCTCCACAGCCTCCACAGCCGGGGACTAAAAGCAGTTTCTTTGGATTTAGCGGCAGAAACTATGTGTTCAATGTCAGGTGTCTTATTTGAATGCCAAGGGTCCTCTATGGAGACAGCTCAGCATATGAATCAGATGCTGGAGCAAATGGCAGAACTGGCCTCCACCGCCTCCACAGGTTATTACTTGAAGAGTTGGGATGAGATGACAATGTAACAGACAGATATTCTCCTTGCTGACCACATTCTGTCATTTCCACCTCTAAATGCAAGTTGAATTGCTGCAGAATGTTAAAATGAGAGAACGGGGGACCCTGGAGGCGCTGGAGGCACATGCAAGATCCAATCATTATCATCAATATCATCAATGCCATCAATAGCATCAATAGCATCACCAATCATTGGTAGATTGATCAGCCAATCAGATGATGAATAAACATCGAACATCTAGTATATTCATTCCTGAGAGACACAGACTATCTGTATGCTCATACTGAAAGTGGATTAGTGGTCCCAGGATATGCCCCAATGACATATTACATCCTTGTCTCAAGAACATATGATTAAAAATCGGATTTGGCAAATGAGCTGAAAGTACTCCACTGTACCACTCATCTTCAGTTGACTTTCAGTTCATTTGCCAAATCCGAATTTCAATGATATGTTCTTGAGACAAGGATGTAATATGTCATTGGGGCATGTCCTGGGACCACTAATCCACTTTCAGTATGAGCATACAGATAGTCTGTGTCTCTCAGGAATGAATATACTAGATGTTCGATGTTTATTCATCATCTGATTGGCTGATCAATCTACCAATGATTGGTGATGCTATTGATGCTATTGATGGCATTGATGATATTGATGATAATGATTGGATCTTGCATGTGCCTCCAGCGCCTCCAGGGTCCCCCGTTCTCTCATTTTAACATTCTGCAGCAATTCAACTTGCATTTAGAGGTGGAAATGACAGAATGTGGTCAGCAAGGAGAATATCTGTCTGTTACATTGTCATCTCATCCCAACTCTTCAAGTAATAACCTGTGGAGGCGGTGGAGGCCAGTTCTGCCATTTGCTCCAGCATCTGATTCATATGCTGAGCTGTCTCCATAGAGGACCCTTGGCATTCAAATAAGACACCTGACATTGAACACATAGTTTCTGCCGCTAAATCCAAAGAAACTGCTTTTAGTCCCCGGCTGTGGAGGCTGTGGAGAGCTTTTCTGTAATCTGCTCTAGCATCCAATTCACATGTTGAGCCATCGCTCTAAAGGATCCTGTGCATCTCAATGAAGATAAATAATGTCATGAACACAGTTTGTGTGGCTGAATCTACAGTAACCGCTTTTGATCCCCAGCCCTGGAGGCGGTGGAGGCTTGTTCTGTCACTGCTCCAACATCCAATTTATACGCTGAGCTGTTGTTTTGACAAAGCATAAGCATCAAATTGTTCTATTGAAGTGGAATTCAAGGGCCTGTGGGCTACCCAACACCTTTTTTTCTGCACCTGGGAGGTTGTGGAGGCCATAAACCATCCCTTCAGCAACATCTCATTTTTGCGTGTGGGCACAGCTACCTCATGCTCAATCTCAAATTAATACATAGACTGTTGCTCTATGCACCTGAGGAGTGCTCACGTACTCAGATCCCAAATTGTGTGCACCCAGTGGTCTGCCATTTGCAAGCAAGAAATACATGCTTTTGAGAGGTCAGACATTGTCTGAGGCTTTATAATGACTACTACAGCATATATCAGCACTCAGGCCGATCCCTAGCATACCATGCAAGCGGTGGACAAATGGCCAGGCAGCGTCCCAATTAGGAAGGCGCCTCCAGGATGGCCTCCGATCAGGGGGGGTAGGGGGTGGTTTGATGGCCTCCGGAGGGGGCCTCGAAGCCATTTTACGTAATAATTGGAGGTCCCTGGGGTGTTCAGCCGCGACGGTGATAGATGGGGAAGCAATCTGCTGGTAGTGCAATTGGACTGGTCTGAAATGACCCCTCGTCAGCCGCACTGGCCACATAGAATCGCTGAGGGCTGCCCACGGTCTGTCTCGGCGATATCACATCGGCATGCAAGCAGGAGATTACTTGGGCTCAATCTTAGTCCCCACGGCCCGGTGACTGGTCCAAGATGATGTGGTGTGCTTCCTTTTAGATCGCCGTAGGGGTCGGGTAAAAACGCCGGAGGGGTCGAGTCGAGCCATCGTCCATGGCTTAGGGATGCTCGAACTTGCTTCGTCAATAACCTTGGAGCAATGCTTCTACCATCACTATTTTTTGCATCGATCCGAGGCGTAAAGATCGACTAGGCTCAGCGCGCTCATAGCGTACTTGTCTCAGCAAATACCTGTTCTTGAAACCTCACTCTGACCTGCTCATTTGTGCCCTAGTCTCGACGCAGTTCATATCTCGGTCATTTCGGGCCATCTCGGCCCGTCTTTTGAAGGTAGTAGGCATGCTCCATGTCACTCACTGGCATTCGCGAAGGAGGATGGCAGCCCGAATGGCATGACACTCGTCCTATTTTCGAAGCTGGTCGGTCATACTCTCTGACCTGTCGTCCGTGATGCAAGCACGAACTGCGGTCATGGGATGTTGCGGATGGGGTACTTAAGCAGTACCGAGCCACTCGCCCTCCAGACTACATTGGCATTGCGAACAAAGCATGATCTTGAATATCCTTCTCCCCGTTGCCTGCACTCTTCTCTCTTATGTCTTTTTTTTCGTCATACGGATCTTGTACCGCAACTGGACCTCGCCTCTCAAATTCGTCGACGGCCCGTCTTGTGCAAATCCTGTTCTTGGGCATCTGCAGCTGATATCGGTTCGGCGCCAAACATTTACCGGGTCACACACGTTCTGAGAGAACTTGTCGCAGGACAGTCCCGAGATCACAAACGAATGGAGAGCGCAATATGGGGCGACCTTTATGGCAAAGGGCATATTCTTCGTGCGTCTATTGATCGCACCTGAATCCTTGCTGAGGCGCCAACTTGACACAGACGAACGAGCTGCACACCAAGGACCTCAAGGCGGTGACACACATTGTCACTCATGCCGCGCTCTATCAGAAGACACGTACAGCGCTGGGAAATCAGCGGCGGATCCTCGGGCAGGGAATCCTTTCAGTCGATCTGGACCCTCACAAGCGACAGGCAAGGCATCTTCTGTCAACCATGCATATCCCCTCATCATTTCCATCAATGTAGCGGAGAGTTCTGGTGAGCAATCACATCTTCACGCACCTCGCGTAGGGCTTCAAAGTCTTGGCATAGAACCCTGCATTCGGGATTCAACAGATACGGGCAATGAATGAAGTCTTCGTCGAGAAAGGGAACATGGTAAGCAATCAAATCAGCCAGATGTTCTTTGTGCCAACCTCATCATACTTCAGATGCGCGACATGTTGTCAAAACGACTCGGGGACGAGAGAGGCCCTGTGACAATCGATCTATCTAGCTGGTTTCGACAAGTGACGCTGGACATCATCGGTCAGACTGGTATGCCGAACCTTTCTTTCATCGTTCTATTTCATGTAATGCGATCAGGGTTCGGATATCAGTTTCAAGCTCTTCAAACGCACGGAAAGGAAGAAGCTGAGCTTAGCACGGTCCTCCGGCAACTGTTCCATTCTCCAAAAGCCAATCTGTATCGGTCAATCCAGATGGCTCAGATTGTAGTACCAGCACTTAAACTGCTCGTACGTGGAACTGAAAAAATTGAATAGCAACAACTAACAACGACGATGTTCATCAGCCGCTTCCCGGATCGTATGTCACCCTAGTCGCGCAAACAAGACTCCGTGCAATCGGGAAGACCTTGCTAAACGATTCCAAAGCCGAATCGGCGGCTATCAGCGACGCAAAACAGTTCAACCGCGGGCGTGATCTGCTGTCACTCCTCATCAAGGCGAATATGTCCAATGAGATTCCAACGAGCCAGCGTCTGAGCGACGACGAGGTCATTGCACGTACGGTGTTTCTATCCATAAACGTCCTCTTGTGACATCTTCTCTCAGAAATCGCGACGTTTGTGTTCGCCGGACACGAGACCACCAGTACCGCATTATCATGGGCGGCTCACGCCCTGTCCCGTAACCCTGATATCCAAGAGAAGCTCCGGCAGGAGCTGCTCTCGCTCCCAACAGACAATCCATCCATGGACGAACTTAACTCGCTCCCATTCCTCGAGAATTTCGTCCGGGAGACGATGCGGTTGTACGCTCCGGTGGCTTTCACGCAACGCATGGCAAGCCAGGATGATGTACTCCCGCTCACCAAGCCGTATGTTGATTGCTATGGCGTATCGCACGAGGTTCTTCCGTGAGTGTTCATCTCCTCATATGAAACGGACTGACTTGAACCCGAATATTGTCAGCATTCGCAAAGGTCAAATAATCACGATCCCGATTCTGGCCATCAATACGGACATTGAGACTTGGGGTGAAGACGCGCTGGAGTTTCAGTGAGTTTTCTTTTCGCTTTCTGATGCTGAAATTATCGTGTCTCCTTCTCCTTTTCACGTCTGTGACAGGCCAGAACGTTGGGATAATCTCCCTGACGCAGCAAACTTGATCCCAGGAATTTGGGCTCATCAGATGACTTTCTTGGCGGGCCCACACAATTGCATCGGATTCAGATTCACTTTAGTCGAGTAAGTCCAATTCACTTCATACTGAGACTGCGCACAAAGTCTAATCCTGTGACTCATCAGGCAAAAAGCGATCTTGTTCAGCCTGCTCCGAGCATTCGAATTTTCGCCGGGAGCCAAGCGTGTCGAGCCTGTTCTGAGTGGTCCTCTCCAGCGCCCAGTTTCCTTTGTGCCTGGAAAATCCGGTTCCGTATCAACCGGGACTCTGCCAATTACTGTCAGCGCGTATAACGCTGAACTGTGATCGAAAAATGATTGCTCGCTCATAAATAAGTATCGGGTGTCCTATCGTTCAAGACTAGTAGATGCACGAGATAAATCCTGGGTTTTGCTTCGCACAGAAATTAGGCTGAGCCGACGCTCACGGGGCGTTTGAGAGACATCTCAAACCGAGAGGCTATCCCATCATATAGCTTCAATTCACTAAGAATGGTTCGGTTGGCATTTGATGTAAAATGATCTGTCATAGATCGTCTTCGTAAACTTCGCTCTCGATTTCGCTAATTCAATTTCCTCTCTCTCTCCTGCCACGTGGGTAGCTCTAATATGTCTTCCACGAGCCTTCTGATTGGCTTGCCGCGCCGGTCGAGTCTCCCCGCACGCCAAAGGAACTCTGCCAGCCAAACATCCACCTCGCTGCCCTTCGGAACGTCGAACTCAAACTCGTCCAGAGGATAATTCTCGTCCTCCCAGCTCGCCGCTTTCGGAATCGGCCAGAACTTGTACTTGGCTCGCGGCTGATCCACCGGTGGCAAGGCCTCGTCTTCGAAGTGGATCCGCAAAGATTTGGTGTAGCGGAGGCGTGTGGTGACGAGCTTGATCGCATCTGCTACGGCGTACGGACAGAACTCGCGCTGCACGAGAACGGTGATGTGCGAAAGATGTTGAGTGCCGGCTCGGTTGAAACATAAGCGCGTAAAGAACGGCATCCAGAGCCGTGCGACGTGCAGTTCAACGTGGGTCCACAAATCCGCGTTGCATTCAGCAAGCAGGATCAAGCGCCATTGACGCGTCACACCGGCCAGTATGGACGCCTGCACAGTGGAGTGGCCGGTGGCACAGGAGAGAACCACTTTACGGAATATGAGGCTGAGGACGTCAGCCGGGAGCCGATGGATGCCGGCGCGTAGAAGCTCGTCAAAGCGGGCCAGAGAAGCCTTCAGTGTGGTGTACATCTTCTGCTCCTTGAGATACCGCTCCGAACTTAGCTGCGGAAGAATCGAATTCCACATCGGGAGCTCCAAGTGTCTTCGAAGCGCATTCCGGAACTCGAGGATGGTGGCAAGGTCTCTGTCAGAGCAGGGTCGTCTGTGCAGAGAGTAGAGGCGAGGGAGAATGGACATAAGTGGAGGAGTGCCGAGCAGGTGCAGATGAGTGGCATGTTTCTATTTCTTCCTTGGGTGGTATTTGTAAAGTTGGCCATTCATCCATTGCTCGCTGGAAAGACAACAATGCCTCCTACGTGGTGATGTCACAGACTCTGTGACATGGAATGCGTCCCTTGTTGAATAAGTTACAGCCCCTCCGCAGTGTCTAGTAAGGATGCAGCCGCGGGAGTTTCTTTTTGCATATTCTTTCAAGCAATGGACACGCTAGTGAGGCAAAAGGCATGCAACTCATTTCGTCATGGGCGTCGCATTCCTAAGCGCCAGCCAGAATTTCGCGCCCAGGTTCGCTAGTTTAGTGGTTATAACGCTCGCTTTACATGCCCAGGTACGCGAGAGGTCATCGGTTCGATCCCGATGCGAATCAAGTTTCGTTCTTATTGCCGAACGATCTTTCCCCTGACGTTCCACATAGTGCCACAGGTATATGTAGCACGACCTGTTTTGCCTTCCGATTCACCATCCCATCAAACGTTCACTCACATGTTTCCGCCAATCAGCTGAGAAACACTCACTCGCAGTACGGAAATGGTCAAAATCTCAGTGGGAGCACAGTTCTGATGAAGACAGCGCGACGTGTTATATACACAAGATTGGTTCGGGGGTAGAGCATTTGTATGGGGTAAGAGCCAAGGGAGTGAAGACGGATTTCAGGGACTCCTGCCACGGATGGAACGCCCCCATCACCGTCTCCCTGAACAGCTTGAGCATGGCGGGAGAGAACGGGGCCACCCTCTTAGTCGTGTCTACACCGCTCGCGATGTTGACTGAGATCCCAAAACAACGTCATACCAGTAATGCTCGTACAGCTGCTTCAGCGCCTCGTGATTTGTATTCCAGCCGGCATCGTCTGGTGTCTCCGCCTGATCAAACTGCATGTCCGAGAACATTACGAGGTGCTTGACCATGACCTTCTTGTTTACGCGATGCTTGACCCCCAACGGGAGGAGCCAGCGCCTGAAGAGGCCATTCAGATCCGCGTTCATGCCCCATTCCGCGTGCGACATCTCGCGCGCCAGCTCGTGCAGCGGTTTTTGTGGATCGGGGCGCACGAAGTAAGGGTTCTGCGAGCACATGTTGAAGCCATTGCCGAACGGAGGAGGTGCAAGCTGTGAAAGCAGCAGCGGCACCGCTGCAAAGTTCGGATCGACATCACGGCGGCTGCCTGAAAGCGCACCCATGGACACGGACACATCGCAGACCGCGACTGTACTGTCTAGCGATCCCTAATCGCGCCTGCTGACGAGCGCGTTTCATTGTGCTTCCATGACCCGCAACGACACAGCGCCCTGCTGCACTAACACTCTCTGCAGCTCTGGGTATCAGTTGCCCTTCCCAATCATTTGGTGCGACGTTCGGAGGATCTTGGTGACGATCTGGTACGGAAGCAGAGCCGCCTCGCTGATGACCTTCCGGGACTGGTTCACCAACACCAGGAACCTCTCGGACTCGGGGTCATGCGCGGAGAAGTACTCATGATTGTTCTTCATGCGGATCGAGGGCACACGCGAATATCGGATCTCCATCCACAGGTTCGAAGACACGAGCGTCTGCGTGACCTGTGTTGCAACGCGCAACGGAGATAGCACCCAGCGCTAATAGTACGAACACATAACGTCCGCTGCTGCATGGGAGTCGGGGTCGGCGGACAGCATCGTAGGAAATAGCCTCTCAGGAATCGGGTTCCTCCTTGATTGATAGATCAGCTGCGCGATTGCAGTCCAGATGTTCGTGACCCGGTTGTGGGCGCCCATTGGACTACGGGGCCTGCTTCGGAGCGACTGATATCTCTCGTAGCATTGCAAATCACTCTGGCCCCGATTCAAGCTTCTCCGCACGCAACGTCTGCCACCCCTGGAAAAGCTACTCGGCAAGCAATGGAGCCACAGCGATGAACAGAGCGCGGCATTTCGGATCCTCCGCGAGCTTCGTGACAAGTCGAGCGTGATTCGCAGCACCTCGCGATGCACGGCGAGCCTTGATGAGACCCACGGGATCGGTGTCGAGTGCGAGAGCATTCTAGAACTCTTTTCTCTCCGGATCAGCGCCCGCGTTCCCTGCACATGAATGCTAAAACGACGACGGTCGTGTCTCGGGACCCAGCTCGTCGGTTTTGGCGGAGGCAGGAATGTTGAGCGGATCCTGTCAATATCCGTGGAACGCTGACTATCACGTTGCAGCACGCACTCAGGCGACACCAGCTCCGGCTGATTCGCGATGGCCGCGCACGGATGATGCGCATACACCCATCCAAAGGCACTGTTCGCGGATTAGGGAAAGAAGTGGAGGAGTTTCGAAAGCGTACCGGTAGAAAGCCTCCTTGTACGTGCGTTCTATAGTGAACCCCGCGCAGATTCAAGAGAGTGTGCAGGGTCAGGTAGGGTCAGGTGAGCGTTTCAGCCCTGGTCTGCCGAGTTCATTCACTGGTTGATACATGTTCAGCACGGGAAGAGGCGCACACGCTCAAGACTGCCTGTCATCTGCGTCGCATCCAAGTCCATTGCCAACCAATGAAACGCGTCCAGAAAGGGAGACAGCGTCAAGCTGAATGCTTACGCTCCATCCGCCGTCAGCGAACGGTTCGACGTCGAGTCTAAATCCCAAGCCTCTGGGCTCTGCATCAACCCGTATACGAGCGTAGTGCTCTTCCGCTTCCGCCTTCTCGTCCCGCTCCCATGCCCTTCCTGGTGCTCCCGTGCAGCGCATGTACCCGTCGGTGATTCGAAAGGTGGGAGTAGTCGATCCAGAAACGCAGCGTCGAATAGCTCGTGGATGGCGTGGAGGGTCGGGGATTCGTGGCAGAAGACGTCTATGAGACCTGGCGACGCAGCTGCTGGGACTGAATATGGAGCGCCAGAGTCCCGGCGAGATAGAGCTGAGACGCTCTCAGATAGCGCAGCATTGCACTGGCAGGAATTGAGTCCGACACTTCAAAGCGCGATTTCCCGCATTTGTCCTGGCTCGTGGTATGAACGAGCCGCGGTGGTTGACGATCAGACGAGCGCTTGGAGGCGCAGTATCGACCACAGCAAGACCAAACAAACTGGACGAAAGGTTTCCTCCAGGTTTCCTCACCACGGTGACTGCAAAGCTACAGACCAACGGGCTCTGTCTCAGATGCGGTCATGCTACCCTGCTCGTGCCGTCTCTGTGCGCCGTGTCACAATCTGGGTCTACAACGGATTTCAACCTGAGGCCTCCACACCTCTGCCTCAAAGCTCTTTTCATGCAATCTCCTCGCCGTTTGCTCGCCTGTACATCAAAATCGCTCAATAATCGGCAGACGCTGGGACTCGAACGCCTGCATGTGATCTCAAGCAACCTTCGCTGGGTCGCTCGGCCAGGCGTGCGCAGTCCAAGCGTCAAACCATGTCGGATCAAAATCTTTATGCCCTAGAATAACTTCGGGCTCTTAAAGGGTCCAACTCTGGTTTTTGGCTCAGGGTCAACCAAGCTGAAGCTCAAGAACGAACATCGCGGGTCTTTGTCCACGAACGATGTTTAAGCATTACCACGTGACCGGCTAGTCGTCAGGCGGAAATGTCCCTGATCGTTTCATGGGGCGCTCGGCCACCGTCCTATTTGACCCAAAAATGATCCCTGCACAACCACGTCCTATTTGACATTTAGTGCACCAGAATCAGGGTTTTCAATAATACACAGATTTCCCTGTCCCACTCCTCGCTCGAGATTTGCTGAGAGCTCGCACACGCCTCGCCCGTGCGCGAATGCGGTGCTCCCAAGCCCCTCAGTATAACCCTAGTCATCCGTCCGTTCTTCCCCGGAGAGATCGTCTCCCACCCTTGTACAATCGGACTCAGTACTCGGAAGAAGGAGAGGCCTCGGATCCGGGTCCGGAGATGCCCCGAGGCACAGAACCCTGTTCGCGCATCTCAAAAGATGGATGATCTCGAGATGAGATGGGGGGAGGGGGGAGAGATCCGCGCCTGCTTCTTCGCAGGCGATCTGGGCAGGAAATGCCTAATCAGTCGGTGCAGTGGTTCCTGAAGCACGACTTGAGTGAGGTACAGTCCGGCCGTCGAACCCGGGTTTGAACCCTTCTTAGCCATGTATTGCCAGCCTGAACCAAGGCTGCGGAAACTCGTCTGTCTTCGACGCGATCAGGGCTTTTTTCCATTCCCAAGAAGCGTAACCTCGAACCAGCTGATCGCATCTCCCTGTCTGGTCCCGGGTCGTCGCAATCGATTTCCTCCTTCCCGTGGATCACAGCTACCGGAAAAGAAGGGTCCAATATCGTGCCCCTCGAGCACATCTATTCAGGGACCTGGTATGTGCGCAGAAGGCCTAGCGAGCGGCCGGGAATATCTGCGCACGACGCGGTATCCGTCCAATTCGGAACCCCGCGATATGAGCCCGGAATACCCCCAGATGATAGCCAATCGCATCATATCGACATTCTTGTTCTGCTCAGAAGTTAAAAGTCCGTTTGTTACGGATATCGGACTCGCGCTAAGTCTCCGGGAAAGCCATTAATAGGTAATAAGTAAGTACAGTAAATGGTCACACATCCCTTGATCGACTGAATCACTCGAAAGGGGGCAATTAGTAAGTGAGTGAGGCAGAGATAGAGTAGGGGGCTACAATCTAAATCGCATGTCCATTGTCCGTTCCATAGAATTCAATTATACATTCGCCCACTCTCCGCCAAACCGCGCATCAAACAACAGACCCGTCGCGCGACTCCGCATACTTGCCGCGGAACGTGTCCATCTCCATCGGCGTGCGCGTCCCCCCGGTCTTCGTGTCGAACACGGCCGTATCCGGCGCGGGCGAGGTCTCGGGCGACAGCAGATGCGGCGTATTCGGCGCCCAGCGGATCGTGCTGAAGCCCGTCGCGGACTGCGTCGACGCGCGGTTGCGCGACGCACCGTCGTCCGAGTCCCAGATCGTGCGGTGGAAGTTGACGATGACGATGATGAGGGTCGGGTACAGGCCTGAGATCTGGTCGCCCATCCCCGCGAAGAGCTCGTACACGTAGATCGCGGGCGAGCTGCGCGGGATGTCGAAGAAGAGGATCAGTTGTGTCAGCTGTGCGGGCGGTTCAGTCAGCGGTGCTCTCAGAAAGTGGGTTTCTCGTGCCGCGCACCCAGAATAAACAGTAGATGAATCCGGACTCGACGAGCAGCGCGAGCACCTTGTCCGTCGAGAGTGTGCGGCGTGGGCGATTCCCAGAGGAAGCGGTTGAGTGAAGATTGCGTGTGGACCTGCGGTGAGTCCTGTGATTTCCCGCCCGGTCAGCATCTTCCCCTGCCGCACAGAAACGATCAGACGGACCAGGCTTTCGTTGCGATAAGCACTGTGCATATGAAATTTGTTCCTAACGAGAAGGCCCAGGACATGAGCTCTGCGTGTGGGCATATATCGCCTACGCCCGCGATGGAGGTGTTCGTGCTGAACCCCGCATGCGTGAGACACACGATATCGGTGATATTGAAGCCTAGATAAGCCCCGTCTAGCTCCTCCGCGCATACAAGCAAACGCGAACGCGACGCACCGAGAGACAGGAGCAACATGAGACAAGGCATGCCGACGATCCACCAGCGGCCGTGATACAGCACCCACGCGCGCCAAATGACCACCGCGTCGCCAACCACCATCTGCGCAATCAGCACGCGCGTCCACAAGCTGAGCCCCGCCAGAACACGCACATTAAACATAAACAACGCCTCCATGGGATTCCCCAGGACCATCAGCTTCTCGTTCGCCAGGTTAATGCGGTCGTTGACGGACGCGGTCTGATCCTCTATCATAAGCAGCGCGCGCGTCGTTTGAAACAACGACGTGACGTTCAGGGCCCAGAGGGTAAGCGAGGTGGCGTATAGGTAGATCACAACCGCGAGCATGATGTACGAGCCTCGCGAGCGCATCCCTTTTCGACTTGCGAAGAAAAGAAGAGACGAGTCAGCGCCCTCCGAGCAGTCGCACGCCGTACAAGGATGGACTCACAAGATGGAATACACCGCGAGCATAAAAAAGACTCCATAAGCACCTGCACGGGTTGGCACCCACTCCTCAGCGGCCGCGCTCTCGCCCTAGCAGCTCGCCACTCACCGACGAACATCGACTCCCATATCACACCGACCGCGTCTTGATTCAAGTCCCGGCCGAATTTGCTCAGATCGTGCCCCAGCGCCGCAGGGACGGGCAACGACGCATTCGTGAGGGAGGGGTCTCCGGACATAACGCGTTGGCGGAGCGGAGCGGAGGGGGGGGTGGTGGTGAGAGGAGGGGGTATGCCAAAAGGGATCGCGTATCCCCACCCAGGGAGCTATAAAAGCCGCGCAAAGGGGCCGGCGCCGGCCAGGCGCTCCCACACGACGATGATGATCAAGAAACCCTCCGTGAGCGGTGCCATTGGACGCAGGACGGGGCGAAGGGTCACGTCACGTAATTACCCAGAGCCGTGCCGCGCAAAGAAGCACGCGCCGGGTTCTGCGTAACATTGCACCCGCTCGGCGCGAAAGATGGATGTGTTCCAATGGACTACGCCCAGTTTCCAAAGACCGATTGCAGCGTGGCCTCTCAGGTCTGTCTCCATGATTCGCAGCTGCGCAGCTCGCTGGTTCCACGGCTCGAAGGAGGAAGAGAAGACACACCGGCGGGGTTGAATGCCGGATGGCTGGATGGCTAGAATCTGGAATGAGACGTGCAAGGGAGGAAAGTCAGACACGGTAGGTGAACGTGACAGTGGCAGGCCGGACCCAGGGTAGATCGATCGTGCTCATCGACGGATCGCACGACCAGAGCGCCCAGAAAAAAAAGAGCCTGCCACTCACAGACCGAGTGGAGCCAGAGCGCCCAGACGGGGACTTCGAAGCGCTCAATGATTTACAAGGAGGTGAATGGCGTTTGAAAGCATCTATCATAAAACCTGATCCAGCCCGCTAGCGTGCTCGTTGTGTCGCTGCGCTCGCTCGCTCCACATCCATGTGGGCCGTGGTATGCAGCTAAGCGGTTGGGAAGTATCCAGCCACGCATGGCCCAGCGACGCCTCGAGCGCACACTCGGAGCAGTTTTCTTTCGAAAACGGTGGGACAGAGACAGGCGGTTGTTCCGAGATATCGTGTTTTGATCCGTATGTACTGTAATCAATCAATCAATCCCAGTAATTGACTCGGACGTGGAACCGAAGCGCGAGACCTGTATTGCTCATGTATGGCTCCAGCATTGCATGCTGAGGGGCTTATCGGCGTGGTTCATCGCACGCTGGAGCGCCCTGCGATACACGTCCTAGCCCCAGGCGAGAGAGAGAGAATCAGCACTGGAGCCCAGCTGCTCCACGACGGGAATGAACAACCGGCATCCCCAGTCTCTGTCCAGCGAGCGATGCTGATGGCTCCAATGATTCCGAGCAGCCCCGGCGCGCGCCTTGTGCCGAGCCGATGTCCGGCTGGTGTCGGGGCCTGCAGGAACCGCAGCAACGGCGCTGCGGCGTGCGTGCCATGAGTCCGATGCCGGAGGCTCCAGAACACAGCTGTGGTCGTGGTCGTGGAGCCGAGCACAGCGGGAACGATCTTGTCGAGTGGCTCGGCAGCAGTGTTCCGGAGAGTAGCAATAGTAGTAGGTACATGTGTTACATTGACATCCTACCCAGCTTGGTGCAACACTGAGTGCGCGCAAACGGCTCCTACTCTTTTGCGAGCAAAACACTCTGGGTGTGACCGATTCTGAGAGTTCGAGGGTTCGATCTGAGCTGGGAGCCGGCGCCCGGTGAATGGACCAGCTCGCTCAGATTCGCATTCCCAACACGATGACGATGCCCTGACACATGCGCACGCTACGGTAGCTTTGCGGCAGCTATGGAAGACGCAACGGGGCGAGCTAGCCCTCAGCTCTCGCAGAGCAACAGCAGGCGGTGGAAATGGAAGTCCGGCTGCAGACCCGTCGTACTGGACGCAGGATGCGTTGCCGCCGTGGGAAAAGACAACGCGCTTCGTTTGTTTGGTCTTGCTTACGCGTCGTCGATCTTCATCTAGCACGTGCACGATCGTCCACGATCAGTCACTGTGACGGCGGCCACCATGGCCTCCTCCTCCACCACCACCTCTGCAACGCTCACGAGCCCCTGGCGCTACCTGCTCCTCCGCACGACCCCACCCACCGACCCCCTCGCCCTCCGTCTCACGCTCCAAACCTCCCTCTCAGAGACGTTCGGGCTGACCGCCGCGGGCACCCAGATCGACGTGCTCTGGATTGCACCAGGGGAGGAGAACGAAAAGGGGAACAGCGGAACTTCAGGAAGGGCGATTGTGCGTGTGTCGAACTCCGGGTGAGCAGTGCTATCGGCTTTGTGCGTGCGTGTGTGTGCGCGGCCGGCTGAACGTTACTTGTAGCGCCGATGCGACGAGGGTGCTCGCGTCAATCGCAGCGTCGTCATCTGCGCCGCGTGTTGAGCTCCTAAAGTCGACAGTCTTTCTCCCCTCGCTGCTCGTTTGTTGAAAGGATGTGCCGGGGCTTCCAATTTGGATTAGCGTGTCTCACGAAGGTAGGCTTGAAGGTGTTTTCTCCTCCTGTTTCGTGTCCGTTCATGGGGATACAGGTATAGCCTTGCGCTGCAAATCAAATCAAGGCCTTTTGAAGTACGCAACCGCTACTCAAAACAGCCATTTCAACACCAGTCGCATGTTTCGTCCCAAATGACACAGGCAGACCTCCCAGCGCGATTCGTGGCGGGAATAGCCCTGGTATCGTGAAGGAGTCTGAGCACGGGGGTTAAACCGGGGGCCCTTCCCTCAAGTGCTCTCTATGACGCCGCCGCCGTTCATGCATGAGCTGGAGGAACATTTCTATAAACCAGTAGATTCCGATCGTGCGAGATAGATAACATGAACTGTGCTGCGCACAGCTGTACTTGGGCAGTATTCTGCTCTCTCATGATTTCAGATTCGTTCAAATGGATGAGTCTGTAGCGATTCCCAGTCCCTGGATGCATCAATGCAATATGTGCAATGCTCAAGACGTTGTATCAGTATAAGCGAGGACCGCATCGGACCGGGGATCGAGTTCAATCGCCGTGACACAGTCATGCCACTCAGCTTCTGTCAACTCCGTTGGTTGTCGTCCAGTCCACCCCAGATCCATCCACTCTGTACACTGCAGACCGATGTTCTTCCCTCGAGAACTCGAGTTCCAGATCTTCGAGAAGGCCGCGCTCAGTAGTCCAAAGGATATCCCGCGCTTCGTCCTCGTCGCTCGCCGTTTCCACATCTGGTAAGTATAATGAGACATTGCAGGATGAATCACGAGCAGCCCCGAAGGCTCCAAGCGCTTCTGTACCACGCTCTCACAGATGCGGTGGACTTGGGCCGGATTCCCTTCATGAACGCACAGAAGATCAGCGACATTCTCGACGATCCGAGCTCGAACGCGTTTGCGCATACCCAGAACGTGATGCTGTCCGACCTACACGGGGACGCACTCGACCGGCTCCTCCTCGCCAGCCCCGCTCTCCGCAACATCTTCCTCTGCACGATGGTCTCGGAGCCCCCGACCCTCGCGCGCCTCACGCACCTCCGCCAGCTGCACTGCCGATGGCTCGACCTCCCGTACGGCGAATGCGTTCTTCCCGCGCTGACGCACCTCGAGCTGCTCACGTCCACCTTAGTCCCCGACGCGCTCTCCCAGACCTGTCCCGCGCTGACGCATCTCGCCATGAACGACGATCTCCCGATCACCCAGCACCTCGCAGACGAGCACGTCTGGAACGCCGCGCCCACGCTCCAGGCGATCGTCCTGCTCTGGGCGCGGCAGGCGGTGTTCGACGCACTTCTGTGCGAGGACATCGCCATACTGGAGTCGGATGTGCGCGTCGTGGGCATCTTCGTGCCGAATTTCGGGATGGACTGGCAGCGCGGGTGTCTCACGGAACAGAGTTTCTGGACGGCAGCGGATAGTTGGATCGCTCGCCGGCGCTCGGGTGATCTGCATGGTGCGTTAATCTATCGTCGAAGATGCCCCAGCCCACGTTTGGATCTGACTTTTTTTTTCCCCACAGAAAAAGCTTGGGTCGTTGACTACGCGACCGAGGATTAGTGGCATGCGTTACCGTCGGTGCTCATTCGAAATGAATCTGGTAACCCGCTCTCAACCGCGGCTCCGAATGCATCCCGTAGAGAAGGTGAGAAGCAGACTATTCAAACGGTATACGGACGGCAATGACTACAGATACATAAGTGGGGACCAGGGGTGAAAGAGGCTCGAGACTGGAAGGACACATGTTCTCACAAGGGAGAGCTTCTAGGACGTCGGATTTCCCGCCTTCAGACAAACTACCTCCACGGGTCTCTCGTACCCGCAGAAATCTGTCTAGTGGCAACACAGGGAAAGGGATCCATGCCCTAGGAAATTACAATACAATCATTACACAGACAGCATCCATCCTACGCTTCCAATACACGATAAAACTTCACGATTCCGCTCTTTAAGTCCTCTAGCCTGAAGCTCCCCACCTCAATCTTCCCCGGTTGATGGAAAACGCGCACCTTGCGCTTCTTCCCACTCGCACTGTACTCAGACACGATCCCAACCGCCGGTTCACCAGCCCCAATCGACACGGAATACCCGACGAGGCCCTTGTGTCCTTTGAACCGGCAGTCGAAGAACACGGCAATGTCACCTGGCAGGACATCTGTGGTTTGCTGCACCGGGTGCGCCGCCGACTGCGTGTAGACGACATACCCCCACCCCTTTTCCGTATTTCCAATCCGCGCATTCGGGACCATGCCCAGCGCGGAGGACACAAAGTTCCCGTCGCCAGCCGTCTGGCGCTCAAACAGCTGCGTTGCCGCTTCGCACAGATGGACGCCCACACGACCCCACACACCGATTAGCTCGTCCGCAGTCATCGACACAGGCGGCGATGCAGGCGTGGGATGTTGCTGGCTGGACTGTGGGCGCGGTAATGGGGTTGACGCTGTCGCCGCCGATCCAGCCGTAAAGGCGGGGAACGTCGTGTCGATCCCACCGCCAAACGAAGGAAGCTCCCAAGATGGACTGGTCGGTTTCTCGCCACTTGGGCTCGCGTGCTCGATAGTAGGATCTGTCTCTGCCACCGTGTTCGGTTGGGTTGCAGGAACCGGAGGGCGGTGAGACCGACTGGGTATCGGAGGAGGAAGCTCTGGTTCCTCGTGCTCCTCATCGATCTCAGCCTCAGGTTGTGGCGGGACAACGACCGCAGGAACAGCGCGGCCACTGCGGCTAGGAATCGGAGGCGGAATCTCCTCCTCGTCATGGGAGGTTTCGTTGACCTGCTCCACCGCCACAGGCGGGAGACTTGCCCTGCTGGGCGCTGGAGGCGAAACATCCGGCTCCTCGTCGGCTTCGATACCACGCGCATCTTCCGCAGGCTCCGCATTCTCCGCCTCTTCGGTCGGAACCGGACCAGGCGCCATCCCATACCCAATTCGCATTCCGCCCATCCCAGCCAGCTTCTTTGCAATTCGAGCCCTTCTGGCTCGCTCTTCCTCTTCATTCTCGTCCTCCTCCTCGGCCTTCTTCTCTTCCTCCTCCCGCGCAACCGCATGACTGGCTCTCGGCACAGGCGCAGCACCGAACCGGATGCCTCCCAGCTTCGCCATTCGTTCGGCAATCGTCCGCCGCCGCGCTGCTTCGCTGTCTTCCTCGTCGTTGCCTTGCCCTGAACTAGGAGAAGCCGTGTCTCGTTCTTCACGAGGTGAAACCGGTGGTGGTGCATTGTCCTCGGGGCCATCTTCTGCAGCAGCAGAGCGCAGATCCACCATCGACCCGCGCCGTGAAGGGCTATGGAATACCGGGTCGATCGGATCTGCGACGGAGTCGTCAGTATCGTACTTGGAGAGACGACTAAAAGAAGAAGGAAGGAAGAGAACCAGCCAACTCACCTCCTTCATCCTCGCTCACGATTTCACTTTCTGCCCGGTCTTCAAACACAATCGAACTCGGCGAGAGCAAACCATCCGGCCCGCGATATGATGTGGCATTCGGCAAGAGATCCAAGTGCGCCGGCCGTCCTTTGCCAGTTGTCACCATCGTTTCGAAGACGTCTCCCACTTCCTCTTCCTCTGTCGGATAATCTGCTCGCCCGGCGTCGTCATCGACTTCATTCTCGTCGAGCATCATGTATGACTCCTGGCTGTCGCTGACAGCCTCGGCATCTGGTGCAGCAGGAACCGCTCTCGGAGGTGGCGGAACGGACGTTCTGCGCGGTGGAACAGGAACCGAGATTCGACGCGGCGGGGGAGACGGCGGTTTTTCATCTTCGCCGTGGGTAGGTTCCGGGGGAGCAGGTACCGCTCTCGGAGGAGGAGGCACAGACGTCCTTTTCGGTGGCGGGACAGAGATCCGACGCGCAGGTGGAGAGGGAGGCTCCTCGTCAGCAGCGGAGCCGGCCGTCTGGGGAACAGCAGGTATCGCTCTCGGTGGAGGCGGCACTGACGTTCGACGAGGTGGAGGGGGCGGGGGGATCTCGTCTACTTCATCGACGTCCGCTTCCTCTTGCTCTGCTGAGACTAAGTCTGTAGGTTGTATAGGCTCGGAAACAACCGGCGGTGGAGGCGGGAGCGAGGTTCGACGAGGTGGAGCGGCAGTAACGGGAGCAGGCGGAGGAACTGAGATCCTTCTAGGCGGAGGGGGTGGTGGTTGTTCCTCCACCGCTTCATGTCGTTCTCGGTCCATACCTGAAGCAATATCCGTAGCTACGTCCACATCAGGAGATTCTACCGGCTCGCGCGTGTCTGCAAGATCTGAGCACTATCTCAGCAAGGCTCCACATACTGTGAATGCATAAGTTCAACTCACCGGCATCTTCAACTCCATCGTCACCCAATGATCTCCCCTCCGGCTGAGTCCCATCATCGACCTCAATCGAAGCAGATGAGTGATCCGGACTGAAGCCGTCCCGCACACCGCCAATCGCACTCGTAATGTCGCCTTCACCGATCCCGACCGAGCCCACCGGCGATGGCATACCCCGTGCACTGAGGGTCTCCCGTGCCGAGGAAGTAGCCGGTGTCGGGGTCTTGACGATATCCGCTTCTCCCACCAGACTACCCCTCTGTGCATGCCCTGGCGGCGTTTGAGGTTCTGGCACGGAGATCGCTGGAACGTCTCGCGCCGGCGGGGAGAGCGGTACAGGTGGAAGCGGTGCAGGCGGAAGCAGTGGTGGCGAGGCGGGCGTCGGTGGCGATGCGGCCGTATCTGTTGCTAGCCCCTTAACATACACTTGCATCGCGACGCAAACTAAAAGCGACGTACCAGGGAGAGCCAGTTCGGATCCAGGGCCTTGGGAATCGCGTTTGCGGGCCCGAGGACGGGGTGCGAAAACAGGTGGGCCCATCCCAACTCGCGAGCCCCCAAGACGCGCCATGCGGGCGGCGAGTGCGGCGCGGCGCTCGCGTTCTGCTTCTTCAGGGTCGGCATCAGCGTCCGTTCCTGGGTCAGGAATGGGTGCTGGCGGCGGTTCTGAAGCGTCCGATAGTGCTGGCGAGAGTATAGGATCGGACGCCGTGTGCGTCGGTTTGTCTCCAGCCGTTCGCGGAGGTGGGGCCCTTTCATCCTCCAGCGCCTGATGCTCCGATTCTTGCTCGGCTCCATCTTCGGGAGCTTTGGAAGGCGGGGGAGACACGACAGGTTTTTTATCTGCAGGAGGACTTGGGACAACACCGAAAGCTCCCCGACCCTGCAGCGCGGCCATGCGCTCCTTCAAACTCCCACCAGCCTTCGTGATACTCTCCCTGGCGTCGCTCACGCTCATGCCCCCTCCACTCCCTCCCACAGCTCCTGCAGCTCCGATTCCCGTCGTCGCCTCACCCTCAGGAGAAGCAGGACGTGGCTTCCATTGTGCGCGAGGTCCAGATCGTCCAGGTGGCGGAGGAGGGGGTGCACCGTCTGCTGGTTTCTTGGTTTCGAATGCCGCGATGCGGTCACGCAGGGATCCAGGCTTAGGTCGTGGATTTGCAGAGGGATCCGACATCGTGCGGTGTACGTGTCGTGGGTTTGAAGATGTTGTCGTTAAGTCGTAGTGGGCGAAAGATGTGGTCGATTTGCCAGTGGCTAGGTCAGCTGATCGATTGATGGGATCAGCTGAGGCTGATGTCATTAGCCTGCGGACAGTAAGATCCTGACGAGCTGTTGTACCAACCACAGTGCAAATCGTCAGAAAGATGGTCAATCATTACATCCCTATCAGCGTTCATTCTATAAAGCTTCTCTTTGAACCTGCTGTGAAGCCAACCGTGATCAGTTCGGCCTTGGAAGCACACCAACCTACGATCGAAAACACAGGCCCAGTAGAGATCCCAGTGAGCTCCAATCTCCCCTATCATATTCCACGCCTATTAGACCTCTTTGAAAGCCAAGGCCTCACAAGAAATAAGAGAGAGAGGAGATATAACGGAGAAGGCCCGTGGATATGTCTCCTTTCCGATCCAGTCTTTTCAGAAATCATGCACGCATTTTTTCTCTGTTCATTATGTAGTTCCTGTGGGTAACAATCGATTATCCCAATTTCCTTTCTGAGGACAGTCCGCCATCAACGGGCTTTGTATTCCCTCAGATTGAAATGACATGTTTCTACTTGAACTGACACTCCTGAACTCCCTACATCTTCAATCTTCAACGCTCTGAATCAGATAGAAATGTAATCCTCACATTTATGTGTTGTGAATTCCCTGTGATTCGAGTGCTGACAATGAATTGCGGCAGGTCCTGTAGATCAATGTGATCAAGTACAGCGTGGTTGATAGCGTTAAGTTGGTCTCTCAGCCTGACTTGGCTCTTTGAAACATTTTCTTTTTTGGGACGATTTGTATACCGGAACACACCGATAGATGTTACTTTAGTGAAGCGTCAATCGCTGCTGTGAAGTAAAACATGTGCGGCATGTTCAACTCTCGCGCCCTCTATGCATCTCAAGATTATAACGAAGCTTTAGTGGTAACCACATCCAAACCAGACCTCTCGTGATCTCCTCCTCTCTCTTCTTGAGGAAGCGACGAAGATAATCCGGTCGTCCTCTCAAACGGTTCGTATCGCGGTCGATAATCAACTATCACTACATTCCGTGGCCTGATAGTCCCCGTTGGGGGCTAGATGGCTAGGTCACTGATAGTCCCCCATAGCCCCCATGAAGGGACGATACGTGTAGGCAACACGGGGACTATTGGCGTCTACCGTGGGATAACCGGGGGCTATAGTGATCGGTCTCTGATCGGCCATTGCTCGTTCACGGCTAGTCCCCTGCTAGTTCCCACGTAGGTATCCTTCAGCGTTCTGTCTCAACCTCAGTCCGTCCTGGTCAGTTTGGGTATAGTACTATCGGGGCGATGCTATTTACTGTCTAATGGTAACAATTTGAGGCTCCTATAATTACCCCGAACTCCGGGGATCATGAGCAAGGTTGGGGGGGACGGAGGGTCTGATCAGTTTTGATGGAACGTGGTTATACAGTGAGGTAGCAACGAGGCAGCTTACGAGCGATACATCTTGACTCTCCTCGATATCATGAGCTCGGGGAAACGCATCCTGGCCCAATCGCTGGCTGTTCGGGGCCGATCGAGCACCCACCGCCGTAACTTCTCTGGTTTGCCCAATCTGACTGGGAATCAAACATCATTGTCGTTTCCGGATGCAAGCACCGGAGGGGAGGCATCCGAGCCTCCCGCTAGTACAGAACCCTCGAGCGCGCTGCCGGCAGTCGAGGAGATCGCAGAAGAAGTACCAATCACCGGGCGAGTCGAGGAGGTCCCTGAGGTCCCTGACTCGGAATCAGCCCCATTGTCGAAATTTGATGCGTTCTCACTCATCCGTTGCGTGCTGATTCTCTGTGCATGGCTTCATTGTCAACATCACGTCTCTTTCTACGCTATCTCGATACTCCTGTGGGCCATTCGCTTTGTCTTCTCAGCTCTCCCGGGAAATATTCTTGGAGATGCAGAGCTTCCTAAAACTCTCAAGACAGTATTTGCACGCTTGAAAATCCATGATCAATTCAAAGTCTATCCGATCTGCCTGTTTTGTCATTCCGTTTTTGCGGAGGTCTCCCCATGGAATTCTAAATGCCCCAACTGTGATGTGGCAATCTATCGCTCTTGCTCTGAGACTTTTCTCGACCGCTTCCTTGCGACAGACAACCTCGAAGAGGAGGATCCAAATTCTCATCCGCAGAACTCAAGCTTCCAAGCCCAAGCTGTTGCCCCAATGCTCCTGCTCTCAGATGCTTTGCAGACATTTTTCATGCGGCCTGGAATGGTGGATGCGGTGCAAGAGTGGAGGACAAAACCAGAATCCAACGAGAAACTTGAGACAATTCAAGATGGTGAAGTGTGGAAAAATCTCAAGGCTGCCAATGGATCACGGTTTTTCTACAATGAGGAAGAAAATGAATTGCGGCTTGGTGTTTCGTTAGGCATTGACTGGTGCGTCATTTTGCTCACTTGCAACTGAGTGATGATATATGCAGTGCTCATAACTACATATACATGTAGGTTTGGTCGCAAATCCAGCAACTATGGTCCAAGTCATTCTTCAGGGGTTGTTAGCTTCTGCATCCAGAACTTGACCTCAGAATTGAGGTAGAAACTTTTTGCTGACCCAAGCACAATACTCATACACTGCTTTTTGAAGATATCGTCCAGAGAACCTGATTTTGACTGGGATGCCCCCTGGTCCCACTGAACCTACATCACCCCAACTCCAGAATTATTCAAAAATTATTGTTGACGACTTGATCAAACTCTATGAAGATGGAATCACCATAGCTGTCCCAGGATTTCCAAACAGTACCTGACTCTTCTGTCTTTGAGTGTCAATACTAAATAATCCTTCCAGAATTTCGTGTACAGGTTGCACTAGTATCCATCATTGTGGACCACCCAGCAATGTGCAAAATCTGTGGGTTTGCTGATCATGGGCACAAGAGCGCACCATGTCCAAAGTGCAAAGTCTCAAAAGGTGACATGTTCACCGTAAAGTCGCTTGAGAACCGTCAGTGTCATATTCAAATGCGGAATTCTCTTCAATTGATCAATATGCTGTACAGGATATCCCAAGCGAACAAATGAGGAACACCGCAGACTAGCTGAGCAATATCAAGAGCTTGGGACTGATGAAGAGAGAGATGCTTTCTTTACCGACTATGGAGTTCGGTGGTCTGAATTCATTCGTCTCAAATACTTTGACATCATCCGGTGTACTGTCATTGATCCCATGCATAACCTCCTCCTGGGTAAGTCTTGACATTTTTTATGACCACAGGAAATCACATTATACCATAGGTGTTGCAAAAACTCAGTGGTATTGTCATAATTCGACTCTTTTTCATCTTATCATCGACGATCCTATCTTATCTTGGCACGACATATCTTATCACGGATCACGGCATCAGACGGTCCGGGCTAGGGGTTCCAGGGGTTATCTCTATCGATTCAAGGCTGCGCGACATATGCTCCGGAAGGTTCTACTACAACCCATGACCAGCGTTCCATGTGGTACATAGCCCTATGACTCATTAGTTGTAGATATGACGCAGACTGGATTTGGGTATAAATACTGTAGCTACTTGGTTGTATTCTCCAGTCTTCGAATTCACTTCTCTTTTCGACTTTGTTTTTGGGTTGATTGTCACATAATTCGAAGACTCCCCTCATACCCTCGTACCTCTTACCTCCTACCCTGCTCCGTGCACCGCTACGCCCGCTATATCCTCTTCACCCTTACCACCCCACTCCCCCTTTTACCGAATCATCTAGTCGCTCGCTGCGATCGCAGTGAAAGGTTCATATCGAGCAAACAGCACCAGGCCACGGGTAACGTTGAGCCCGACCCAAGCCTTACGGTAGCTACAAGGAGTGCTGCGGAGACCTTCGGGAAAACGCACCTCGGGATCATCGGGCACGTGAAGAGCTAGGCCCGGGATCTTTTTGCTAGCAAAAGAACCTTTCCTCGAGTGCTTGTACAGCACACGAATCCACCATTTCGTACCGATTCCCATCATCATCTGGGAGTCCATCCCCTCCCCCCATCATACCATTGTCGCCCGATCTGGCGCATCAAAACGAACCCGGACCCTCCAACCCCTACCTCGCCCTCCCGCCGCCTGAAGACGAGATCCCCGACCTTGGCGAGTTACCCTCCGAACAACCACCCTCGCCCCCACCTACCGCACCTGCTCCTACCATGTCAGGACATCACCGCATCACTCTCGCTGCCAACCCCCCCTACTTCGATGGCGACAAGTCCAAATACCTGGGCTTTGTGGACGCGTGCACCACTTACATCGGTGCCTATCGGTCAGAGTTCTCGCTGGACGAGACGAAAATCCTCTTCGTCCTGTCCTACCTCCGCAATGAGAGCGGCACAAGCTGCGCCGCCTCAAGATGGGCGATGAACTGGAAGCAGCACAATTTCGAGGGCTTCCAAGGACTAAAGGCGGGAGTCACCGCGACAAGCTTCTTGGAGGAGCTTCAGAGGGCCTTTGGGGATTCTAACGCAGAGCAAGTCGCTGCCGCCCGACTCATGGCCCTTCGCCAGGGCAGACGGTCCTTCGCGGACTACATCTCTGACTTTGAAATGCTGGCTGCGGACGCGGGGTACAACGTGGTCGCCTCAACCGATGACAAGGGCGAGTACAAGAAGGGGGATCAGGACAACATCCTCATCGAGTTCCTCGAGCGCGGACTCAGCAGCGAAATTGCAAGCCGCCTCTACAACACCGGCGTCCCCCTGCCCAAGGCATATGGTGCCTTCAAGAACTGGTGCGTCAACATCGAGGCCAATGCCTTGCGCGATCAGCTGCGTAAGGCATCCTATGCGCACTCAACTCCGCGGCCCCCACCCCAATTCCGCCCTCAGGCTGCACCATCAGCACCTACACCCGCTCCGGCCCGACCAGCGGCCAATGAGCCGGTTCCGATGGAGATCGATCGCACCCACGCCCGTGGCCGCAATATCATCTGCTACAACTGTCAGCAGCCTGGGCACATTGCGCGGAACTGCCCTGAGCCCAAGAAGAAGCGCACGTTCTTCAATCGGGCCACAATGCTAGAAGAGATCGAGAACGGGGACAAGGACAACAAGTTCCTGAAGGAGATCGCCGAGAAGCTGCGCGAGAAGGGTTTTTGAAGCGCTCCACTCCTCTAGCCAAGGAGGTGGAGCGTCCGGACTATGGACGTTTTTCTGTACTTGTTTCGATTAAAGACATGAACGATTCTACACATACATATACAATCTCGGACTCATTACGTACCAATATTCATGATTTTCTCATTGCTGATATGGAAAAGGAACGACAAAGAAAAATAGTTTTAAATAGAGAGTATTTACAAAGTAAAAAGGATCAGAAAGCTGCGGATAAATTAATTTTGGACTCCTACGTATTTATGGCTCGTGGAGAAGAAACCACGTCAACAAAGACCGAAAAGGGGAGCATCGCTCCGGAGGCTCAATCCTTGAAAAAGGAGGAAGCGCCCAAGGAATCTGCCGAAATCAGGATTCCAGAAGCACCCAAACGCACAAGGGTGCCGGATGCCATTCAAAGGAAATGGGCAGCCGAGAGACAGAAGGGCCCCCAGCCCAGCAGACTGGCGCAGGAATTGCGCAACTACCAGGCCGAAAGGAAGAGACATTCGATGGACGTATATGTCCAGATCACAGGCCTTGACTCAGGAAAGACGCGCGGAGTCAAGGCGCTACTCGATAGTGGCTGTAGCACCTGCTGCATCGATACCGACTACGCGCGGGCAGAGAAGCTGGATATCCAAGAACTTCCCCAACCCATTGTGGCTCGTAACGCCGACAACACCGAAAACATCAGCGGCCGGATCACGCATTACGTTGACCTAAGGATGAGAATCGGTCCTCACGTGGAGACACGCACGTTCCTTCTGACGTGCTTGGGGAAGGCCCGGATCTTCATTGGTCTTGACTGGCTGACGGAACACAACCCGGAGGTGGATTGGCAGGAGCAAACGATGAGATTCAGCCGATGCCCAGAACGGTGTCACATGAGGGGTCACGAGGAACACCAAGCGATGATTGACATGGATGCAATGGACCTGGACACGAGCGCACCGGATCTGGAAGAGGGAGAATCGATCCTGCTGATCGACTTTGGAAAGGAGGTAGATCTACGGCTGAAGGAAACACCGGCGCAGAAATTTGCAGAAGAAGCGGAAAAAGAGAAGGAGAGGATGACCGAAGGGAAAATTCCGGATCAATACCGGGAATTCGTCAAAGTATTTGCCAAGGAATCATTCGACTCGCTACCGGACCGACGAACCTGGGATCATGCGATTGAGCTCAAACCCGGTTCCAAAGCAGTGGACTGCAAGGTGTACCCGCTATCACGAAACGAGCAGGTCAAACTCGACGAGTTCCTACAAGAGAACCTGGCCAGCAGACGAATCAGACCATCAAAATCACCCATGGCCTCAGCATTCTTCTTCGTCAAAAACAAAGATGGTTCACTACGTCCCGTCCAGGATTATCGGAAGCTGAACGAGATGACAATCCGAAATCGGTACCCGCTGCCGCTGATCTCCGAACTGGTCCATAATCTATGCGGCGCCAAGTTCTTCACCAAGCTCGACATCCGATGGGGATACAATAACGTACGGATCAAAGAGGGTGACGAGTGGAAGGCTGCGTTCCGCACGAACCGTGGACTGTACGAGCCCTTGGTCATGTTCTTTGGTCTCACGAACTCCCCGGCTACCTTCCAAAACATGATGAATGTCATAGTTCGGCCACTTTTTCATCTTATCATCAACGATCTTATCTTATCTTGGCACAACTTATCTTATCACGGATCACGGCATCAGACGGTCCGGACTAGGGGTTTCAGGGATTATCTTCATCGATTCGAGGCTGCGCGACATATGCTCCAGAAGGTTCTACTACGACCCATGACCAGCGTTCCATGCGGTACATAGCCCTATGACTCATTAGTTGTAGATATGACGCAGACTGGATTTGGGTATAAATACTGTAGCTACTTGGTTGTATTCTCCAGTCTTCGAATTCACTTCTCTTTTCGACTTTGTTTTTGGGTTGATTGTCACATAATTCGAAGACTCCCCTCATACCCTCGTACCTCTTACCTCCTACCCTGCTCCGTGCACCGCTACGCCCGCTATATCCTCTTCACCCTTACCACCCCACTCCCCCTTTTACCGAATCATCTAGTCGCTCGCTGCGATCGCAGTGAAAGGTTCATATCGAGCAAACAGCACCAGGCCACGGGTAACGTTGAGCCCGACCCAAGCCTTACGGTAGCTACAAGGAGTGCTGCGGAGACCTTCGGGAAAACGCACCTCGGGATCATCGGGCACGTGAAGAGCTAGGCCCGGGATCTTTTTGCTAGCAAAAGAACCTTTCCTCGAGTGCTTGTACAGCACACGAATCCACCATTTCGTACCGATTCCCATCGTCGTCTGGGAGTCCATCCCCTCCCCCCATCGTACCATCGTCGCCCGATCTGGCGCATCAAAACCAACCCGGGCCCTCCGACCCCTACCTCGCCCTCCCACCGCCTGAAGACGAGATCCCCGACCTCGACGAACTGCCCTCCGAACAACCACCCTCGCCTCCACCTCACACGCCTGCCCCTACCATGTCAGGGCATCACCGCATCACCCTCGCCGCCAACCCCCCCTACTTCGATGGCGACAAGTCCAAATACCTGGGCTTTGTGGACGCGTGCACCACTTACATCGGTGCCTATCGATCGGAGTTCTCACAAGATGAGACCAAAATCCTCTTTGTCCTCTCCTACCTCCGTAACGAGAACGGCACGAGCTGCGCTGCCTCGAGATGGGCGATGAACTGGAAGCAGCACAACTTCGATGGCTTCCAGGGACTGAAGGCAGGAGTCACATCAAAGAACTTCCTGGAGGAGTTTCAGAGGGCGTTCGGGGACTCCAATGCGGAACAAGTCGCCGCTGCTCGGCTTATGGCCCTGCGTCAAAACAAACGGTCCTTCGCGGACTACATCTCCGACTTTGAGATGTTGGCCGCGGATGCAGGCTACAATGTGGTTGACACCACCGACGACAAAGGCGAATACAAGAAGGGGGACCAGGATAATATCCTCATCGAGTTCCTGGAGCGCGGACTCAGCAGCGAGATCGCCAGCCGTCTCTACAACACCGGTGTCCCTCTGCCCAAGGCCTATGGAGCGTTCAAAGCCTGGTGCATCAACATCGAAGCCAATGCTCTTCGTGACCAGCTGCGCAAAGCGTCGTATGGGCACCCCACACAACGACCACCTCCCCAGTTCCGTCCCCAAACGGCACCAGTGGCGCCCACACCCGCTCCGGCCCGACCCGCTGCCAACGAACCGGTTCCGATGGAAATCGATCGTACCCACGCCCGCGGCCGCAATATCATCTGCTACAACTGTCAGCAGCCCGGGCACATTGCGCGGAACTGCCCGGAGCCCAAGAAGAAGCGCACGTTCTTCAATCGGGCCACAATGCTGGAAGAAATCGAGAACGGGGACAAGGACAACGAGTTCCTGAAGGAGATTGCCAAGAAGCTGCGCGAGAAGGGTTTTTGAAGCGCTCCACTCCTCTAGCCAAGGAGGTGGAGCGTCCGGACTATGGACGATTTTCTGTACTTGTTTCGATTAAAGATACGGACAATATTTCATCTACATACACGATCTCAGACTCACTACGTACAAATATTCACGATTTTCTTGTTGCCGAGATGGAAAAAGAACGCCAGGAAAAGATAGCTCTAAATAGAAAATACTTACAAGATAAAAAGGATCAGAAAGCTGCAGATAAATTATTTTTAGACTCCTACGTATTTATGGCTCGTGGAGAAGGAACCACGTCAACAAAGACCGAAAAGGGGAGCATCGCTCCGAAGGCTCGATCCTTGGAAAAGGAGGAAGCGCCCAAGGAATCTGCCAAAATCGAGGTTCCAGAAGCACCCAAACGCACCAGGGTGCCAGATGCCATCCAGAGGAAATTGGCGACCGAGAAACAGAAGGGCCCCCAGCCCAGCAGATTGGCGCAGGAATTGCGCAGTTACCAAGCCGAAAGAAAGAGGCATTCGATGGACGTATATGTCCAGATCACGGGCCTGGACTCAGGGAAAACGCGTGGAGTCAAGGCGCTGCTCGATAGTGGCTGCAGTACCTGCTGCATCGACACCGACTACGCACGGGCAGAAAAGCTGGATATCCAAGAGCTTCCGCAACCCATTGTGGCTCGTAACGCCGACAACACCGAGAACATCAGCGGTCGGATCACACACTACGTCGACTTGAGAATGAGAATCGGTCCTCACGTGGAGACACGCACGTTCCTTCTGACGTGCTTGGGGAAGGCCCGGATCTTCATTGGTCTTGACTGGCTGACGGAACACAACCCGGAGGTGGATTGGCAGGAGCAAACGATGAGATTCAGCCGATGCCCAGAGCAATGTCAAATGAGGGGTCACGAGGAGCACCAAGCGATGATCGACATGGATGCAATTGACCTGGACGCGGGTGCACCGGATCTGGAAGAGGGAGAATCGATCTTGTTGATCGACTTTGGAAAGGAGGTAGACCTACGGCTGAAGGAAACGCCGGCGCAGAAATTCGCAGAAGAAGCGGAAAAGGAGAAGGAGAGAATGACCGAGGGAAAGATTCCAGATCAATACCGAGAATTCGTCAAAGTATTCGCCAAGGAATCATTCGACTCGCTACCGGACCGACGGGCATGGGATCATGCAATCGAGCTCAAACCAGGCTCCAAAGCAGTGGACTGCAAGGTGTACCCCTTATCGAGAAACGAGCAGGTCAAACTCGACGAGTTCTTACAAGAGAACCTAGCCAGCGGACGAATCAGGCCATCAAAATCACCCATGGCATCGGCATTCTTCTTTGTCAAGAAGAAGGATGGCTCGCTACGGCCTGTTCAAGATTACCGGAAGCTGAATGAGATGACGATCCGAAATCGGTACCCGCTACCGCTGATTTCCGAACTGGTCCACAACCTGTGCGGCGCCAAGTTCTTCACCAAGCTAGACATCCGGTGGGGATACAACAACGTACGGATCAAAGAGGGCGATGAGTGGAAGGCTGCGTTTCGCACAAACCGCGGACTTTACGAGCCCTTGGTTATGTTCTTTGGTCTCACAAATTCCCCGGCAACTTTCCAAAACATGATGAACGACATACTCCGGGAACTGATCAACGAGGGACATGTGGTAGTTTATCTGGACGACATACTAATCTTCACAGAAAATCTGGATGAACATCGACGAATCACCAAACGGGTACTCGAATTACTCCAGAAACACAAGCTATACCTGAAGCCCGAAAAGTGCGAGTTCGAACGCACGGAAATCGAATATTTGGGTGTAATTATTGGACACAATTCGATGCGGATGGACCCAGTCAAGATCAAGGGCGTGATGGAATGGCCGGAACCAAAGAGCGTCAAACAAGTCCAAGCGTTTCTAGGGTTCACAAACTTCTATCGGCGCTTTGTCCGGGGATACGCGGAGGTTGCCAAGCCATTGACACGGCTGACAGGAAAGGCAGGATGGTCATGGGGTGCAGATGAACATGCGGCATTTGATGGATTGAAGAAGAGAATCGCGGAGGATGCGGTCCTAGCACTGCCAGATGACACTGGCCAATATCGTCTAGAAGCCGATGCTTCGGAAGGGGCAACAGGATCAGTTTTGAGCCAAAACCAAGACGGCATTTGGCGCCCAATCGCATTTATTTCGCACGCATTGACCGAAACCGAGCGAAATTACGAGATCTACGACAAGGAAATGCTCGCAATCATGTTATCACTTGACGAATGGAGGCAGTTACTCCTGGGAGCCACGGAAACGTTCGAGATCTTCACCGATCATCAGAATCTCGAGTACTTTCGGAAGCCGCAGAAGCTCAATCGACGGCAAGCACGATGGATCACGGAGTTGGCGGAGTTTGATTTCACCTTACGACACCGACCCGGCGCACTCAACCGCAAGGCGGACCTCCTGTCCCGACGAGCAGATCACGATCAGGGCAAGAACGACAACAAGGACGTCACGCTACTGAAGCCCGAGTTCTTCCGATCACAAGAAGTCACATTCGAGGGACAGGATCAGCAGCTAATCAATGAAATCAAGGCAATTCGATCAATTGATGGAAGCGTCAAGGCGGCCGTAGAGAAGTCACTCATCGGATGGAAGAAGGAAGAGGGGCTTATCACGTACCATGGGAAGCTCTACGTACCAAGGGACGAGGAGTTGCGGGACAAAATCATCGGACTACACCACGACACCCCTTTGGTCGGACACGCCGGGATCAACCGAACGCAGGAGATGGTGGAAAGAAACTACTGGTGGCCCAGGATGGGAAACCAAATTCGGAAATACATCCAAACGTGCGAGGCGTGCCAACGGACCAAGACCAGGAGAGCAAGGACAGGGAGTTTGCACCCGCATGCAGTTCCAAACGCGCCGTGGGAAATCATCTCCATGGATCAAATCGGACCCTTGCCGGTCAGTAACGGGTATGACGCAATTCATGTGTGGTGTGACACCTTCACCAAAATGATCCATGTCGAACCAATTAGTACTGACATCAGCAGCGAAGGAGTGGCACGACTAACCAGGGACCGAATCTTCCGCTATCACGGGGTCCCCCGCAAAATCATCACTGACAGGGACTCTCGATACATCAAGGGCTTTATGAAGGAAACGAATCGGATGTTGGGCGTGGAAATGAATCCGGGGACCGCATATCACCCCATCACGGATGGGCAGACGGAGCGTATGAATCAGGAGATCGAACACTATCTCCGCATTTACGTCAACTATCATCAGACGGACTGGTCGGAGTGGCTGGGAATGGCGGAGTTCGCATACAACGACAAAATGAACACGTCTACCAAAATGTCGCCGTTCTATGCTAATCACGGATATCACCCATGGAAGGGAGTGGAGCAGCGGATGGAATCAAGGAACGAGTCGGCGGAGGAATTTGTAAAAAGAATCAAAGAAATACAAGACGAAGCAAAAGCAGCATTGGAAAGAGCAAAAGAAAAAATGAAAAAATACTACGATAAACAAAGAAAAGAAGTTCCGGAGTTGAAGGTTGGGATGAAGGTGTACATAGAAGGGGAAAATATCGAGACGGATTGACCATCAAAGAAGATGAGCGACAAGAGACTAGGGCCATACGAGATATTGGAGAAGGTTGGAGCGGCCGCATGGAAGCTGGATTTACCGGACACGGACCGAAGACATCCGGTGTTCAACGAGTCACTGTTGACACCATATCACGAACCACCCCCCCATCGCCGAGAGAAGAGGCCTGTAGCCAAGATGATCGGAGGAGCAGAAGAGTGGGAAGTCGAAGAAATCGTGAAAGAGCGAAACGTTGGCCGAGGAAAACAGTACTTGGTCAAATGGAAGGGATGGCCGCATAGCGAGAACACCTGGGAACCATCACGTCACCTTACCCACGCGAAGAAGGTCCTGAGAGATTGGCAGAGGAAACAATCCAACCCAGACACACGCATTCGCCTCCTGCCAACTCTCGAAGCCGGACATTGGGATTACCTCATCCATCGCTACAAACCCAAAGACGAGCGCCTTCCATACCCCCAGCGACAACTCTACAATCCGTACAAAAACGTCTTCACGCCCATTGGCCTAGTCGATGAGGACATCGACCCTAGAGAGGGGGTAATGTCATAATTCGACTCTTTTTCATCTTATCATCGACGATCCTATCTTATCTTGGCACGACATATCTTATCACGGATCACGGCATCAGACGGTCCGGGCTAGGGGTTCCAGGGGTTATCTCTATCGATTCAAGGCTGCGCGACATATGCTCCGGAAGGTTCTACTACAACCCATGACCAGCGTTCCATGTGGTACATAGCCCTATGACTCATTAGTTGTAGATATGACTCAGACTGGATTTGGGTATAAATACTGTAGCTACTTGGTTGTATTCTCCAGTCTTCGAATTCACTTCTCTTTTCGACTTTGTTTTTGGGTTGATTGTCACAGGTATTCAATATGGATCAAGGAGAAAATTCTTCGGCCAGATACCAATAAGCAAGAACGCGAACTCGGTTTTGTTCACAAGATCCTAGAAACGGTCTGAGTGATGTACTTATTACACAATTTCAGGATATTCTGACATTCATACTAGTTTGAGTGCCCAGCCTGGACAGGACATTTACCTTTGCGAGTTGGGGAGCCCTCAGGTGGCTCACTCACTGCTGATGAGTATAAATTTGCAGTGACAGCGCCTTGGGCAATCATAGTGCGAGAAACATCATTCTACTATATGCCTGAGGTTTGACATGTCTACAGATACCATTGGTGTGGGACATATTCCGCTCAGCTGCAGAGAAGGATCACAAGAAAGCATTCAGCAAATATGAGGAGAAGTTAGAAGATTACAAAACAAAATACCATTTGTGGCAGAAGCGGAGCCGAGCCACCCGAGGTGATCCACCTGAGCATCCTGAGCGCCCTGTTCCACGGATGCAAATGGGCGAAGATTATAATTTCTTGTGTTTTGCCACAGCACTCAAGATTATGATTGGGACTTCAATCTACAGAGAAATGATTCCACGAGCAAAATCTCTTTTGGAGGAATATCTTCTTGGTTTTCTTCAGGTGCATTCAGTTCTACAATTTTTTGCCCTGTTGAAAGCCCTTCAATTTTTCAGCTATATGGCTCCCAATGCATGAAACCTAACCATCATTGGGCAGTCCACATGTTTGATCAAATTCAGGATTTTGGCCCATTCTACTCGTTCTGGGCATTCTTGACAGAGAGACTCAACAAAACGCTCAAGAATCTCAACAGTAACAACTGGACTGGTGGCAGACTTGAAGTCTCAATGATGCGAGAGTTCCAACGGGGTGTTCAACTTGAAACAGCTGTAAGTGCCATGTTCAATAAGGATGACTCAACAATCTCAACAATATCACAGATGAAGAGATCAATTCAATCTACAGACTCTGCTCTTGAAGAAGAGTTCATCCAAATTTTGTTGGGAAATATGACAACTGGCCCACTTGGAACCATCCAAGATGCCTCTCAGGCTGGTGAGTCTATGATCTTCTAGACATCATTGACCCTTGCTTAGCAAGCACTTGTCTAGCCTCTACAAAGGTCCGTGCTGGGCCAGTCAGAAAGTCTGCCCAAGCTGTGGATAGTGGATTGAAGCAAGCACTCCTCCGGTTATATAACAAGGAGCAACCCCAAGTACATCTAGGCGCACATGACATGGAAGGCACGGAAACTCTCCACACTTTCATCCAGACTTATCAGCATGCCTTCCTCTCTGGTCGAAAGATCATTCCTTCCTCATTACATGGCCGTCCAACAGGATCCTCTCTGATTCAGGTCTATTTTGACAATGTTCCGCATGCAGGGGAGGTGCTATACTTGTTCAGCCACTGGCAGCCAGGTGTGAACACCAAGCATGATATGTTATATGCAGCTGTCCGTTGGATGGTACCATCGAAGTACAGTCCACTTGATAACACTGGCCTGTGGGATCACTTGTAAGTTGAATGCTATTTCTATAATTCCCACATCTCAGACATTCCAGCCCCGAGTTGGGGGTAGAGACTTGGGAACTTGGTGCTTTTGTCAATCCAACAGATAATTTCCCACCGGCGATTATTCCAATGTCCGATATTCATTGCCAGGTTGCTCGCCGTATTGCCCAACATACAGATCCTCCGATGTGGATCACAACTACAATTGATCGTGTATGTGACACACAGCTGCTGTCAGCACTAATTGACACTCTCTAGTTTCTCACTCCAGCCATCGCAGCTGGCTTTGAGGACACGTAGAAGACTTGTCATAAGAGAAAGTAGAACAAGTTTTATTAGTGGACATGACACTACAAGTAAGGGTATAAATGAGGATGTCCAGAACACAATATGAAAGGGTTCACAAATCAATCACTAGTAAGTCCATTGTCAACACCATTGTTGTCTGAATCACAATCAAAGCCCTTTGGGCCCAGAAAGTCACCCCATCCCGCAGTCTCCAGCATCTCAACCATTGCTTCGTCCTTCTTTTTCTCAGCAAGCCAGTCAGCTCGGATGGCAAAGTTGAATGGCGCCTTGGCAGGGAATCGGGTAGAGAGACGACCAGTGTTGCGGACGCGAATGAGTCTTCGCCTGTCCCTGTTAGAGTTGCTGAGGGAATCCTCGTGAATCTGACTGAGTTCGAGATTGAGGTTTGTGGCCTGTCGTTATTAATATGGATGGGCAAAATGAAAGACACTTATGACAGACCTCGTCAGTGCGCCAATCAAACTCGCAAACTTGGATGAAAGTCAGGTCTGCTATGGACTGTGGAGTGGCGTCCCGCCTTCCTGATGCATGTGCCATTTCAAGTGCCCATTCGCCCTTGTCCTTGTCTGAATCCTCGGGCCCTGAAGGCTCATCTGACATGTGCTCGAGGTCAAGTGTTGCAGCAACATCGTCGCGGTCGAGGTTGTGAGCAGCAGCATACTTGTCAGCAGCGCTGAGTCGCTGCTTTAATTTCTGCAAGGATTGAGAAATGGTAGAGCCAGCAGCAGGACCAACTCACCAGTCGACGGCGCTGCGTTTCACGATCCTTGGCGTTGCTCTGATTGATCCGCTGCTGAGCCTTCTCGTCTATCTGGGCTTTGTAGTGCTTGTTGAAACCTTTGAAGGACTCTTTGGCGAAGGCTCGGAGGTCATTGTAGTCGACCCTCGCTCCGCAGGTTTCAAGATCGATTGGGCGACGAGCGGGATCCTACCTCTGTCAGAAAATGATTGAACGCAATGGGCAAACAGACCTGGATTTGTTTTAACACTGTCATGGCAACAGCGTCAAAGATCTTGATATTGTATGGATCTGCTAGTCCACCAGGAAAGTTCGGCGTGAATACGTGCTCATTGGTGATGGGATCTGTACGCTCAATGGACGGGTCGGGCCAAGGAGTCTTTGCAGAGACTCCGCAGAGCGATCGAAAGGTCGTGCTGACCATAGACTAGCAAGTCGGTGAGATTGAGCTCAAGGTCTGCCACCAATCGAGCACGTACTGTGAGCTGTCTTCGCACTCGCTGCTGTCCAATGGTAAGCGATTTGAAGGGAAGCCCCAAGGAGGGCAGTGCAGCAGGCTTTGTATGATTAGCAAGGGGGCTGGCTGCCTGGGCCGACGCAGAGGACTGAGTCATAACGGGAGGTGACAGAGCAGGAACCGAGGTCGCATTAGCCCCAGTAGCGGGGATGCGTCCCGAGCGTGTAGCAGTAACCGTTGCCAGAGTTTCGAGGTGAGAAATCTGTTCATGCACCGTAAGCGCCGGGGTCAAGAGTGAGACGCGCTGTCTTCTGAGTGAACGGACGACATACCTCCGTGTCCGCATCGTCGCCCGAGTCTTCGATATAGGCCTCAGGCACAGCTGGCACGGCTGAGACAGCCACCAGCTGTGCTTCCAGTACCCGGTTACGGTCGCGAAGCTGCCTTATCTCTTCGTCCGACTGCCGTTGGTGCAATTCCAGTTGCGCAAAGCGAGCTTTGAGGGACTGAAAATGCGGGTCGAGTCCACCTCCGTGTTCATTACGATGAGACGGATTCGGCGACAGGACAGGGTGGAAGTCGTATGGCATGTAGAGCTGCGAGCCCCCGGCATAGGCAGCATGGGATGGTGGCACGAGATCAGGAGAAGTGAGAGAGCGAGAGGAAGATGGGCGCAGCCCACTGGATCCCACGGCTAATGAGCAAAAACATCGAGACAGCTTGAAAAGCTAACGCACCCAGGTGGATGGCCCATTCCCAAATGTCTGTGCAGGTGGGCCATGTCGAAAAAGCGAGTGTGTTGGGTGGAACTACGGTCGACGATGAGCCGTGCTTCTGACATTGAGATTTAGTGAGAAACTCACCGTCCGGCGTTCACGTCTTTTCCGCTCAGGTAGCAGGAGTGTAGCGGAGGAAGGAGTGGTAACGGTGTAGTGAATTCGTGACATTTCCACGAATAGTCTGTTGGAGAGGACACGGAGGAATGTCAAAAGTAAAAGGTGAGCAACTTGCCTGATCAGTCCATATCACCCTGGCACGCTGCCACAAAGCCGCTCACGCGCTCGGGATGCTCCACGTGTATCACAGAACGCTGAAGTTTGTCGTATAGAAGGTCAAATATTGTGCGATATGTTGTCTAAGGCGACGAGAAAGGTAGCCCCCAGGGGCCTGAAGAGAACGAGGAGCGGCTAGATGGGTATTCTAAGCATAGACCCCGAAGGGACTAATCAAATAGGACGTTGCTCAGTCGGAATCGTCCCTGGCTGCGTAGCCCCCGATGGGCTATCAATTTAGTCCCGGCTCGGTCTCGGCTCGATCATGGATCGGTCATTACAGCTGATTTCAAAAGATTGGGCGGGTTCTGTTCGTGTGGAGCGCCAAAAACTTATTGATAGTTCTTTGTACCTGTTACCTGTACCCCACACTTGCTCCACCTACCCATTTCCGTGGACCGATGGCCCGTCGCCGCTTCGCAGCTCACTATGGGTACCAATCCCCGTATCTCCCTCGAAACCCGACAACTTGTCCTCTATCAGTTTCATCAGCTTTGGCGGCGACAGCGACAGATTGCTGCGGACTTGATGATCTCGGAGCGCTCGGTGCAGAGGGTAGTCGGGCAACAACGACACATTCAGGCTGGGCTTGAGAGGAGAATCCCTCTCAGTTCTGAAGAACCCAGGGTTCTTCGGGCCTATGATCTTGTGGTGCGTGCAGAGATCTGGAGGCGCGTCCACTAGAGTAGTCCACCCATTGACAATCCGGGTGTGTTTGCGATAATGGCCGTCGTTAATTGCCACGAGACTTGCATCTCAAGCTCAAAAATTCTCTCTTTTATTCGCAGAGGCATTGGAGCTTGGAGCCGTGTGCGTTGCAGTCACCAGACCGCGTACAATTATGATGTATGGATGCTACAGCAAGCAGGTATCAACAAGTTTTTGGCACTCCACACGAACAGAACCCGCCCAATCTTTTGAAATCAGCTGTAATCAGCCGGTCTCGCCCCCACGGGGTCTATCATCCCACGGAATGTAGTGTATCTAGGCCCGCACTAATCAAGAACATTTAGTCTCATATGTTCTCACGAACGAAAATCACCCACCATTCACCTCCCCTATCTTTCGACGCGCGATCCATGTGTCCGCTGCCGTCCAGAAGCTCTCCCAAGCGACACACCCGTGCTGCCAATCTCGTGCCGCAGCCGGAACAAGCATACCCACTACGTGGGCTGAGCCAGACTGAAGGATACCGATCATGGCAACATCGGCGTCTGGAACAGCGTGTCGTTCTGCTCTGGCGGGCCAGATCAGGATGAGTGCTTTCAGATCGAATCGGCCCATTTCAGCGCAGATCCCGGCTTGACTGAGCCTGACTGGGACTGAGAGATGGGCTAGTGCCAGGCACATCTCGGCGAGCAACGTGACATCGAACCCCCCGCGCCAGTGTGTGAGTTCAAGATGCGTCAGCGCGGGGAGAGTCAGGTTCGGCGGGCCATGCGGGAGATATATCCAGGTGAAGTGCAACTGGCGAAGATGCCTGAAATCAGCGCCGAGAGAGAGCTGATCGACGACCTTGTACAGGATTTAGTTTCACACAGATGTGTCGCACGAGGAGAACACCCGCTCGGTCGGGGCTCCGAACTTTCTGTGGAATAGACAGTTCCGGGTGTCCAGCGTTGCAGGAATGAGAAGACCTTCCATCGTCTTCCCCTCGACGACGGGAATCCGACCGATGACCTTTACAAAATGCTGTAAAAATTCGATACGGTGATTCTGCGTCATTCAGCTCTGTACATTCTCAATTGTAAATGTTTGCGCTACTTTATGCATATATCGGCATATCTCTGGATCTGAGAACCTCTCTGGGACCACGTGGACTGCCGTGATGGATGGCCGGCCAATCATCTCGGATAAACGGGTCGTCAGGTTCAAACATCGGGAGATCATTAGTCAAGCAGAGGACAACGATATTATTCACCTGTACAGTATTCGACATGTACATAGCAGTTCCACAACAAAATTTTCGAACATCGCTGACTAGATTACAAGATTAAGCAAGAACGATGGTCCTTGGAGTTCACTATACTGTGAAAACAGCATGAACGTGTGTTATAATCCCGATCACGGAAGCCGCCGTGTTGATAACTTCTGGCAATCTAGCCGGGATTTATCAGGTGAAACCGCACCAGTAAAAACATAGGGAGAAATAAGATTAATTTGAATGCCTTTCGAGGCCCTGAAGCGTGTCTTTTGCGCTGACGGTTCGGTGATACGCCGTGGGGTAAAATTCGAGAATCGTTCCAGGCTATTACACGCGATGTTATGTCCTGCCAAATTCTACGTGGCATCTTTTTCCTTTCTCGAACATCGCATGGACCCGAGGTGCATTCTCACAGCGTCTGCCTTGTAGTAAGCTTTTGAAAACAGGGTTGGAAATCCATCACCACGCCATAGCCACCGAGATCACGTGGAGGGGAAACGCGCTGATCGCTTACCGTCATCGTTTTGACACTCTGTGTAGGATTTTGACAGTGATCTGCCAGCCCCTTTCCCTTTGCTTTTTCAAGTTTCATTGCGCAGGCGGTGCTGGTGCTACGACGGATAGACGCACGGGGCTCGCTCGACACCCGCCGCTCCGACATATCTGCGATCACTGCGCAGACCTCAGGCCGGGGACGATATCAAGCGCATCATCGCAAGTACGTAAAGAGCACACACATTCACAATGCACCCGACCCTGATACGCATAAGCAGCTCGCATCGCGCAGCCTATATCTACTCTACCCCAGAACGTAACGTGGACTGAGTAATCAGACTTTCGACCTTCCCCACCCCCACTGCACCCCCGCACAGGATGAGTCCCGAGGAGTGGGCGACGTTGCACGGGATCGGGGTCGACTGGGTGCAGGGGTTCGTCGCGATCACGAACGAGACGGTGTGGATAAGTGCGTATTCCTCCGCCTTCCAGGCGATTCCTTATGAGCATTGAATCCCACTCGTCTTCGCCCCCGCAGCCGTGTACGCCATGACAGTGCTGCAAGCCTGCATCGTGCTGCTGCACAAATCGCGCCGCCACGCGCGCACATCGCAGTTCTACGTGTTCGGGATCCTCACGCTCTTCGCGTCGGCGGTGGTCCTCTATGCGCTCGACCTCGCCAACTTCATCGTCGAGGCGAAAATGACGCTCGTCGACCACGGGGACGCGGATATCCGGGTCAGGTACGACGGCGCGGTGGGCTTCATCCTGAAGCTGGCCGCGGCGCAGGATGCGTTGTTCGCGTATATGGTGTGTGCCAGTGCTCTTGCACAGATCCCGCAGTGATCTGAAACTGACTGCGCACAGACGATCTTGGGCGACGCGATCATCATACACCGGGTGTGGAAACTCAAGGCCCACAGGTACTTCTGGGTCTTTGTGCTCTTATGTGCCTTGTGGACCGGTGCCGCTGGTGCGCGTTACTATCTTTGTCCCCTCCCTCTACCCCTTACCTCCACGGATCGCAGTGGGGACGTTCATGCTGACGTACTGCGTCGCCACCGTCGGGTCGGGTATCGTCCTCGGTACATTCGAGAATCCTGCATTCTGCCGCAACGCGCAGACGGTCACGTACGTTTTACCCTGCGCCACAACAGCCGTGGCGACAGGTCTCATCGCCTACACCGCTTGGTGAGGATGTCTTACTTCTTTCTGCACTCAACTGAGTCTGTTTGCCGTTGAGCAGGAGATACGCGCGTGAAACACAGCTGCTCACATCCTCCCGCCGTACAAATTCAATCAGGAATCCGATTCTGGAGATTCTGCTCCTACTCATCGAGTCAGGGCTTCTCTACCTCTTCTTCTTTGTACGTACCTCCCCTGTAAGTAGACGTCTTCACACGTACTAAACCGACGCGCAGATCGTCCTGGTGGTGGAGGTCTCTCCGCGGGGCCATGCCTGGATCGACTCGAACCCCGTTCTCTCGCTTGCGTTCAAGATGTACACATATTGCTCCAGCGTCATCGTCGTGCGTCCTCCGTCTCTAACCTTCACACTGCAAACTCAAAGAAATGGGGCCAGGGAATGTACCCAACCAGCCTCGTCGTGCTCTCGCACTCAAAATACGCTGTGCTCGACAGCCCGACCGCCTCGAGCGTCCTATCGACACTGTACATCGGCGGGATGCACGGCCCGCCTACCACCGGCACCGCTTCTCTTCTTTCCATGGCAGCCGCAGCCGGCTCGCCGCCGTTCAAATACACGCCACGGGCGGCGGTGGACGAGCTCGAGCTGCAGTTGAGGCACCCGGCCTTCCACGCGAAGCCGGCCGGAGACGCTCGGCAGCGGTCTGTGGATCTGACGACCGTGATCCGCACAGCGGAGGTTTAGATGGTAGATTCGTTTGGATATATTGCGTAACGTTACATCGTCTTATAATCGTTCCTGTTGTACGTGCTACTTATCCTGGGCCTATATCTATATCATAACTGTACATGATATCCCTAGTTGTCGATAGATTTTCTACGAGGGTTCTTATGAAATGGGCATTCGGGCCCTATCGAAGTATGACCAATGGCAGTATGACCAATGGCCAGTCCCTGCCATACGTAGGGCGTCTGCAGACATCTACACGAGGACACTTTGAGAATCGAATTTTTGAGTCGAGGAACCATGTCCAAGCAGCTTTCTCCATAGTTATACTCGCACGACCACGCCCAGAAAGGCATACACACGTGACGAATATTACCTTAGGCTCACGGATCTGGCTGTCTTTCCAAGAGGAAAAATAGAGTTCACAAATTAGCTCAATCTTTTCTCGAGTCGGGCCGCCACGGATCGGCGCTTGAGCGTGAAGTCACGTGCCCTGGATCGGCAATGGGTCATTAGTACTCGTCTTTTGAGAATGAATTTGATTCAAAGTGAACGAATGAACTCTCGGAAAAGAAGAGGTGCAGCCATAAAGGGGGTCGGTTGTGCAAGATTGCTTGTACGCGTCCCATACAAATTCGTGCGTCAGCTGTGACGCGTGACGCACGGACATTGATATTGTATGGAGGCCGGGAACAGCATGCTGATTCGCGGCGCGAAATGAGATCGCTGTCTGATTGATTGATCGCTGCACGTGTTTGGCATCATTCACGGCATATCACATTGTACTTTGTTGCTTGTGCTCTGTAAGATTTATAAATGCTAGTTAATGTTCACACTAGTGAGATACCATATTGTATGTATGTATTCTTGTTAACGAGCGTTGATTTCCCCTGTCGTCCTGAAATTGATCGGTCACGTGCAGCTTCGATGAGTCAGCAAGGTCGCCGAAACACTTTCACGTGATCCAGTCTCATTTTGCGGACGCCCTGGGCAGGAATAGGCGTGGGGACACATAGGGTGAACATCCTCCGAAATAAAGTAAATCTGGCCGAAAATTTTGACTTTAATCCTCCAGGAAATGGCATAAAAGTGCCTCAAAAAGGGCAGCAAGCCTCCGGAGATAGCATAAAACTTGGCTAGTTCCCTGCCGATCTTGAAAGATTTGAGCCCCGGACCAGTGTAGAATCGGGTGGAACCCGGCCTAATCCGGGCATTTCTGACTTGAATTTAGGCATCTGGGCTCATGTACTCTTATCAGTCGTCAGCAAGACTGATTTCAACTGGAAATGTACTGAATTTGGTAGCCTATGGGGAATCTAAAAACCGATATGATCAGAATAATCACTTACCTGATTGTTTTTTCTTGCCCATTGTTCCCGGCTCCCAAGCGCTGCGCCATCCAGCCGGTTCCCGAAGTACATGGGCATGACGGAAGTGTTGGCAGCTGTCCTCGAAGTCACGGACAGTGGCGAGACCACAGACCCAGAGTTGGATCTCTCGGAATGGATTGGCATTGAAAAAGTCTACAAGGACGTCCCATTGGTGGTCTTTATCAATTCAGGGTCTCGTAAATGCGTAGCGGGAATAGCCACTGTGCGTTCAAGAGGTGGTAAAGGCCTAGAAGCTTAGGGAGAAAAATCGAATTAACCCTTCGAAAATAGAGTAAAAGTTGCTCAAGATGTTGAGAAATTGAATGTAAAAGTAGGTAGGCTGGCGGAGGATGTTCACCCTATGTGTCCCCACGCCTATTCCTGCCCAGGGCGTCCGCAAAATGAGACTGGATCACGTGAAAGTGTTTCGGCGACCTTGCTGACTCATCGAAGCTGCACGTGACCGATCAATTTCAGAACCACAGGGGAAATCAACGCTCATTAACAAGAATACATACATAAAATATGGTATCTCACTAGTGTGAACATCGACTAGCATTTATAAACCTTACAGAGCGCAAGCAACAAAGTACAATGTGATATGCCGTGAATGATGCCAAACACGTGCAGCGATCAATCAATCAGACAGCGATCTCATTTCGCGCCGCGAATCAGCATGCTGTTCCCGGCCTCCATAATATTGGACGCATACATCATCATGTTCATCAAGTTTTTCGCCCGGACATTTTCTCGCCCAACCACTCGCTCCAAGGCAATGGTCCATTTCTGAAGGCTTATTGGTGGCCGTGGAGCCATATAGACGCGTTCTGAGATGTTGGGAGGGCCGGGAACACCGGATGAGAGGACGGACACCAACACTGAGACCGCGAGTGAGACCCGGCACGGAGTGATGGAGAGTTAAATAGCGGAAAAGCCGCTTCTCCCGTATTATATCCCTTACGCTTTTCGCAACCCTCTTGTGCCATGTCCTCCCTGGAATCGTTTCTCGGGTGCGGCGGCCGTCCTTCATCTGTACTGGCATCTCACCGTCTGCTGCTGCTACTGCAGCTCCCTGCTCGTAGGCACGTGGCTAAACACGGCTCTCTTCGTTCTCGAAGTGCGCTACGCGATCAACTACCTCCTGCATCCCATCGCCCGTGCTGAGCGGTGGTACGTGAAAGCAACGGTCGCAGCGTGTCTGGTCACGGACTCCATCACGGTCGCGGGGCACTATGCCGCAGTGTACTTGGTGCGTGCGTCTTGGGTTTACCTCTCGTCCCAGTGCTGATTCGCCGTTCTTACAGTACTGCGTCACAAATTGGGGTGAGTGCGGGCAGTGCTAGTCCCCCTCCAGCTTCGGGTGGCTTATCGCTGCGTCTTAATTCAGGGAATATTGCGTATCTGCCTGGACAGGTGTGTCGTGTCTTTGACTTATTTCTCAGATCGGACCTCTCATGGAGGCCTCAACAGCATCAGCCTACGCGAGTCTACTCGTTTGCTAGCGCTCTGACGACATTCATGGTGCAAAATTTGCTTATATACCGAAACTGGAAAGCGTGCGTCCTCTCCCTGCGCTCTCCATTCCTCGGATCTGATTAAAGCGGGCTCTGGTAGAACGAGAATATGGCCGATTGCGGTCTTTCTCTGCTTGTTGGCATGCACTACGGTCAGTCGCATCCAGTACAGAAAAGCCCCTGTGTCAAGGTAATTTACCTTGACACAGGGGCTTTTCTGTACTGGATGCGACTGACCGTAGTGCATGCCAACAAGCAGAGAAAGACCGCAATCGGCCATATTCTCGTTCTACCAGAGCCCGCTAAACTGATACACGCATGACAGCTAGGAGCTGTTATTCGCACGACACAATATCCCCAAAATGTCACCAGGGCGCAGGTTGTTGTTCCTGTCGTGTGCGTATGACGCATGCCTGTGCGGATCAAATTTCCTTAGGTCACATTCCACAGACTATCGTTGGTCTCTGCGACGTGCACCGATATTGGCATTGCCATCTGCGTCAGTACTGCTCATTTTCCTCAGGGAAGCGTATCGTGTAATCTCATTCGCGGTAGCTTGTCTGTCAGTTACATTTCATGCACAGCGCAACGACCTTTTCTGGAACCAGGAAGTACATTTCCCAATCTCTTCTACACTGAACGATAATTGATGCCATCCCGCGCAGTATTCTCCGCACGCTCATACGCAACGCACTGTCTACAGGAACGATTCTGTCCATCGGCGCGACCGTCCCGCTGATCGCGTTCCTCATCGACAATGCGAGCCCCGTCGTGTGGAGCCATAGCACTAGGATTTAGACTAATACGCATGGTTGTAGCCATAAAAACCCTACACTATTTTATGAATGGTAGCCATGGGCTATGGCTAGGCACCTAAATAACCACCGTGGGGTCTATGGCTGCGTGCAATACGCTCAACCCCCGGCATCTTCACTTCGGCACCCATCAACGTCAGTCGATTGCAAATCACCCATCGCCACCAGTGATGGCAGCCATCAACAGTGCTGATGACAGCGCTCTCTGCCTCTCGCTTATTGCGATGTGATATGAATCCGTGCTTGCGCTTCCGACAGAATCTGTTGATGCGCGCTGCCTCCGCCGGCGTCATGTGCATTTGATCAGGCGGGACCGACGCTGCACATCTGATCCTTTGTCAGCCCCGCTCCTGATGCTCCATCACTCCGCGCGCAGATGTGCACCTGGTAACCATCGACACCTTTGACGCTCTCACCCGCCCTCCGCCCACAGTGCTGCACGTGATCTGGTGGCTTGCCCGCCGTCCCGCCGTCCATCTACGGCACTGCACGTGATCACTGCTCAGCATCGCGCGCGCGCAGGCGACATCCACGCCAATGTGTGTTGTCATCAAAGGTGATGAGTTCCAGTTCCCGCTCCGCCCCTGGTCCATGCATCCCGCGTTGATACCCCCTGCCGTTTGCCCGTATATGCTTGAGATGTCAGGTACGTGCGCTACGGATTCTGAATTGTGTACAGGTGCGTCATAGCTGTGATTCCAGGCATGAGACACTTATCGGGTTGCGCAGGGCAAGAATCATCCGTGAGCCAAAGGGGACGGTGTGGGTCGCAGGCGAGCGTGCAAATCAAATCGAAGAGTGGCGGCATACGGTTCTCACGAAGCTGGCATGCTTCCGAGAACTGCAGGCGGTGTACATGCCTGCAGCCGCCGCTATCATTGAGGAGGCTGAAGCCCGGCGCGTCCGTTCAGCTTCAAGCCCTCGGCCTGAACACATCAAGCTATGGATGCCGAGCGAGATGCCCTCATTGTTGGGTCCAGCGCGGGGTTGTGTGGCCAGGTTGTGTGACATTGAGACGAAGCTGCGGGTGGCGCAGTGCGAGAACTCACTCACACTGGTTCGGGCGCGTCTGCATGCAAAGAGGCACCTGATCAGCTTCCGAAATGCGAACGTGACTGGCCAGAACCAGTCAACAAAGGCACGGACACTGATTAGCAAAGTCGGGGAGAAGGTGACAGCAAGCGCCAACCGGTATCGAAGGGGACGGCAGGCTCTGGTGGAGGCTGGCCGCTTGGAAAAGTTCCAGCATCTGCAAGAGCTCAAGGATGAGCACCTGCAGATGAGTGGTGCAGCTATGGAGACGGACACAGAAAGGACAGATGCTTGGACAGCAAAGAAGATTGGGGCGCTCGGAGCAGGGCGCGTGCCAAGGCAGGACCACGGATTGTCGAAGCAGGTGATATCATGGATCTGGACCGCGCCCGGAGCTTGGGACAACAAGGAGAAAGATCTGCATGACTGTGAGTTCCCGACGCAGTAGGCACAGGGCGTAACTGACGTCATCACAGCAATACACGTGGAATGGGGTCAGGCGCTGGCGCGTCGCGATAGGTGGACCAAGGAGGTCTTGCTGCTGAAGGAGGAGATGTGTCGGGTGTGTGCTTATCTGGAATGGCAGGCTGATTGGTGGGAGACGAAGTCGTCGGGGCGGGTGAGCTCTTCATGTGAGGTAGACGCAGGTGCGCGGGCATTCACATTGAAGCAGGCGGTGTAGCACACGAAGTTACACACCTTTTTGCTGAACAAGTGGCGAGGCAACATCGGGGAAGCAAACGAGCCAAATATGTACACTAAGGACATTGTACGATAAGATAAGATATGATGATGTTGGCGATAACAGGCAGGCGGGACAAGCGCGGGAAACCGACGATACGGGAATTGTGCCCGATATGGTGAGGTCAATGGTTGATGATCATCCACAGTCACCGCGATGATTAGATGGCCGACGTGTGGAATCAATGTGATCTGCCGCGATGAATGCCGCTTGATGCGAACACATGAGTGATGAGCGCGTGGGGCGGCTGATCGTTGGGCGGCTGATGGACATCCCGTGATACATTTCGTGATCACGCGAGAAGACTAGAATGCATGGCTGTAGCCATGCTATGGCTACCATTCATAAAATAGTGTAGGGTTTTTATGGCTACAGCCATGACATTAGTCTAAATCCTAGCACTACGGGTGGTCGAGCACGGGTATCGTGAGTTGTTGCACGCTTTGTGTTCGTTGATCTGCCGATTCTGATTGAACGTTAGCACGCCAGAGCTTCGGAGCGCCGAGTCATCCGGTCGTGAGGCAGTCGGCTGCACTGCCGCCGATGAGGGACCCGGGTGAGGAGGAGATCGATTCAGAATCTTCGGTGGCTTCCAAAGGGCCGGATAATGCTGTCAAAGAGGAGGTTTGATGTCGGCCATCTTCGTAAAACATATTCTCTCGATCGACGACTCCGACGAGGCGTTGTAATAATCAGGTCAGCCCTGTGTTGATATTCCGAGATTGGATGAGTCACAGCACATGGCTCTCGTCCTTTCCTCGGCACTAAATCAACCAAAGTAACGCCGCAGTAGTGCTTGGTAGCCTCATTAAGACTTTACTATCGATCTGCCGACCGGCAAGGAGAGCCAGAGCGCAGGCAGAGGGACTGGACCCTCACTGTCCTTCTCATGTTTTCGATCCATTGCGTTTAGGCTTGCTTCTGAATCCAGCTCTGATCCCCAACCGACTTTGGAATTTCTGTGAGAGCAAAAATGTGGAGGGCCGCTGCTGCATTTAGCGAACTCCCTTCGTGTATCGGCATGCACTGTCTTGCTCGTGTGAGTCATGCACCAGATGCCATCACGGCCAGAAGCTCCATCCAACACGGCAACCTGTCACAACCTCAAAGTGGAAATACTCACGAACGGAAAGTGAAAGACAGCATCGGGAAGCAAAGCCAAATAAAGGCATCATCGATTAGCCCTGCTACAGGCACAAACGGGGAGAATGAAGGTTTGCCAGCGAGACTGCGATATATATAAATAGCCCATTTTTAGATGTTCGACTCCCCCAGTCAGTTCCTTCAACAAGTTCCGCTGCGTCACCCGGCCCAAAATAAACTAGACTCCACAGGCCGAGTCTATGTCGAACCTGGTTGGACTAGAACGCATGTTTCATCATAAAGGCTTGCTGTGCCGCATATGGACGCCTATTTACACACATTCTCATCATCAATTTGAAAGTCCGCGCTGTCACTGCTGACCAATCCTTCCTCCGACTTTTCACATCTCGGGCCACGCGCCATCGCCATCGCCATCGACAAGCGTGCGTCCATCCTTCGGGCAGCAGAAAGTGACTGAAGGAGTCCCGCAGCAATCTCGCACCGCCGCAGACGATCGAGGAGGAAGAACGAGGAACCAAGAAAGACGACCACACAGCAAGGAACATGAGCCGCCAGGCCAAGACGATGCCACCGCAGCCATCGAGCGTGTCGATCGGCAAGCAGCCCATGGCGTATCCCAACGCACCGGCCGGGGCCAATGCCAATTCCAACACCGCCAGCGCAGGTGGCGGAGGGGGGCAGCCTCGCAGCGCACGCGCCGCGTCAAAGGCGCCCGCGGCGTACCCGCCTCCGGACGCCTCTGCGAATCCTGGCGCCGCCAACGGGGCGAAGGGGAAGGGCAAACCTGCTGCCCAGGCGGCGGCGCAGGCGAAGATCTGGAACACGTCGACGTCAGAGGAGCGGGAGCGAATCCGGGACTTCTGGCTTGCGCTGAGCGAGGCGGAACGGCGGGACCTTGTGCGGATCGAGAAGGACACGGTTCTTCGCAAGATGAAGGAGGAGCAGAGGCATAGCTGTGGATGTGCGGTGTGTGGACGCAAGAGGTGCGTTTCCGCTTTGTTTTAATGTGTGGGCTCCAGACGTAGTGGGGCGGAAGATCGTGTCCATACACCGTCAGCTCTCTCTCCCGCCACAAAGGCACTGAACCCCAATCTTCCCACTTCCGCTTCACTCCGTCTTTCGTTCATTCTAACGCCGTGGCTCACCGAATTACAGATCTGCGATCGAAGACGAGCTGCAAGTGCTCTACGATTCCTACTACGACGACCTCGAGCAGTACGCCATCCAACAGCAGCAGTACCTCTCCTCCCTCGCCGGTGGGCGGGGTGCGCTCACCACCACCAACAGTGGTGCCGGGACCGGAATCGCTGCAGGTAACCCAGGCCAGGCTCAGCGCATCAAGGCCCCACCCGGCCCAGGGCCTTTCCCCGGCAGCGTTGAGGTGGACCGATATGGCGCAGTCGTGGGTGGGGCAGGTTATCCTCCGCGAGGTGGGTTGTCAATGCTTCTGCTCATTCGTATCTTTGTTTCATTCCTTTTCGTCTATCCAATTTTCTCCTCTGTACCTGGCTTTTGGTCTTTGTGCTACATCTACATACCGATTGTAAAGTGGTGCATAGGTCGCAGGGACATCATTCTACCTCACCCTTCCTTTCCTTGTCGCCTCCCCATGCTAAGTCTCCACAGCCACGCATACGAAATCTAAATCCGGCTCGAAGCATGGCAACGTCAGGACGAAGAAACCGGGATCCAAGACGACGACGACGCCCAAATCGAAGCACGGCAAAGCGGGGACGGGGAAAAACAAGGCCAAGCACAAAAGCGAGTCCAAAGTCAAAGCCAGGCTGGAAGCAGAGGACGTGTACGAGGAGGACCCGCCAGACGAGGAGGATGAGGACGACGACGACCAGGACGTGGATGAACCGCTCGACGATGAGGAAGTCGAAGTCGACGTTATGAATGGCAAGCGCAGTGGGAAGCGTGTCAGAGGCAAGATTGGTGCTGGACGGGGTGTCAATCCCAGCGCGAATGGGGCCATTGACATGAAAGGGAAGATGGCGGCCGGAGTCAGCGTCGGCGGCTCTGGAGGTACGCGTTCGCTTTCTCCATTTCTGCTGTTTCATTCGCCGATCATATGTTCAGGCCCGACATCAATCTTGACTGTTGCCGACGATCTGCTCAAGAACGACGGTCGCAAATTTCTGGAGATGATGGAACAGCTGGTACGTTATGTTCTACTTTGCGAGTGGAGCTCAAGCTTAAGATAACCTCCAATCAGGCCGAGCGCCGACTAGCGCGTGAAGAAGAGGCTGCAGATGGCATCAGCGGGGACGACGACGAGTCAGGCTCATCGGTCGGTGGCGAATCGGACGATGACGACGACGGGGATGACTCGGAGGAGGGTTCCGAGGACCTCGACGAAGAAGAAGATGATGAACAGGAAGTCGACGATGGGGAGTCGGTGTCCGGGACCGATCGGTCCGAGCTTTCTGATGAGGAGGAAGAGGACGACGAGGAAGACGATGAGGATGATGACGACGAGTCCGACGACGATGAGGACGAGCCGCTGACCGAAGATGAGAAGATCAAGGAGGGTAAGCGGATGTTCAGCATCTTCGCCGCGCGAATGTTCGAGCAGCGAGTCCTGCACGCGTATCGGGAACGAGTCGCACAGGAAAGGCAGCTGCAGCTCATTCGAGAGCTCGAAGACGAGGACGAGCGCAAACGGGAGAACGAGGCGAAGAAGCAGAATGTCAAGAACAAGAAGAAGGACAAGAAGAAGTGCGTCGATATGGTGGCTTTCCGTTTGGTGCTTCGTCTGATGACGGGTGATTGACAGGCAGCAAAAGGCCGCGAAAGAGGAGAAAGAGGCACTCAAAGCCAAGGAGAAGGCTGCGGAGGAAGCGGCTGCGAAGGAGAAACAGGCGGCACTGGAGGACGAGCAGCGAAAGCGCCGAGACGAGGAACGTAACAAACGCAAGGCTGCTGAGGACGAGCGCAAACGCAAGGCTGCGGAAGATGCTGAGCGAGAGCGGAAGAAGGTGCGAGAGCGAGAGGAGGCGCGCAAGGAGAAGGAACGGAAGGAGAAAGAAGCAAGAGAGGAGAAGGAGCGGGAGCGAGAGCGAGAACGGGAGAAGGAGAAGGAGAAGGAGAAGGCCGCTGCAGCGGCTCTCGCAGCCCAGCGCGCAGCCGCAGCCGCTGCCAAGGCATCCGCCGCCAACCAAGTGCCATCATCATCGTCCTCCTCCTCTCGGCCGAACGGCATTACTGCCTCCCCGTCATCATCGGCCGTCCCGCCGAAAAAGATCATTCTCAAGGCATCGACTTCCTCGTCTTCATCGTCGTCGGTCATGTCGCCCGCGGTCACTCCCACCCGTCCGACTCCACGGACCGTTGCTCCGCCTACGCCAGTCACTCCGTTGATCTCGCAGGCCGCGATTGGCATTCCGCCGCCGACACCGCAGACGCCCATCGCGGCTCATGCGCCAGTGCATGCATACGCGGCCCAAACACAGAATCCAGCATCTCCTCGAACAGCGTTTTCGTCGTCGTCGTCGTTTGGGGGTGTTCCCTCATTTGGACACGGTGCTCCGAGTGTTCAGGTTGCCCAACATCAGGCGCATCAGATTGGGCATCAGCAACCGATTGGGCATGGCCTGGGAGTGCATCACCCTCAGCAGTCACAGCACAATATGCATCACCATCTCACGCAGCTGCATCACCCAATTGGACACCAGCACCCGATCGGACACAACGCGATCGGGCAGCCGCAACATCCGGGGCTCGGAGTGATAGGCCAACACCCGCATTTCGTGGGGATGCAGCAGCAGCAGCATCCAATATCGCTCGCAGCCGGGATTCCCTCGCCCATCGGTCCGCCGCCGAAGCAACTCGCCCCCGGTGCCGGCCGGCGCGCATCGCTGGGCCCCGGCAGCGTGATTGGCAGTGGCATCGGCCTGGCCGTGTCGCCTCCCACACCCATTGGACGACCGACGCCGATCGCTCGGCCCGACATCGGGACACGGATGGGCGGCCGCAACCGGTCTCCGAGCCCGAAGACCCTCGGCTCGTCGGCGCTGTTGGCAGACGACGATGAGCTCGTTGTGCCCGTGCGCCGGGGCGCCAATGTCGGTGTCGGGTGGGGCGTACCTGTTGCCGGTGGCGGCGGGTGGAATCACCCAGGGGGAGGTGGTAGCGGCAGTGTGCCGGGTGGAGGGGGCTTTTTTGGCCGCTCGGGGCAGTGATATGTTTGTTTTGCTGACATAGTTACTCACGTACTTACTGACTCACCCAAGAAGCTAGTACTGTCAGTAGTCAGTCTCCTTTTCTGTTTGTCTTCGCAAATGTCTTTTCGTACGCAGCGTGCATCCGTGTGGAAATCATACCTTGATCTAGGTCACTTGAAGCGGAAAGTTGGCACGTGCCCGAGCGGAGGATCTGCACGTGCAAGATGTCAGCTGCACAATCCACGGGCGGTGTTCCGGCTTCCCATCACCTTGACGTTCGTGCAGCTTCGCTGCGATATCCCCCTGTGCGCCGTTGATGACCCTATTCCCGAAGCATCGCGTTCTCTAATATCACGCTTGACAACGCTGACGATCCAAGCGAAGGTCGCTCGATGGCCTGCCAACACAATGTGACAGGATGCCATCAATGAGCGATAATGCAACACGTAACGGTTGGCGTCACACAGCTCTTTTCTACCAAAGCCCTCCCAAAGCCACGCCCAGGCCTTTTTTATGGAGTATCGTTTTCCTGAATTCCTATGGAATGGGAAGTGAGGGTTTGACTCTCGGGACGTAGCATATCCATGATCATCTCGCACCGGTGCTTTGAGGCCGGTGGTCACAACCGACTCTCTTGTCCCATGTATGATCCACAGCTCACAGCAAATGGGGGGGCCATGGCGGGGCTACGCCTTCTCTGGAGACAGGGCTGGTGATCATTCAACTGTCGGGCTCGAGGGCTTGGGTCAAAGCGCTGATCCTTGATAAACAAAGCGCGCCGTGAACACATGCTATAAAGAGCGGTGTTGGGTGCACTCACACGGCACCGACCCTCGAAAAGCCCAATTTCGTCTTCGTTTGTATCCACCACACCTGGATTGCACAATGGCCGCTCTGTCGAATGTTCAAGCTGCCCGCCGCTCGAGTTCTTCATCGCGCAGTTCATCATCCTCAGCCACACCGCGCACCGCCGGCACGAGAAATGCACCGCGAACGAAACACGAGCCAGCTTCTCGAGTCTCGCAGTCTACCTCGCCATCGCGAACGAACCAGACTGACGATGCAGCATCGCCGACTCCTCCTGCTCACTCTGCCAGTCCATCGCCGGGGGTGGGATTCGACGTGCGTAAAGCCACCGCGCAGTGTCGGAAAATCGAGGGTTATGTCAGCTTTGCTTCAGTCGAAGGACTGGGCGGGCCACCGACAGGTCAGTCACGGTTCACCCTGTCTTCCTCATCCCCACCCCCCTCGTCCCGGTTCTTTTGGCTGAGTTTCGGGATCATGCTTGCCTTTCTATGTATGTGCTGCATACTCATATACTGAGTTTAGGTCCAGAGGATGATGGGAATGCGGGGGGACGTGGGGATAGGAATGGGAATGGAAGCGCGCAAAGTCCGAGTTTGGGAAGGATAGCGGGGTCGAAGATCGCAGAGATGTTCAAGAATGGGTTGTGGTGACGTTGTCGGCTCTGTTGGCTCGAAGTGTATTGAATTTTTTGTTTCTCTATCAATGTCACCGAGCTTCCTGGCACGTTCGATGCAATTGTACTGCAGGTACGGATAGGTGCTACGAATGAGCAACAATCCTGACTTTGTGAACGTCCCGGATCACTTTCTGTTTGATTCATCACTCACGTGAAAGACGACCAACAAGCTATTCAGGCGTGCGACGCGGTGCTTTGTCATGCGACCACGACTCCCACCGGAACTCGAATACCGGATACTCCGCGAGGTGGCAGTTGGGTTGTTGGGAAGCCGCAAGAATATCATCGCGCTCCTCCTGGTCTGTCATCGCGCACACATTTGGTGCGCACAGCTGGCTAACATTGGAAGACAATGTTCCATACGATTTCGCAGGATCGAACCTGTGTTGTACACCACCATATGCACGTCACACCAGGGCACAAGCAATGCTGTTCTCCGTGTCCTGAACTCTCGCCCGCCACACTTCCTCGCCGCTACACGCCATCTCTTCATCGCGGAGAACACAGACTGGGACTTGCACACGGTGGAACGCGTCCTCGCGAAATGTGTCAATCTGCAGGATCTCTTCATCCCGCAACATCTCTGTCGCCCCTCACTGATCCCCCTCCTCAGTCCGATGCCGCTCGAAAGTCTTTCGGCCTGGCTGCAGCCGCTCTTTGGGCTATCAGAGGGATCTGACTGGTCGGCACAGCCAATCCTCATGCGGCTGCGACGTCTGGAGATATGCGGCCCGATGTTCAAGCTCGCGTCCACTCTCACCCCGCATCGATTCTTTCGCGGGCTCGCGCAGCTCTCAAACCTGGAAACGATCGCCTTCCACGGTTCGCTTTCGGCGACCGATCTCAGCCATTTTCTCTCCAATCCGCAGGATCAGTTGCATAGCGTTGCCGTGCTTTTCAAGTCTTCTTCGAATAGGGTGGCTCAGCATATCTTGCACGACCAGTTTCGGATTGTACGGAGCGATAGATTCGTGCTGACATTCGAATACACGGCGTACGACGAGGACTGGGAGAAAAGGGTGACGGGCAGGCCCTGCTTCTGGGACGCAGCGGATCGGTTCGTGAGGCGGAAACGCATCGGGGATGTGGCTGGTGAGTTCGGTTCAGATTCGATAGCCGTTCGTGGTGCGGCCTGGCTTACTGAGAACGGACTAGCGAGTCGTCGGATTCTGAGCAGCTGGAAGTAGCCATCCATCGCTGTCATGGTTTCGCCCCACTGTACTGCATGTTTACTTGCAATGGCCTACCGATATGCTGGTGCCAATCAATGATGAACGAGCAACAGGCCCTTCCATACCTCTTATCTGTTCTAATTTGAACATGCGATTTTCTTGGTTCTCCTTTCCTGAATTTCAGGCATATTACTGATTGCGTGAGATGCTCTCCTGTAGAATAACAGCAGCCCATAACCAGGACTAATAATTCGTTGCGCATCGGTAGTCGTTGCGTTTCACTTGCTCAGAATTTTCATTGAGAGCGGGGAGGCGAGATGTGCCACGGCAGGTAAAGCCGATACCGTCGATTGTACCAGGCTGAAACTCATTCGATCGCAAGTGTGCCGTCTTGTGCCGTACAGCATTCCTGTCGTATCTATTTTCCACACATGTGTTGACTAAGATGCATGCATTTCCTGGTTCCTGGAGCCAAGGGAATTGCCAAAAAAGCCAAACATTTACTTATGAACGCATGATTCCATCTCCAGAAGACTGGGATAGGATTGACAAAACTTGTTTCGACTCGATCCGAGAGGAGGATCCAAGCGAGGCTTCAAAACTTGATTCGCCTCGGGATCGAACCGAGGACCTCTCGCGAACATAGAAGACCTAATCGAAAGACATGTACTTTCCTGTGAAGCGAGCGTTATAACCACTAAACTAGCGAACCATGCTGAGTCAGCAGGACCTGGGTGTTCACACACCGTAAGTTGTGCATTAAACAGATCCGATACGTAAGTACAAGGAAACTGCTGCATGCAGAATTGAAATCGCGCATTGCGTTGCGGGGCATGTGTGTGCACATGGTATCCGGCATTCTAGCTTCGTACGGCCTAGGCATCAAATCCATCGGAGCTATTCTCCAACTCATGGCCCGCCCCCCTAAGCTATTGCACGATACGATGGGCCCTGGATGTATTTCGATTTCACTGCCGGTGTTTGTCGTTTTTCTCTAGCATACATCACAGGCTGATAAGTATACGTACAGTAGACAGGGCCCCGCTGTCCCGCACCTGCATTCATGCATCCATAATATATATCGGCGCTCGAAGATTTACACAGTCAAATAACCCAATAAATAAATACCTAACATACATACACAGCCGGACCGCACACACAGCTCACACCTCACACATCCCCATCCCCAAGCCCCACATTGACCTTCTCCGCACTGCGCGACACATGGCCGTTACTCCGGAGCCGCAGCTCAAGCCCGTTCCCCTCCTCGTCGAACTTGGTCTCGCGGTCCGCGATGCTGGTGACGCCGCCGGAGGACGTCGCGCCGATCGTGGTGGAGGTGATGCCGGCGGCGTTGACGGCGCGGATGTGAAACGTCGAGATGATGTCCGTCGCGGGGCCGCTGTCGAGCACGGCGTACTTGGAGTGCGAGAGGACGACGAGGCTGGTCGGGTATATGCCCTGCGGGGGAGGCAGTCCGGTTAGCTGCTCCGGATCATCGGGATGCGTTTGGGGATGCGCACGATGATGACGCTCGAACAGTACGTGTAGATCTTGAAAGCGAGCGAGAGGAACGGGCTCGCGTCGATCCACGCGTGCGGGATCGGCGCGACCTCGATCACAAGCGCAACCTGCGGGGGGCTCAGGACCTGCGCGCGGCGGAGGGGACGCAACGCACGAAGAAGAACAGGTACACCAGGCCGGACTCGACCAGCAACAGCAGGATCTCAGCGACGGGATTCCGCGCGCTCGTGCGCCGGGACGAAGTCAGCAGCTGCGTCGCATGCGCGTACCGCCTGCCCGGGGGTTCAACAACCGTGCATGGCGTGGATCGCGTACAGGAAGGGGGGACACGTACCACGCGGTGAGGGCGATGAGCACGGTGGCAATCGCCGTGGTCGCACACGGCAGCACATACGTCACCGTCTGTGCGTTCCTGCACAGGGCCGGGTTCTGGAACGTGCCGAGAACGATGTCGGAGCCGACGACCGCGACACAGTACGTCAGCATGAACGTCCCGACTGGGTGGTAAATCATTCTTCGATCAGCGCGCGTGGGGTTGCTACACCAGGAGAGGTGAATCACCTGCAGAGCCGATCCACGCTCCGATGAGAACGAGGAAGATCCAGACATAGCGGTAGGCTCTGAGCTTCCACACCCGATGTATGATGATCGCGTCCCCCAGCAGGGTCTATCTGCCCGTCAACGGGGACGGAATTCTCCTCGATGGGAAAGCTCACCAGATACGCGAAGATAGCGTCCTGCACGGCCGCGACCTTCAGCACCACCTTGAGCGCCTCGCCGAAATTCTCGCCGATATCGCCGTCTGGGTGGAGTACGAGCGAGAGCTTGGCCTCGCTGATGAATCCGACCATGTCGAGCACCCACTGCACGATTGCGCCGAAGTACAGAATGAGGATGCCGAGCAGATAGAACCGGGAGGTCCATGAGCTGCGCCGGGACTTGTCGCTGGAGGGAGGGACAGTCAGGGGTTATCACCAGCTACGAACGGGAGCGGAGGAGCGGACGCACAGGAGGAGCACGCAGGCCTGGAAGACGATGATCGTGTAGATCGCTGCCCTTGATCAATATGCATGCGACTGGTGTCTCTCCGCCGCGACCTACTTATCCACACCGTCTCGTTCATAATCGACACGAATATCTGGATCCAGTCGAGCCCGAGCCCGTGCAGGGTCGCAGCTTCCTCGGGCGTGAGTTGCGTCATGGGGGAACTAACTGGGGGGCAGAGCCGTCAGCGCAAGCAGAGCTCTATTTGTATCGGGGATGCATGAGAGAGAAGTCCCCTCCGTGGCATGGGATAACACACCTGGGTCAAGTGGAGATACGATGACGATCTCAGAAGTGATCCCCCGCGCGCGCCCTTCCTTTCTTGTCCTCCGCGCAAAATCACGTGCAAGCGTACTCGTATACGAAGTGTTCCCGCCCCTCCAATAAGCGACGCCGAGCGTGCGGTCGTTCGACGGTTCGGGCAGACAACGGAGGACGAGCGCGAAGAAAGAGCAATAAGCGAGACCAGCGCACCGCGTGCAAATCAGGGTCCCTGTCAGCGGTTGACAAAGAGCAGGGATGGGACAGATGAAGGACGTCCATCCAAGTTCTCGCGCATCCCTGCAAGTCAGCCAACCTGCGGCTGCAGCCTATCAAGTGCGACGAGATGCCTACCGCCGATAAAAGTAGATTCAACAATCAAGACGACGTATGTAGTGGACTGCCAGGTGCGGGTCCTGTGCGGACGGGCCACGTCTGGGCTGGTTGCGGTGCTGGGTAGATGGCTGTCAGCATGGGATATAGAACCGATACAGAGGCGCCGGAGCCATGGAGGTTCAGACTACTTTCTGGGTATCGAAGCAGCGCGCGTGATCAGGGAAGCTGATGACCGGTACCGAGGAACTTGCGAGTCACGTGTACTTTTGCTTTCGCTTCAGCCAAGTATGGTGTGCTCTGCAACGCACTAGGTAGGCCGAACAGCAGGCAGTGATCAGACGCTGCGGTCAAATCATCCCGATAACACGCAAAGCAGCTGACGAGAAAATCCATTCGAAGGTAGCTACTGTATGTATGCACAATACTGAGGGGAAAGTTTCTCGAATTGCCGCGTGCTCAATCTTACCTCAAGGCGCCGGAACTAGAGTCGTCAACACAAAACCGACAAGGCCCAACCACCACGACATCGACTGTACCCGCCACGCAGCCGAAGCCTTCGACGACGTCGTTGTAGGCGCTGCGGACGTCGTCGTCAAAACGGTGCTTCCTCCTGCCGTCTGCGCCCCACTCCCAGTCGTCGACGCCGACGTCTGACTCGCTGCCCCTGTCGCCCCGCTAGAAGCACTCGATGACGCTCCTGACCCCGCACTGCCGCTGAGGCCGACACACGGCGCCTGCTGCGCGACGAAAAACTCGTCCGAGAGCGTGCTGAACGAGCCCGTGCTTGCGGGTCCCGTGGCAGTAAAGTTGAGCCGGAGCTGCGCGCGTGAGCCTTTATCCTCTTCACGGTCCGTTACGCGCGCTGCGTGCTCACCTTCCACGTCCCCGGGAGCACTGTCACGTTTTTCGTCGCGTACGGCACGATGCTGGGATCGATGATGATGCCGTGGTTGACGGCCTGCGCGGGCGTCGCGAAGCCCGTGTCGACGTTCACGGCCTCGAGTGTCGGATTGACCATGTCGCGCAGCTACACCGCGTTCGAAATACCCAACTAGTCAGCAAGCCTGTTGTCGCCACCGCAGAGTATAAACAAGCTCACATCAAACAGCAGATCCACGAGCGTCAACACACTCCCAATCAGACCCAGCGCCCCGCCCAGATCGGTCTGCGTGAACACCGCGCCCGCGGCCGGCTGCGTGAGCCGCACGGGGCTGTACCGCGCGTCCGCCAGGCCCGTCACCGGCACGTACGCGCCCGGCGTCGTGCACGCGAAGCTCTCGTCCGCGAGCGTGATGTTCGTCGTCACGGACCGGAATGTGACGTTCGTGCCGGTCGGGCTGACGGTGCCGTTCATGCGGATGTGGTACAGGCCTGCGGGGGTCTGGCCGCACGTGTGTGTGAGCGGGCGGGACCTGGTTTTAGAGGGTCGGGCGTACGGAGGAATGCACGAAGTAGGAGAACTGATTCCCGGTTTGTCGGCCTTCCACGCCTGCGGAGAGCTCGCTGAGTGGGCTGAGGAACTCGTCACCAAAGGTTCGCACCGATCAGATCAGCCACCGTCTGGCCGTTGTCTGTCCACTTTCTCAGCTCGCAGACACAACAAGCCACCCGTTTACAATCTCACCTTCCGATCTCCCCGCCATCAGCTCATACGTGATATTTTGCAGCTGCAACAAATGAGCGCGCCGCAAAAAAAAAAAAGTGGGGGGCTCAGACGCGCACCGAGTGTCCCTGCACCGCGTCGAAGATGTACGTGAAAACCACCGGGTCGATTCCCCCGAAGGCCGTCTGGATCGTGTCCGGGACCGTGATGTTCGCGATTTTGTCGCTGCCTTGCGCGAGCGCAAAGCGCGCGAGGACGAGCACAAGCGCCGTGGCGACGTGCATAATGCTGGGGGCGTTCGGCTAGCTCACATCCCCAAGACGAGTATGCATACTACTTATAATACTGTTGCGTGTGAGCGTATAAAGCATCTGCCCCACGTTCTGCGCACTGTGCGACAGTCTGATGGACAGATGAACCTGCGGTCAATTTCGTTTGTCAACGTCACTATCGCACCAGGTTGGCTGGGTTCCAGGTCCGCTGAAGCCCCTGGCTCATATGAGCAGGGGACTCTGCCCGAGGAGGAGCCCAGAGCCAGAGCGCAGGCCAACACCATCCGGGGTCGATGTTGTTCTTCTGCATTGATGATCACAGGAAGCCGCTCAGAAGGGCAGGCACGTCACCCACGATCGGAAACCTTACGACAAGCGAACGTTCCACGCTGATAAGCATACATACATAAGTAGTCCTCAATCACGAACTGTCCATCTACGTGTCACCCGTCGTGCCACATGTGAGTCATCATCGTTGGAACGACTTTCCCTGCTTATGTAGAGCCCGGACTGCCGGGTGAGAGCCAAAAACAGTGCAGTGCCGGCTCAGGTTTCAGTTCGATCACACAGGTTGTAATATTAATAGCCCCCGAGAAATACCAACCGCTTGTGAATTCCTAAGCGGTCCGGGTTCATCTGGAAGGATGTGCAACACGGGTAAGGACTCTGGGAAAGTCCTACATATACACATACGACTCGCAGAACCTGGAGTTCATCTAGTCGACATGACAACACCTGAGCGAGCTTTATTATGGAAACTGGCTCCATGACATCGCCCCCGATAATGCGGCGAAATGCTCGGTGCTAGGTTGGACAATTTTTGGTGGAGATTGGGTGGAACACCAAGCCGAAGATGATAGGTGGTTGGACAAAGCTAGTTTGAGTGATGGGTGCCGCACCTCGGGGTTACAGTAGGGTCGGACAATATGTAGCCTGGTTGAATAGCACTTGTGCCGCCCATTGCTCATGTGACTCTTGAATCGACCCCAGCTCAATTCTACTATGCCTTACATGCTAACTTTTATTCAGTTTTTCAGTTGTCATGCGTGTTAGCTTGAGAAAAAGAAAGGGACCCATTGACGGGTTGGACGAAAATTCCGGAGCCTGTGGCCTATTGGAAAAACGCGGGGGCGTCGGCCCATATTGAGGCTGAAATTTGGGCGCATTATTGAGAATCATGCTCTGCTGTGTGCATACCGCAAGAGCGGACAAGTGTCTCGATGCAAGCTTCTGCCACCACAAGCACGCCTCAGATGCCAGAGAAGAGGGCCGAAAGTACCCGCACAACACCTTGATTGCGAAAGAGTATCACACGATCTGTTATTCACGTATAGGTGCAGTGCAATAGCAGTGGGTATGCTACAATGGTCAGTAGAGCAGTGCTCTACGTGACCATCAAACTTAACCGAGATACTCCGGTACCGGACACATCGAGTCACGGTCGGAGGGTTCCGAGAGTATCCTGAGGCGTCGACCCGTCAGACAACAGGAGGGACATGACATCTGGTAATTTGGGCACCTAAGGAACATCCGCCGCGGAGGGTACCCCCCCTGTTAGGGGTCAAAATTCGACTGATTTGGGTACCTAACAGGGGGGGTACCCTCCGCACTTTTGGCCATCCTCCGCACCAAAACCTCCGCAAATGGGTGCCAAGCATCCGCAACAAGCCCTGTAACCAGCTGCGGATCCATCCGCTCCTGGCTCTCCCCGTGATCGTTGTGATGCCATCATGCAGGCCATCCACGGACCATGTCATGTGACTGTTCTCCAGTGCGGAACCCTCCGCATTTCTTGCTCTTTTATTTTTTCAGTTCTAGCCTGTATATATTGCTTCACTGTGGACTTGAGCCTTCTGTAGCCAATGTATGCAAGTGCTTTTGACTCCCAAATGATTATAGCTGCTTCAAAGACCTCTATGTGCAGCAAACAAAGAGTGTTAGTTGGGCCAATTCAGTGCTTGGGCTGTGCGGATGCTCTGCATTGTTTCTGGATTGCTAAATGGGTTGCTCAGAACCTTAATGCGTAGGATAAACATAGAACGCAAGCTTCTCAGATGCTGCCAGGTTCCTTAGAACCCAGGTAGGCCTCTCCAGCACCCACAGCAGCTGAAACGTGTGCCATGCGGATGCATCCGCCACCTGCTGTCCAGGGCCAGATTGGGGTAGGCCCTGCTCAGCACAGGCTCTGTGGACAGTTTAAATTACAGACGATCACCTGCTATGATGGGTGCATGCAGCCAGGCTCCTCTCACATTGACAGCAGCTTAAAAGTGTGCCATGCAGATGCATCCGCCACCTGCTGTCCAGGGCCAGATTGGGGTAGGCCCTGCTCAGCACAGGCTCTGTGGACAGTTTAAATTACAGACAATCACCTGCTATGATGGGTGCATGCAGCCAGGCTCCTCTCACATTGACAGCAGCTTGAGAGCATGCTATGCAGATGCATCCGCCACCTGCTGTCCAGGGCCAGATTGGGGCAGGCTCTGCTTGGCACAGGCTTTGTAGACAGTTAAAATTGCACACTGTTAGCTGCTATAGTCGGTGCATGCAGCCAGTATCCTCCTGCATCAACCACAGCTTGAATATGTGCTGTGCAGATGCATCCGCCCCCTGCGGTCCAGAGCCAGATTTCAGCACAGGCCCTGCAGACTCTTTGGCCTGGGGTCGCCCTCTGCATCAGAGCTCTGCAGATGCAGCCCAATCATCTGCAGCAGGCTCTAAAAACATCTGCTGATCCATCCGCATCTCATTTTACTGGTGATGCCCTTGATGGCATCATTTTGGTGCATTGCAGATGGTCCTTGAACATCCGCACAGGGATTTGATGGGTCCTGCGGATCCATCTGCACTCAAAATAATCTTTGCAGGCCCTGCTTCTTCTACGTGAATGGCCTGAAGAGCCTCTGAAACATTGTTCATCTGGTGCACAAATGGATCTGCACATTGGAATGGGGGCTGTGGCTCTGTCCCACAAGCCAATCTTATGCAGCATATATCTACTGACATTTTAGCCAGTGCACCGAGCTCCAGAGGCTCTGGGGACATCCAGAGCACACAAGGAAATGAACTGCTGATGCATCTTCAGCCAAATTGGCCAGCTAAATATGTGGCTGCTGCCCAGACAGCCCAAATACATTACATCACTTGAATGAATAATGCTATTGACCAATACAATTCATTACACAATTTCTGGAAGGGATATTGCATGGAATTTGATATGTAAGCAAGCCAAACAGTGATTCTCCTATCTGCGGATGCTATTTCAACCATCCGCAGAAGCATCTGCAGCAGCTAGTGACATGGTTGCGGATGTGTCACATGACCCTCCGCAGTCTCTTTGTGGGACATATCTGCTCAATATAGCCTCAATGGATGTCCTCTGTCTCTGCAGCATGTATCTAAGATGTCTTTTTTGCTACCTGCATAGTTCTATCAACAATAGGAAATTTATCTGTCCTGCACAGGATTTTAAATTCTTTGCACCATAATTGTTGCTCATATACAGGTCGGATAAGCTCAGCTGTCCCATTAGGGAATCGAAACTTGTCAGAGACAAGCTATAAGCCAGCAGACACTGAACCTGGAAAGAACCTATCTGTACAATATAAAAAAAGTGAATTGAACATGATTCATATTTCAAGCTTTACACATTCATACATGTCTTGCAATTCAAGGGCCAAGACTTTAAGACACAGCATTCAATGTTTTGAGCTCAGAAAAGTCTCTTAGATCAAAAATATTTTCGATTTTGGTCAATGAGCAGGTTGAGCTCAGTACTACCATAGGAAACTGTGTTCAGGTCATGGCACTTTTCTGCATGACAAAAATATTTTCCTCAGTGAGCTGAATCGAGTTTATATTCGAGATGGGGCATATCTAAATAGCATCTGAACAAATTCTGAGCAGGATCGCAGCATCACAGCTTTCTTCAGTGCAAGTTTGAATGATCCGCAGATGCATCCGCAAGATCAACATTTCAAAATTGTGTCCCTGTGAAGGCTATGATGCTGCGATCCTGCTCAGAATTTGTTCAGATGCTATTTAGATATGCCCCATCTCGAATATAAACTCGATTCAGCTCACTGAGGAAAATATTTTTGTCATGCAGAAAAGTGCCATGACCTGAACACAGTTTCCTATGGTAGTACTGAGCTCAACCTGCTCATTGACCAAAATCGAAAATATTTTTGATCTAAGAGACTTTTCTGAGCTCAAAACATTGAATGCTGTGTCTTAAAGTCTTGGCCCTTGAATTGCAAGACATGTATGAATGTGTAAAGCTTGAAATATGAATCATGTTCAATTCACTTTTTTTATATTGTACAGATAGGTTCTTTCCAGGTTCAGTGTCTGCTGGCTTATAGCTTGTCTCTGACAAGTTTCGATTCCCTAATGGGACAGCTGAGCTTATCCGACCTGTATATGAGCAACAATTATGGTGCAAAGAATTTAAAATCCTGTGCAGGACAGATAAATTTCCTATTGTTGATAGAACTATGCAGGTAGCAAAAAAGACATCTTAGATACATGCTGCAGAGACAGAGGACATCCATTGAGGCTATATTGAGCAGATATGTCCCACAAAGAGACTGCGGAGGGTCATGTGACACATCCGCAACCATGTCACTAGCTGCTGCAGATGCTTCTGCGGATGGTTGAAATAGCATCCGCAGATAGGAGAATCACTGTTTGGCTTGCTTACATATCAAATTCCATGCAATATCCCTTCCAGAAATTGTGTAATGAATTGTATTGGTCAATAGCATTATTCATTCAAGTGATGTAATGTATTTGGGCTGTCTGGGCAGCAGCCACATATTTAGCTGGCCAATTTGGCTGAAGATGCATCAGCAGTTCATTTCCTTGTGTGCTCTGGATGTCCCCAGAGCCTCTGGAGCTCGGTGCACTGGCTAAAATGTCAGTAGATATATGCTGCATAAGATTGGCTTGTGGGACAGAGCCACAGCCCCCATTCCAATGTGCAGATCCATTTGTGCACCAGATGAACAATGTTTCAGAGGCTCTTCAGGCCATTCACGTAGAAGAAGCAGGGCCTGCAAAGATTATTTTGAGTGCAGATGGATCCGCAGGACCCATCAAATCCCTGTGCGGATGTTCAAGGACCATCTGCAATGCACCAAAATGATGCCATCAAGGGCATCACCAGTAAAATGAGATGCGGATGGATCAGCAGATGTTTTTAGAGCCTGCTGCAGATGATTGGGCTGCATCTGCAGAGCTCTGATGCAGAGGGCGACCCCAGGCCAAAGAGTCTGCAGGGCCTGTGCTGAAATCTGGCTCTGGACCGCAGGGGGCGGATGCATCTGCACAGCACATATTCAAGCTGTGGTTGATGCAGGAGGATACTGGCTGCATGCACCGACTATAGCAGCTAACAGTGTGCAATTTTAACTGTCTACAAAGCCTGTGCCAAGCAGAGCCTGCCCCAATCTGGCCCTGGACAGCAGGTGGCGGATGCATCTGCATAGCATGCTCTCAAGCTGCTGTCAATGTGAGAGGAGCCTGGCTGCATGCACCCATCATAGCAGGTGATTGTCTGTAATTTAAACTGTCCACAGAGCCTGTGCTGAGCAGGGCCTACCCCAATCTGGCCCTGGACAGCAGGTGGCGGATGCATCTGCATGGCACACTTTTAAGCTGCTGTCAATGTGAGAGGAGCCTGGCTGCATGCACCCATCATAGCAGGTGATCGTCTGTAATTTAAACTGTCCACAGAGCCTGTGCTGAGCAGGGCCTACCCCAATCTGGCCCTGGACAGCAGGTGGCGGATGCATCCGCATGGCACACGTTTCAGCTGCTGTGGGTGCTGGAGAGGCCTACCTGGGTTCTAAGGAACCTGGCAGCATCTGAGAAGCTTGCGTTCTATGTTTATCCTACGCATTAAGGTTCTGAGCAACCCATTTAGCAATCCAGAAACAATGCAGAGCATCCGCACAGCCCAAGCACTGAATTGGCCCAACTAACACTCTTTGTTTGCTGCACATAGAGGTCTTTGAAGCAGCTATAATCATTTGGGAGTCAAAAGCACTTGCATACATTGGCTACAGAAGGCTCAAGTCCACAGTGAAGCAATATATACAGGCTAGAACTGAAAAAATAAAAGAGCAAGAAATGCGGAGGGTTCCGCACTGGAGAACAGTCACATGACATGGTCCGTGGATGGCCTGCATGATGGCATCACAACGATCACGGGGAGAGCCAGGAGCGGATGGATCCGCAGCTGGTTACAGGGCTTGTTGCGGATGCTTGGCACCCATTTGCGGAGGTTTTGGTGCGGAGGATGGCCAAAAGTGCGGAGGGTACCCCCCCTGTTAGGTACCCAAATCAGTCGAATTTTGACCCCTAACAGGGGGGGGTACCCTCCGCAGGGGATGTTCCTTAGGTGAATTTGGGCGACCGCAGCAGCCCAATGCACTGCACCTCATCTCTTTCTCTCGCCCGACACCCTAGTCCTCAATACCTTCCACATAGCGCTAACGATGGCTGCACTTGCAAATGATTACGACTATATTTTCAAGGTTGTCATTATTGGAGACTCTGGAGTGGGAAAATCGTGAGTGTGCCGTGTCAGCTTGATTTTAACGCCTACTGAGGCATGATGCAGGAATCGTGAGTCCGAGCCATTATCTAGCCCGTTGGACGCATGTGCAACCAACACAGTCCTCTCCCGCTTTGCGCGCGACGTATTCGCCTACGACTCGAAATCCACCATCGGCGTCGACTTCACGACGCACGCCATGCTCATCCCGCCGCACAGAGTGGCGACCCAGCTGTGGGACACCGCGGGGCAGGAGAAGTACCGCGTCATCACGGCCGTGTACTTCCGCGCCGCGGCCGGCGCGCTGCTCGTCTACGACATCACGAGCCGCGCGTCATTTTCCGCGGTCGAGCGGTGGCTCGGCGAGGTGCGCGACTATGCGGACGCCGGCGCAGTGGTCATGCTGGTTGGGAACAAGACCGATCTGGCGCATCTCAGGGCCGTTTCGACAGAGGAGGGGCGGATGTTCGCAGGTGCGTGCTGCAATCAATAGCTGCACTTGCGCAGCATGTCTGAGCTTTACAGAAAAACACAGCCTACTGTTTCTCGAGACGTCAGCCCTGGATGCTTCTAACGTCGAGAGCGCGTTCAAGATGGTTATCACAGGTGCAGCCTTGATTTATCTTAAGAGCTGTGATCTTTTAGCTGATCCACGCGCAGAGATACACAGCATTGCTGCCTCGAAATCGTTGGAACAGGCAGATGACGATGGGACACGACCTGGCAGGGGCACCGTCGTGGATCCAACTCGGGACCAGAGGCTAGCGACAAAAAGCCGATGCTGCTAGCAGTTTATGGCGGTGAACACCTCTCGCCGCTCCAATCATCATCATCGATCTTCCCTACAGTAGTGTGAATTTGTCTCGGTCTCCACCAGACTTTACTTACCGGCTTGAGAGACTGGCTTGCGATGGCTTGTCGCTGCTGTCGGAGTTTGAATTTGGCTGACGGGGCTTGGCTTGCGTGATGCGGGCTTGGGCGTGGCTTGTGAGCAATTTCACCTCCTCATCGACACCGTTCTCGACGTCCCCGACGCCGTGGGCCTCCCAACGAAGTCGGGTCTCTTGTACTAAGTACTTCTCATATAATTAAGTGCTTCCCGACACCGTCCAATGTAAGAGAGCGCTTGGCGCTGACCTTGGCACTGATACAATCAGCGATGAAGCTGCGGTCAACGACGAGCATGGAAATTAAGTATTCGTAAACAAGAAAGTTATCTAATGAGCTGTAAGTCTTCAATATCCTACTTCTTTGAACTAGATCTCGTTTGGCGTGTCGTTGCCGGTGCTACCCCTGCTGCCTTGCGTCGCTTGAATTTCGGGTTCACTGGTCTCGGTTGCGGCCGTGGTCCAGGTTGAACATCTTCCCCTCGCTCCCTTGCGCGCTTGGGTACGACTGGAACCACCGCGCTCGTTGGTGCCACGCCTCCAATCCGGCGATAGGCGCGCAACTGAGTGTCCCGATCAAGCACACAATGTTGTTGCTTGAAATTGACTCGTTCTACGTGTCCTGCTTCCAGAATGTCATCGGAGGCGACCTCGGGCTTGTGTAAGCCATCCATCATTCGATGGATGCGTTCGATCTCCCAGTTCCATGCGATCTTCGAGCATTCGTAGTTCTCGAAGGTCTCCCCACCCACATCCAATGGCTCACCGAGCTCCCGTTGCATGAACAGTAAATGAAGTAGGACGGTTCCCACGGTGTGGACACGTTCATACCGATCTGCTTGAGGGAGCTTCTGGAATGTGGGGTCCTTGTAACACATCACCTGTCCCGCCGCGTCGCCCAGACAGCTTTCTAGTTCTCCTGTCATTCTGAGTTGCAGGGAATCAACAATCCAGCTCATTTCCTTCATGGCCCCAGATATCTTCTTGCCAGCTTGGCTTTCCGAGTACTTGAGCCAGGAGTTTACAACAGGATGTGCCCGGTCCCACGCAACGAGAGTTGCAACAATAGCAGGGATCGCACCTGTGAAGATTCCACGCAGATCCGACTCATTGTGGGCTTCGGAATCCGGATTTTGGGACCACGGAAGACGATATTTCCCGATCTGAAACATTGAAAATTCATTTTTTTTAATCCACATGCTCGAAACGCACCTTTGCGTGAGGAACCTTCCCCTGACCGCAGATCATGCGATAATACAAGACAGTGTTGCGCGGGAGGAAGAACGTCCCAAGAGGTTCCGGTCCTGAGACCACCAATTCAGACCATTGTAACTCGTATTCGTTCGATTGGGCCTGGCGATCAATGTGTCTTTTGACAACCACGGCAGGATAAATCCTGCTATAAACGTCGAGAGGATCAGCCATATTGGGATAAGTGACAGGGAGCACAGATCCGGGTTGGGGAACGTCGCACTCTCTGCACAGGAAGCGAACATTGTGCTGGGTCCAATCGACTGAGTCGTCAAGACACGCGGTATGTGACCACAGTTTGCAAGGGCCATCACACTGAATGATCTCGCCCTCGCCCTCCCCATCCTCTTTTGAATCGTCCGCATCGTCCCGTTCCTCGCCGCACCCATCACATCGAAGATGATTTGCTCCATCTGACATCTGAGAGCTCAGCAGCTCGTCTTCAGGCTGTGGGCCCAGATCAATCTCCATGTCGGATTTCGTCAGAAGAATGGATGGTGCTCGGAGAGGAACAGGGTCTAATGTGACGATTGGCGGCGGCAGCACGGATAATTGGGGGATAGGGCGCGGTGCAGTAGCTGGTTCGATGCTGTCGAGTAGGAATTGCTCGACAGCATCAATCGCGGCTTGCAGGCCTTCGCTTTCAGTGTCTGAGATCGAATCTGCCCCAGGTCTGGTTGGAGGCGTGTTTATCGCAGCTGGGATCTGAGAATCTGGGGTTTTCTTGATGTCAATGTGATGAGGATTATTGCGTGAATCGATGTTCGGAATGCGCCTGAAATCTTGCTCTATCTCTTGCTTTGTGCGAGAGAAACGCTAGGAACCGAATGAAGCGACGACCACATTCGGGTACATCATAGAGTATCATTTGCCAAAGAAATGGTGCCCGTAGTCAGTTGCAGGCCAGATTGTTGATCACAAGCCACTTGGCTGATGGCATCAGACAAAGTGGCTTGCCATCGGCAAGACGATAACGAGAAAGTGTCAGCTTTGACGACATATGCCTTGCTCGCTGATTCCAAGTGAAATACATCTGTCATATGTAACTAAGCGCCGGAAGATCTTGTCTCCTATTTTGGGGGCTCTTGTCTATATCAGGCACCACGGGCGACGTGACTTAGGGCTAGGTGGCGGCGCAAGCTGAGACTCGATGATGCGAATTTTGACAATAGCAGCAGAGGGGGCAATGAATACTGCCGAGTTTTTGGTGTAGCCAAGCTGTTGACAACTCAAAAGCCGTAAAGTTCGCATCATCTCAGCTCCCGAAGGGTTGAGGTCCACCCAGGAAGTTCTCTGCTGACGTGATCCATGGGACCATATCTGTACGACCTTCCCGGGGATCTCAGGGCTCTTAGATAGTTGCCAACACTCATTGATAAGTAGATTGATCGAAATATTTTTTGGCTGGACACAAGCCAAAATGTTGGCTTGGCAAGCCAACCAATTGGCTTGCAAGCCCTGATGGCATCATTTTACTGCCAAATCCACGCCCAAGCCAAAAAAAGCCATTCTGCGCTGGTACAAGCCACTTGGCCAAGCCGAAAACGTCACTCTCGGTCTCCACAGTATATGAATGTTTTTTTCGTGGAAACGCCGTGTGAAAGAAGATATACGTCCCGATAGCACCAAGGGTGAGTTGACGACCCCGCAGATCATTCAGTTGGGTAAGCACTCGCCATAAACAAGTGTCCTGATGCGAAATTCGATCAATCTGCAATGCTAACCCATGAAGCGAATATCGGTTCCCAAGATTTCAAACCCAGTCAAGGCTCTGACGCATACCTCCCGAGATCAACTGTGGATCGGTATTGGACTGTTCAGAGGGATCTCGGCACCTTGTTACCAGCCCTGTGCTGCCCACCGATTGTGAGCACAGTCCAGGACAGTAATCTGAGTCCAGTGTATTCGAGTATCATACCAAGCAGTAAAAGGGCATTCTCTAAACTATGTGCAGCCAAGATGCTGTGCGGTACGGATCGCATCTCGGTCTGGTCGTTCAGAGATGGATTTAGGACAACTACTGCCAGCAGAAGACGTTGACATTCACGCGTTCGCCCCCGCGGTGTTGCACGGAATCGACGGATGGTTATTGACGACCAAGCCGACGTCACCTGCGCAGAAACGGGGGAGATAGATAGACAGATAGACTGTCAAGTCGAACGCGGCGGTGCTACAGCTGTCCTCGTGCGAAGCCGCGCGCGGGGCCAATCGCTCTTCCACGCATAGACCCCAGGTTGACTACAGTGACGCGGTCAGTCAGTCAGTCAGTCTAGGTAGAAGATGAAGATGGGCACGACATACCCGGAACGCGCTCCCACCCCGCCTTCGGCCTGCCCTTCGCCCGCTTCAGAGCACCAGGCTTCAACTGCAGCACGCGGTTGGTGAACGTCTGCGCCGTGCGAGAGGGGAGCAGCGCGCCGTTGGCGGCGGGCGATGCGGAGGACGCAGCGGTGGGGGTGATGCGCAGCGTGCGCGTTCTGGGTTGGAGAGGGACTAAGAACACCATCTCAAAGATGATGGATAAAGGAGGCACGTACCCGAGGACGATGTCCTTCGGCCCGTTCCGCCGTTTTTTGCGGCGGATCTTCTTCTGGGGTGCCGCGGGAGACGATTTTGAGTTCGAGGTAGATGTGGACTTGGGAGCGAACGCGGCGGAGAAGAGGTGGTCCGGGAGGTAGCCGGACGACGCACTGGGCGGCGAGGGATTGAGTGTGTCATCGTCGTCCTCGTCCTCGTCCTCGTCCTCGTCCTCTTGGCTGTCATCGTCGAGCCTAACCTCGTCTTCTGCATCTTCCTCGACTTCACCGACATCCTCATCCGACGAGCCGTCCTCCCCTGAATCTGCCTCGCCGAACGCGGGGGAAGATGCGCGCATGCCATCATCATCTTCAAGTCGATCCTCGTCCGCGTCCTCATCCTCGTCGTCGTCCATTTCATCGGCATCCAGCTCCTCGCCAGCAACGATACTCACTTCCTCATCCTCGTCCTCGTCATCCGCCTCCTCCATCGCCCGTCGCATCCTCGCAGCTACTGGGTCCTCCTTTTCTTCGGTGCTGCTCTTTGGGCCACGAGGGCCTGCGCGCGTTTTGCTCGACGAGGGGATATTCAAGCTTGACGCGGACTTCGGCTTGGGCTTTGCCCGCGTGGAGGAACGGGTCGGTGGCATCGAGTCGATATCGCAGTCAGTGAGGACTGAGGGGAAAAAACACTGCCTTGCGGTCACGTGCGCATACTGTAAGGGGGTCATTTTAGGGCCGGGTCTCGTCGGTTGCCATCTCGCTGTCTGTCGCGATTTACAGAGGAGTAATTATGTATCCTATTGGAAGGGAAGATACTCCGTATGTGCCTCAGGTATTATTCGGCTTTTGCTGATTGCCATCGGCTCCGCTTCTTGCAGCCTTGCTTGTGCCCAATTCCCTGCCCTGTTCTTCATCCGAATCGATCTCGTTTTGCTTGGTATTTTTACCTCTCGGGGCAGCTCTCATCTTGAAAACTGTCTTCCTCCAGTGTCTACAGAGCTACATGCGGCGCCTATTTCTTGTGGCGCTTCAGAGCACTCTCCAGTGATTCGTCATTGGCGCAGCGTACCGGTCTTCTTTGCACCGTCGCAGCTAATTTCCGAATGTGTAGAGATCTTGCCTCCGATATGGACACAGTATTATGGATCGGAAAGGATCCTGCCTTTGTGTTAACCAGTCCAACACAGGCACCCTCATTGTCCACGATTTTCGCTCTGTCGGCCCTCCCCCCTTCAGCCGACAGCGCTCAGCTGTCTTCAACGCACTACTTTTACCTTGATACCATCTGTTCGACGAACACTTGGAGCCGAAACCGAATCGGTGTGGCCGCCCGCGGCCGCTCTAGTTCTTTCCTTCAAGTTCTTCCAGGTCGTCAGTGATTGACATGCGAACGGCTGTCTCCCTTCTGTATAGAGAACAAAAGGTGTGACGCCGTGTCGACGTTGCTGCGTCGTGGACTGCATAGGGAACAAGACGAGAACGTAAGTGGCCTTTGTTCTCGCGACAGCACGAGATCGCCATCACAACAGCCGTGCTCACGTGACATGAAGGGAGACGAATAAGTACAGTGACTGGGGTGCCCACTGAGGTCAATCCAACAGCCTACGCGTACAGTATGGCTATCTTATCAGCGGACGAGAAGCGAGTCTTGGCCCTCAAAGCGCGTGATCTACGCGCTGGAAACCGCAAATTCACGCTCTCTACATACCGAGAAGACAAGAAGGTCTATCACACCATCCATCTTTCCGAGGACGCGAATGGGAAAAGGCCTTGCTACAGCGCGGCGACCTATTGGGGAGAGTCGCTATTTGGCGTGCATCTCCTGCGTTCGTATCGCCACCAGCGACGAGAGACGCGGATCCGGATCCACACACTCGGAGGCAGAGAGCAGACGGGCTGGTTTGAGGTCGATCAGCAAAACTCAAGTCAAGAGACGGGAGAAATTTGGTCCGTCATCTCGAATTGAAATTACTGGATCTGGATTGCTGATACGCGCGGATAGGGTCTGGGCCACAATATCGCTCCGTGACATACCGGTGAGTAAGACAGTCGCTGGCCTGCACAAAGGAGGAGTTGCTGGATGATGCAGGAGCGAAGCCCATCGGAGCCCCGATTCGTGCAAGAGGCTTCTGTCTCAATCAGGTTACACGTGCTCAAGCCTGGTGAAGAAGGTTTTGTTTTCACCGTGTGTTCTACGACTGCCTACCCCACGATTTACATAGCTAACAAGCTTTGCAGTTTCATCGAATAAAGCGTGGAACACACGGCGGTAGAACTATGCATTTGCTACTGGGTGGCCTTTTCCGTCGTTTCACTCGGAAATATCCCACAGGGAACGGAAGAGAGACCTGGATTTGCTCGAAAGACGTCGAGAACGACGTGCAGCTGGATCCCAGGGGGCAGCTGACATGTGGAGGCCTGCTTGCGGCTCTGATGTGTCTAGTGAAGCCAAACGATCCAAATATGGAAGAAACGATTCTTTTCAGAGAGTTCATCGAGGACGATTGGTGGAAACCTGGGCCCGATGGGTGCGTCACCGATGAGAATTGCGGCCGGGGAACTTCAGGACCATTGCGTTAAGTACGCGTATCATATAATATTGATTGCTGGTGCTTTGAGTATTAGAGAGTCAACATATATACCCTCATTCTGCGCACTCAGCCCTTTCGAGGTGATTTCGACGAAGCGAATCGAACTCAAATTACACGTGACAGAAGAAGCACTCCGGGTGTGCATTGCGCCGACTGCGTCATCCATCAAAAGTCATGCCGATTCGGACAACGCTCTTCTTTCTCTGCTTCTCAAAGTCCTCACTGCTCCCCCGCTCGCGACCCTCGCTGCGGCTTTCGCTGACAAGGACGAGTCGCAAGCAGAGAGTATAGCTAATACCCCAAGCTCCGCGCTGCTATACCCCGCGAACAGGAGGCGTGTGCCGAGACGCTGGAATGGAGCCGGGAAAACCGGAGAATCTGAGCAGCGCAAATGGGACTGTGAACGGCCACGCGAGGTCGATTGCTGCCACCACCAAGCAGCAACCGAAAGCGAAAGCAGGGCCGCGTTTCTGCGGCCTTCGCACGGTGACTACCACCACCGACACCCCCGCCTCCCTACCCCCGCCCTCCTCCCTGCCTCCACCGCCCCCCGCCGCACGACGCGGGTTCAACTTCGCGAAGACCGTCGCCTCCTCACGGGACCGCGCGCGTGCCCGGCGCAATCGGCAGACCCCGCAGCCGTGGGCGGTGCGCAAGCTCATGGTGCCGCTCACGTCCGCGATCATGGTCTACACCGCGTATGTGTTCTGCGGGCGGCTCGCGCCGCGGATCGGACGAGCGAAGGGGATCGGGCTGGGTCTAGGGTTTGCTGTGCTCTGGCTTTGGATGGTGTGGGCGTATGTGAAGGTACGTGCGGCTGCGGTGGGGTGATCGGGGTTTGAAGCCGGTGCTGACGCTGCGCTGTTACAGGTTGTTATTACGCCCCCCGGGAATGCACGCGATGTAAGCTCGCGATCCAATGTCGCTTCATTAGTCGGCTGACTGACTATCCACGCGCGCAGTACGTATCTCAGTCGCCGCAGCCGCTGTTCCCGATCCAGCCGACTCCCATGTCGCCCAACACACCCCCTCAGAACCGAGCCACAGACAACGCTGCGACGTACGACACCGATGACGAATCGGATCTGGACGACGCTGCACTGGCGGAATTAGAAGCCGGACGTATCGGCGGGCCAGCATACAACACCATGCAGAGCCCGATCCAGATTCCCATCCCGATCGCGAATTCTGGCCCGCCGACCTCTGAGACCGCCGCCGTCGACGCTGCGCCGCCACCCGGCAAGATCCCGGCGCGCACACCCCGGGGCCGGCATCCTCCGACGACACCAGTGCTTCTGCCCCAACACCGGTGGTGCGGCAAGTGCCAGATTGTGAAGCCCTACCGGGCACACCATTGCCGGGTGTGCGGGACGTGCATCCTCAAGTACGACCACCACTGTCCCTGGATCGGGCAGTGCGTCGGCGCGCGGAACCACAAGTTCTTCCTGAACTTCTGCGTCGCGGCGGGATGCCTCACGGCGTATACGTTCGGCAGCCTGCTGGCGTTCAACGTCGGGGAGAGTGGTGTCGATGCACAGGAGCTCGTGATCATAGTTCTGTGCGTGTGTTCCCTAGGGCCTCTTCTTGTGGGTGTCCGCTGACTTGCGATCACAGATCGGCGCTGTTCTTGCTCTTCACGAGCTCGCTGTCGGTGGCGCACGGGCGGCTGATATCCCACGCGCAGACGACGGTCGAGAGCATCAAGGTGCGCACGCTGCGCGAGAAGGAGGCGGCACAGTTGGGGGTCGATGGCTGGCAGTGCTGGGAAGTCGGGTGCGTTCAGCCCTGGTCGCGTTTCGTCAACCTTCTCACCTGATACGAACACCAACAGCGCGAAACAGCGCGTTAAGCGCAGCTACGACGCCGAGTGGGGTAACCCGGACACCGAGGGGAACATCTGGTGGCCGGGCTCTCGACGCGGAGCATGGGAGGACGTGATGGGGCATGCTTGGCTAGGGTGGATATGTACGTTGAGAGCCCATTCTTCTTGCTTTCCATTCTCTGATTTTAACTTGCCACCGCAGTGCCGGTAGGTAGGCCGCTGGGTGATGGCTTGGATTATAAGCCTAACCCACGCTTCGATGAGCAGGGTCGGTGGAGGAGGCGGAGCGAGTGGCCGGGTGGTCTACGGGGGGGATGACGATGATACTTCGCTGCATCTACATTGTCTATATAGGTGCTGCAAGCACACTACATTCTCGGAAGCCCAAGCTGCACACCAAGTCCTGGGGAGACCAAGCCAATGTCCGCAGGACAGCAGGAGATCTGCCATGATGACAAGGCCGGCGAGAAGAATACTTACCGGCATCCCCTCATCTGTAGAGATCGCTGCGGTCGGACGACCTGCCAGGTGCCATGGTGGGGGCCGTCACACGTGACCGATGTTGACATGAGAGATGCTTCTGATCCTGAGAGCAAATCGGGCGTAGCCAATCAATGAAGAGTGCCGAAATTTCAAAACGAACGTGCTAAGGAGTGTGCTATATACCATTTCAAGCAGGGGCTTCGCCCTTGTACGCCTTGACTATGACCCGTAGACCGCCGGCGGAAACCAAACCCGCTTTGTCACTCCCGCCACGAACGAACGAGATGGGACGTTGGAAAAACCCGCTGACCGTGGGCTTGACCTCTTCAGAAGCGGGGAGGAAAACGAAGCGGCGTAAAAGAGCGAACAGAATGGCCTTTTGCCTTCGGAAGTAGGCGTCAGTGAATCGTTGAAGACAGCTTGAATGATGAGTTCGCGACGCACTCGACGATGGTGAACTGGAAGCCCATGCAGCTGTGCTTGCCGGCCAGGAAGGTCATCTGGTGGGCCCAGACTCCCGGGATGGCTTTCACGGCTTCCGGGACATTGTCCCAGCGTTCGGGCCTGCACGATCGTCAACATGGCACGCACGAACGCAATGTGTAAACAAACGACGGGACCTGAACTCGAGCGCGTCCTCTCCCCAGAGCTCCTTGCTGTTGTTGACCTCCAGGACCGGGATGTGGAAAAGCTGGCCCTTACGAATCCTGGATCTCGCCTTCAGCACAACAATATTCTGAGTCATAAAATCACGGGAACAAACGGGAGAGACTCGTGCGAAATGCCTTGACGGTCGACATATGGCTTGCTGAGCGGCAACACGTCGTCCCTCTCCGCCATACGCTCGGTGCTGACTAATGGTGAGTGCAACCGCATGGTTTCTCTGAGAACATTCTCCAGGAACGGGAGCGCGTTGAGCTCGTCCATGGTCGGAGTCTCCGTCGGAACCGAGAGCAGCTCTTGACGCAGTTTGTCTTGCACGGACTGATCGCTTGACAAGGCGTGCGTCGCCCAGGCGAGGGCGAGGCTGCTCGTCTCGTGTCCAGCGAGGAAGAACGTTGGTATTTCTGTCAGACAGTTTTGATACTTGGTCTGAGCTATACGCCCGAACAAATACACTCACGGGCGATCACTTCGTCGTCGCTCATGCGCTGGCTTTGGGGAGCCTCACTGGACATGTTGGCCTTCACGAGAAGCGACAACAAATCGCGACCCGAGGTAAGATTTTTGGACCCGAGCGAAGCAGCCTCGGTCTTGGATTTGTTAAGCAATTCCGTCCCGATTGCCCGCAACTTCTTTCTTGCATAGCGAGTGACCGTCCAGCCAGGTAGAGGCTGCCACGCTACTCATCAGCTTCAGATTCTTCGAGAAATTGTAAGTCACTTACAAGGGCCCGTAAAATTGGGATGTCAGCCTGTGCGGCCTGGAATGCCCGATAGAAGTTGAGGTTCGGGTTTTGGAACATCCGAGCAAACACCGTGCTCAGTTCTGCTTCCTTTTTGCCGTGTGTCTCCAGAGACTTGAATTGATAGCCGAATCCTGAAAAAAAAAATCAGAAAATACCCTGAACACCACGCACTGCATGTCCAGGCTCGCTACGCACCGGCCTCTCCGATGATATCTAAGGTGACCTGACGGAACCAGTCCGACATATTCGTAGTCACCGTACCGCCGGCAGCGTCGACGTCTTTTGCCAGCATGTCGCGCAACTGTGACGTAGCCAAGTCAACCAATGTGGGCCGTGGAAGAGACGTCATCAATCACCATATTTCCTTTTTCCACAAAGACCTCGTTCATGGCCCGGAGCTGCTGGGGACCGAAGGCAGGGCTCTGCGCGACCATCACCCCAATCAGTGGAAGATCAGGGATCCAGGACTGTCAGTGCACGAACCAGAATTTTTCGCTGGGTGAAAGGGACAATTCCGTCGTCCATATGACCATCCAATGATGATTGAAAGACTTGCGTACCTGACGTCTATGCGGATCGCGGTCAACCGAAAGGATTCCGTCTCCCATCACCTCCTGCAGATTGAATAGCAGTGCATATGGTTTCGTGTAAAGTGAGCCGTGCGAGAGGATGTGAGATAACGCCGTTATGTCTGTAGTGTAAAGTTCGTTTTCCTACCAGGTCCCAAACTTTCAGCTCCAGGAAAAAGAAATGGCCGAGAGCAACCCACGTAGAAGAGGCTTTTAGCCATGAACGTCGTTCCGTATTCTGCTCGCCACTTGACGGTGGTATCCGGTACATCCTGCGAAAACACCAGAGCGGATCAGCGGACAAAACAGCCAGATCTGCTATATTTGTCGCACAAAAATGAGGGTGAAATGCCCCATGAGAGGATTGGCACACGGCGGGCCATCGATAAACTTGAGGGGCGAGGTCCAGTTTCTGTGCAAAATCTTGAGAGCGTATAGGGCAACGGATGCGATCAAGGTGGCCACAGCCGGGATAAGAATGTTTGCGATCATGATGGAAGTGAGTTGGGGGGACAAGGTGCAAGAGCAAGGCCTTATATATGATTTTCTCGTGGCCGAATGCATCGCACCTGCGCCCAGATCTACGGCCCGTGGGGTAAAGAGGAATGACTGGTGGTAACCGACAGCAGCACTGCCAAAATACCGCAAAAAAGCACCGCTTACATTGCAGAAGCGAGACGCTTTAGAGCCGGGGATTCTGTCAAAGCGAATGACTTTCCGTGCCGCACAGATGCCGACGGGAACCCGCCTGGCTTCTGATGTAGAGGTGGGCACGATGCATCGGATCGGGAGACTTCTATGACTGAACGAGAACCAATGAAACACGGTATGACTTATCCGATGATATCCGAACAGGTGTGCAAAGTTTTGCCAACATTAGGGCGTAGTATTGATCGCAACGGTGCGGATAAACGGCAACGGTCCGGATAATCGAGTCGCACTCTCTCATTTCGCGACTTGATGCCTCGGAACTTTCTGCAACTCACTACCGTACATGTAGACTCAATTTATGCGAAGTAGCTAAGGAATCCGTCCCGACGATTGAGTGAACGAGACTTGCCGGTACATCAATTCAGTTTGTTTTGGAACCTACCAACTCGTTCTGGCTTTATCTCCAGTCCTACATCTCCGAGAAAAGACTGGGGGTCGTATTTAGGCTACAGGCCAGTGCTCCAAGACTTTCCTTGGGATTTCATGCAGCAGAACGAGCTCAATAACTCCTTGACGCGAGGTGTCACAAAATGTCACCACACAGTCAATGATGCCAATTTCGAGAGGTGATGGCCATGTGACTTTTGTTTCATCTCGCATCCCCATGTTGTCCAGCAACACTGAACTCGATGACTGGCCCTTCGACCACTTCGATAGAGAGTTTCCGCCTCGACAGCATCTTCTTGAAACGACCACGGAGGGTAGTGAGAGGGACACCGAAGTTGCAAGAACACATTAGGTTTGCAACCGGCGGCCACATCCCTGAGGAGAGCAGTGCATGCAGCCTGTGTCTTCTTCTCAGCGGCGCAGCTTTTTTAAGTTTCTCTTCAACCACAGCTCCAATTTTGTGCATGCAATAGTGGCGGTCAGAGTAGCGGATCAAGGCGTGATTACTAGTGGTCTCACGGTTCAGTTCGGTTCGGGTTCAATAATTTTGATGGTTCGAACCGGTTTGAACCAAGTTCGGCTTTTTTGGTCTCCCCCGAACTCCAAACCGAACCACGGTTCAGGTTCGGGCATTTGGCTGAACCCAAACCCCAAACCGGAGTTCAGTTCGGTTCAGTTCGGGTTCGAACCAATTTCCGAACTGAACCCTGAGAGCACTAGTGATTACGGTCAAAGATTAAGTAGGCAAAAGTTTATGGACACTCAGAATCCATCACAGTCTGAATCGTGCCCTTAACACCTAAGGAACATCCGCCGCGGAGGGTACCCCCCCTGTTAGGGGTCAAAAGTCAACTGATTTGGATACCTAACAGGGGGGGTACCCTCCGCACTTTTGGCCATCCTCTGCAAATGGGTGCCAAGCATCTGCAACAAGCCCTGATCCATCTGCTCCTGGCTCTCCCTGTGATTGTTGTGATGCCATCATGCAGGCCATCCATGGACCACATCATGTGACTGTTCTCCAGTGCGGAACCCTCCGCATTTCTTGCTCTTTCATTTTTTCAGTTCTAGCCTGTAAACATTGCTCCACTGTGGACTTGAGCCTTCTGTAGCCAATGTATGCAAGTGCTCTTGACTCCCAAATGATTATAGCTGCTTTCAAAGACCTCTATGTGCAGCAAACAAAGAGTGTTAGTTGGGCCAATTCAGTGCTTGGGCTGTGCGGATGCTCTGCATTGTTTCTGGATTGCTAAATTGGTTGCTCAGAACCTTAATGCCTAGGATAAACATAGAACTCAAGCTTTTCAGATGCTGCCAGGTTCCTTAGAACCCAGGTAGATCTCTCCAGCACCCACAGCAGCTGAAACGTGTGCCATGCAGATGCATCCGCCACCTGCTGTCCAGGGCCAGATTGGGGCAGGCCCTGTTCAGTACAGGCTCTGCAGAAAATTAAACTTGCACACCTTCACCTGCCATGATCAGTGCATGCAGCCAGGATCCTCCTGCATTGACAGCATGCTGTGCAGATGCATCCGCCCCTTGCGGTCCAGAGCCAGATTTCAGCACAGGTGTCATAGTTCGACCCTTTTTCATCTTATCATCGACCTTCTTAGCTTATCTTGGCACGAACTATCTTATCACGGATCACGGCATCAGACGGTCCAGGCTAGGGGTTCTAGGGATTATCTTTATTGATTCGAGGCTGTGCGACATATGCTCTGGAAGATTCTACTACAACCCATGACCAGGGCTCCATGCGGTGATAGGCTGGCTACCAGACACGCTCTGCACCAACTCTGTAAGGGCGTATTTTTGCGCTTTTTACAGAGTTTACTCTCGAACCACTCGGTGTATCGTGTCGCGGTTGACAGTGTTGCGCTCAGTAGGACTTAAGGGTCTACTGCCCAGTCGACGACTGTGGATAGTGTCGACGATAGCAAGGCAGTCAGACCACTACTGTGGAACTGGTCTTATGAGTCTATACCAGGCTCAGGGCCATTAGTGACGAACGCTTGGACCGCGACCATTCCCCAA